AGACGCATATGTAACATCGATCTGTTACATTGGATCCAATCACTCAGTCACGTACTTTCCTGTATTGAGCGTTGTAAAGATCGTCTTCTAGCTGTTGGTCCAGCTTCCCCTGTCGCCAGGCGACAAATCATTACTTCAGTCATGGAATACTGGAAAGATCAACCTGGAATTGGAGTTAATATTATTGACAAATTACTGAACTATACAATTCTTAGTCCACAAAGTGTGGTTCAATGGGCACTTGGCAGCGAGGGTAAGAAATTGAGCCAGGCCTTTGTTTACGAAATGGTCAGTGCAACTGTAGGAAAGGTTACAGGCCGAATTCGTCAAGTCCAATTAAGTCTTCGCGTCCCAGGACTCTTGGAAGAACAAAAAGCCCTGATTAACCAAACGGTTGAAATGGAAAGAGTCAATATGCGTGAATTAGGACAAGAAATGGATGATCTTCTTAGTTCATGGGCAAATGGATTGAAGGATCAAATGATAGATGCGGATGGAAATGGAATGGTGGGTGACGATGAATTGGTTAGAGCTTGGGGTGAGAGATGGTTGAGAGTCTTTAGGAGAAAGTTTGCGGTTGAGGAGGCGTGGGGAACGGAAGCGAGTAGGTGGGTTATGCCAGAACCAGAGGTGGAGGAGGTGGAGATGAATGTCTTTGCTGGTGAAGGAGATGCACTTGCGGAGGCAGCGGTAAAGAATCCCGAGGAAATGAGAATTGATGGAGAGGGTGTAGGTGCTGAGGATTATGAGGGAATTGATTAGACACCCACGGGGAGCTAATCGAGTAAACTGGGTGAGGAGGTAGTGGTTAAAGGGATATAGATATGATAGGAATATAAGTTGCAACAAATAACGGAACAGAACAGGAAATGAAAGGGAGAAAAGGGCAATGTAAGGCGAGACACGAAAGAATTTGCATAAGAAAGCAAACAAGCAAGCACTGCACGATGGGAAAGGGAAAAGACAAAATCTTTCGTTTTCATTCTCATCTATTTTCCTTTCAATACTCAATTCAATTTTCTTATTTCATTTTCTCTGTACGATTACGATAGATAGATGGATGTATGCATGGATGTATGCATGCACAGTGCAAGCAAGAAAATGCGAGACAAGATAGAGAGGAATGCAGAGATTGATGAGCTCATATTAGGTATTGAGATGAAATCAGTGAAGTGAAAAAGATATTTAAGAGGTAAATTCATTCCTTCATTGGATTCTTTTGAGTGAAATTATAATATGATATTATATGATATGATATCGTAGGAAATTGACTCGCGGCAATTAGATATACATCATGCACCATATATGCTAATATAGCATTTTTATCCTATTCATGGCAGGGAGCAGATTGGAGCTGAGCTGTGAAAGATGTTATTGCTAGGTCCATAACCTCGCATTAGATGAATTTGTAATGTAAGGTCACTCACCCCTTTGAACGTCGTAAACGCCTGATATATCCTTCACCCTGGCCTAGCTTGATTTCGTGGTATTTACTTTTCTCCTGAATTCCCTTCGCTTCTTGTTCTGACCTTTCTTGTTCTGACCTTTCTTGTTCTGACCTTTCTTGTCCCAATCTTACATTTTATAACACACTATGTGTCTCCGCTTCACTATTTAAAATACACTTCTCCCCAACACCCGATCCTCACCTCCTTCCATACCCTGGCTGTCCTCCATGACCTTGCGGTCCCGTCGGCGGCATACCCATCGGCATCCCCTGTTGTCCACCAAATCCAGGAGGTGCCTGCATACCCAAAATTCCCGGCGGAGGAACCATTCCTCCTGGTAGAGGAGCTTGCATAACCCCAGGTGGCGCAAATCCAGGTGGAAATTGTACTCCTCGTGCAGGCCCACTTGCAGGATGACCATATGCACCACTTGGGCCAGTGGGTGGAGCATGTTGATTGTGGAAATCCATTTGAGGGCCACCGTAGCCGGCGTGTGATGGAGGTGGTCGTTGAGGAAGACCAGATGGAGGGGGTGGGAGGTGTTGGGTTGGTCCTGCTGGTGCGCCGCGTGGGCCGCCTGGAGGAGGAACGGAATTGTAAGATGGCCGTTGAGGTGGGAATCCTGGAGGTGCGGCAGGTATCGGGGATTCATTTAACATGGCTGCTGGTGCTTGTGGAATTCCATTCATACCCAACAATAACCCTGGTGGCATATTTTGTAAATCTGGAATAACATTGTGCTTCTTTGCTTGAGCCGCCAATGCTCTCTCAGCTGCATCTCCGTGTCTTTCTCCTTTACCATCTTTCTTGTATGCATATTGTACCGAGATATCTTTATTCATTAGGTATTGACCATTCATGTTTGCGATAGCATCATCGGAAGCTTCGAAGTTCGCATATGAAACGAAACCATAACCTTTAGAGAGGGATGATTCGTCGCGAGCAATTTTGGGAGGAGAAATGAGGGATCCAAAGCGAGAGAAGGTATCGTATAGAGTCTTTTCATCAACCATAGGGTCAAGATTACCAATGAAGAGCTCGGCGCCAACTTCGACAGTTTTTTGTTTATCGGCAGAGGCCTAGATATCCCCAGTTAGTATACTCTTCCAAGACTTGACGACTGAGGGCAAGACAAACCTTGTTAACACGAATTGGTTTCCCGAATAACCTCACTTGATTCATGATGCGCGCTGCATATTCAGCATCCTCCTCTGATATAAATTCCACAAATCCATAACCCTGATGATTTTGAGTGACGCGATCTTTGGGTAGATGTACATTGACAATACGACCAGCTTGTAACATCAATTCCCATACTAAGCTATCAGTCACGCGCTCATCGATATTGCCAATATAGACGGTGGCTTCCTTGTCTTGTTCCCTTGCACGAGGAGCCATAGTCAGCTTTTTGTAGATTTCGAGGGTTTGAACTTGGGAGTGAGGAATTGGAAAGTTGAGTTTAGAGAAAGGGAAAGAAATTATTTACCAATGTCTTGCACCTGACATATTGTTATATTGGGCGAAAGTCGGGAATTGATATCGCCGTTTTCTAGGTTTATTGGAGTGAAGTTGAGAAGGAAATGAAGCTGTTAAGTGAATGTCTACATGGGAGCTTGACAGTGAAGCTTGAGTTGCGACGGAAAAATAATGTTGGATTAGTCAGCAGCCTTGTTGATTGTGATAAACCTTGATCACTTTTTTTATATGGTAGCAAGATTGGTGAAGACAAGCTAAGCATTTGGTTTTACAACAAGTTGTAAGTATATCTTGATGCGCCTTTTCTACTCATATGCTCGATACTAATTGCACACAGTTTCCGATTTCAAGATATAATCAAAATGCAACTTTCCGAAGAATCTAAGGTTCGCATGCAGACACCCTTTGTGTGATGAATAGAATGGTTTTGTTAACCAGAGATTAGGAGCGCATTGGAAAGCTCATTGACTATTCCCGTGTTGCTATTCATTAGTAGGATACTTGGATCTATTGTATTGGGCGTATGCTAATTATCTACAGTGGCTACCTTCCATTGATCCTCTACCTTGGTAGGAATTACCAAACGACATGAAGCAAAGACAAACATGCTAACAAAAGTAGGATACACCCGCAGCGAACCTCGCCCTTCCATCGTCAGGTTAGTAGCTCCGCAAATCCTCGAAGCTCTAGATCGTCCACTGATTCCCATTTACAGACTTCTTTCTCCTCTCGCATAAGCTCTTTTTAATGAGCCGTTACACGAAATGTTTTACTAGTCGACGCTGAGATGAATGCGCAGGAATAGGAAGAAGAAACCGGGCTTTATATGAATCACTGGCATCAAGCAGAGGATGATATGACGGTTGTAGCATACGAGGCGTTCATGAAATAATGAAATGCTCAGGGAGCTTATGTTTATGGTGGACACACACATACCATACGAAGATAATTGTACTATAGCGCAGAAGCGCAATCACCACTACGAAATCAACCCATTCTTGATTTTCCGTTGAAGTTCTGAGTAGTAAAACCTTTGTCGTCTATAATGTGAAGCTCATCCCAAAAAAATCATTCGCCCCCGCCTCGGCAAATCCCAGAAAAATACGAAGCTTCATTTTCGTCATCGGGTGAAATATATTGCCCCTCGCAACTTCAATCTTTCACAATGATAAATATAAATTCTCACTTATGACCGAAAACCATGCGCGCATCTCCCCCGCGCTTGTCGAGACAATTGCTGGCCTCTCGGCCGGTACAGCATCTACTCTAGCTGTTCATCCTCTTGATGTTATCAAAACTCGATTACAAAGTAATTTTATACCCCTCCTCGTCCTCCACAAATTGCATATTTCTAACACCCACCAGTTCATCGCAGTATATCCCGCACACCAGCCAGCGGTCTCACCATCTTCCGCAGCCTTACAAAACAACCTCAACCTCTTAAAAGTCTCTACCGCGGCCTAACTCCCAATCTCACAGGCAATGCTAGCAGCTGGGCCCTCTTCTTCTACTTCAAAAATATTTTCGAATCCTCACTCCGCTCTTTCCACAACCAACGTTCAGATTCCAATTATGTATCACTCACGCCCCTCGACTATTTCCTTGCGTCCGGCTCGGCCGGTATCATGATTACCATCTCTACAAATCCAATATGGGTGCTCAAAACCCGAATGCTGAGTTCGGATCGCGGAGCTAAGGGCGCTTATCAGAGTATGTGGCATGGTGCTAGACATATATGGCAATATGAAGGAATACGGGGTTTTTATAGAGGGGTTGGTGTTAGTTTATTGGGTAATAGTCATGGAGCTGTTCAATTTGCTGTTTACGAGCCTCTAAAGAATTTTTGGCGCAATCATATTTCTCACCAAATATTGAGAGGGGATAGAGAAAATTCTCAGGTTAGATTAGGAAATACGGCGACGCTTTTAATAAGTAGTTCGGCGAAGATTATTGCGGGGACGGCGACGTATCCGTATCAGGTTGTGAGAAGTAGGTTACAGACTTATGATGCGGAAGAGAGGTTTGGGAGGGGAATTAGAGGGGTTGTGGGGAAGGTTTGGAGAGAGGAGGGATGGAAAGGTTTTTATAGGGGTTTGGGGACGAATGTTGTAAGGGTTTTACCGGCTACTTGGGTTACGTTTTTGGTGTATGAAAATGTTAGATTTTATCTGCCAAGGTGGTGGGGCGGAGAGGAAGAGGAATAAGACAGGGAATTGCGAAAGGAGGGATATCTACAGGACATGTTGTATTTGTGTTGGTTGTAAGCTATTATGCCCAAACATTGGGATTTGGGCGAGATATGAATCTGTGTAACATAGAAGCTTTAAGAAGTTACAATATCATCTACTTTTGATAGTGGATTAGTTCCCATGTCTCCAATCACGTTTTCCAACAAACAACCTCACCACACCCTGTCTTCCACCAGCATCCTTCCGTCTTTTCCCAAGTATCCCACTCCGCAATCATGTCTTCAACTTCCTCTTTACTTCCCACAACCCCCAACCTCACCGCATTCTCGCCAACATCACCAGTCATCAGCGAATTCTTCCAACTCGGCTGCATCAAATAACTATAACTCTCCACCACCTTCTCCTCTTCGAACCCCGCATCCCTAGCCCACTTCCCCAAGAAATTTCCCGCACGAGGCTGCGATCCCTTCTCAATAATCATCGCCTCCATAATCTCCACCGATCTCTTCAAGCCAGCCATAGAAGGATAAAACACAGCATCTCCCATATCACTCTCCCTACACGCCACCAATCCCCCACTCTTACACACTCTCTTCATTTCCCTCATCGCCTGCACCGGATCCGGCAAATGAATAAGTAATTGATGCGTATACACCACATCGAAAGTCTCATCCTCAAAAGTTATCTTCATCACATCACCTACTTGAAAATCACAATTTTTCAATCCCAGCTCCTTGGCTTTCGCATTGGCAATCTCGATTACTGATGTTCCGGCGTCGAGACCGGTGATGGAGCCCGAGGGTATAAGTGAGGCGATGTCTGTTGTGATAGAGCCGGGTCCACAACCTAGATCGAGGACCCGGGATGTGGGGGTTAGGTGTGGGAGGAAATAGGAACAGCAGGTTGAGGCGCGGCGGAGAGAGTGCCGGTTGACTACTGCGGGACTGTAGCCGAGGGAGTATGTTTTTTCTGTTTCCATGATTTTTGTACTTGATTTTCTGGAGGATCTTGTTGTGAATTGTTGAGGCTGAAATGTAAGAGAAGGGATACTAGGTACCTAATAAGATGTTGTCGTTACGGAGATAAGATGGAGGTATCACTGGTGTAAATAGTGATTACGTCATCGTACATTTGGAGATTTTTGAAAGCTGTTAAGCGGGCAGCGACGAATAGACGACTACGTTGTTGGGAAACATCTAAGCTGCTTAGGGATACCTCAACTGTGCTCATATTTAAATTTCAGGTTTCTTCAAATTAAAGGGCGCCAAAGCAAACAGTCAATTGACGTATGGATCATATGCTTGCCGGAGGAATCGCGACTTTCATTGGAGATAATTATCCTTCAAGCAGCAAGTCAAGCCCTTATCTGCACTAGATCTTAGTCTAGTCTAGGTTGGAGGAAGGAGAAGAGCCGCCACGATACTAGTATTCCGTCTCCTCCAGTGAACTTTTAGTCAAGGGCTATCTTCCTATTTATGTGGCTTTAGCCTCTGAGAAATAATGATAGAGGATTGAATCTTACTCGTGATGCTCTAACTGACCACTACACCTCGGGAAACAATGTGCGGGATCCTGGCCATCATGACTTGGAATATATCGGAGGCCTCCCTACTATGTTTAATATTATTATGACTTCGGTTGGAAAGACCACACAGCAAACACAAATCAAACGAAGAAAAAAAGGGGGGGACACCATCTAGCAGATGCTATAAAACACCCAGTGCAGGAGCTCCAAAGTCCGTCCCTCCCGAACTTTTGAGATATCGTGAAACATCTTTGGGAGGAGAAAGAACTGGTCCCTCCCATCTAGGGTTGCTTCACGTATTGATTAGCCAGATGTTCTAGATTATGATTCGAGCACATAAGCATTGTTAATGAACAGACTGGAGAGGGTGCCCTTCTCCAACTTCGAATGAAAAGGGAAATGAAGCGTGAATTACTGAATCAGGTAATCCGAGGGCTTCATCATCTCAAAGTGGTTAAATTAGGGCAAAGGAGCATGCTGATGTGTGTGGGATACCCTTAGAATTACGGAGAAGATAAAACAAAGCCATTCTTCCACCTTTATTTGATGGTCTTATCTTTTTTTCCCTCCGAGACAAAGAGAGTGCTGCGAACAGGAGCGTCTTATTCCTGTCCCGGTCTACACCCTCGTCTTTAAGCAGTTCGGATTTCTTATTTTTGCCATTAAATTTGCCATTACATTTCCCAGTGAATTGAGTTATCATCGAACCTTCCGATAATTAGCTTCAATACTTTATTTAGTACCCTGTTGTAATTCCAGGACATGCAACGTGCTCATACCAAATCTGTTACCGTGAAAGAATCAGCCTCTTTCAATGTCGGAAGTATTGCATCAGAGTGGTAGTCGGAACTCCGGATTGCTCGATGAAGCTGGAAGGTTGGAAAAAAAGCCCGAACCCATTGCTGCAAGGCATTTTGATATACCAGATTCAAAGATACGGGAAGATGCAGAAGCTCAGCCCTATGATTTTAAGGTTAAAAGGGGGATAAATGACGTCCTGAGCGAGGTCGAGGACGGCATGGAGAGTGCCCATTTGGAAATTAGTCTTGATTGTGTATACGATGTTGAAGTATACCTTGAAAATCTCTCACGCCTTACGAGACTGGGTAAATTTAATGACGCCCGAGATCTTTACGAATCGTGCCCACCGACTCTGAAAGACCACCCGGAACTTCACATCGACTTTTTCGATACTTTGCTGAAACAAGGTGCTTATGAGACTTTAGTAGATCTCATGGCAAACAAGGACCTCTCTCAGTTGAAAGAATTGAGCAAGTATGGGATCTTTCCCAATCATTATGCGCGGTCCATGTCGGAGTTAGCAAATAGGCGCACTTTTGATTCATGTAACGAGGTATTTAGGGAATTAGGATTTGACACAATTCTGGACAGCTTAAATTCTAATTTCGTGAACCTTGATTCAATAAAAGTAAATGCTTTACTTACTCACATGGATCATTTGCTAATTAATTGCCAGGTACAAATGCTTTGTAACATACTTTACCTCGATTTGGAACCAGAAATTTATGCGCAGACACCCAAAAAAATCTCAAAACAACTGGAAATAATCATGAGTAACTCCTCGGCCTGGCGTCATTTGTACATCAACCTGCTGTCGGCCAACAGGGTTTGGGATATGCGTGATCTTTTTCACGCCCTGTGTTCAAGATACGGAATCGGAGACACAATTAAACTATTCACTCCTCGGGAACAGATCCGAAGCGACAGCGTGAGGATAGAGAATTTTATAGAGAGATTTTTCGCTGCATGGACGCACGATTTCCACGGTGATGAATCAACAGAATTAGCAATTCTTGATATATTAGTGACACTTTCAGTACAGCTGCTTTCACACGGCAGTCAGACTGATGTTGTTGTTAAGCGAACCATAAGTAAGGCCATGGCCTACGCTAATCAATACGCATTATCTATTAGTTTGAATAATCCTGAAAATTTTCAAACAAGCCCCCATCTGAGGTGGATTTTAGCCAACGAAAGACTAGCGAGAGAATCACCAGCAAACTCAGATTTATATCCGATTCCAGATTACAAATATCTAAAGCAATCTCACGGGGTTCTTGTATGGACATGTAACTTGCCAATCTACGTTCCTCTAGATCCTCGTGAAGGTGGGCACCCTATTTGGAAAACTCAATCGCGGATAACACCCGATAACTTGCTAAAAATTGGATTAAACGCCTCACGCAGAAACGGCGACTACCGCTTAGGAGCTCAGTATTTGGAGGAAATTTTCTACACGTCCGACTCGCCACTAGAGGTATTATCTGAGTTGTCCAGTCTACAGAAAGATGTACAGGGAGACCGAATTAGTTATCTGCGAACGTGCTTAACAAAATATCTTTTAGCGGTTGATACTACAGCAATGGAGATGCTAAACAACGAGTTGAGAATATTCGAAGAGGAAATCTCTTCTTCAGGCTCAAAGGCTTTGATGGTTGATCCCATAACAGATTGGTGCCTACCATGGATACAAAGTGCTTTGTACTATTCCCTTAATCTCACAACACCAGAAATTTCAATCATGATGAACCAAGAGAAAACATATGAGGCGTTACCTTACGATTTTAAACGCTTGTTAGCGGAGCTGGGAAAGAGGGATGGCACTCACAAACTCTACCATCCTAAAGAAGTCCTTCCGGAGAAGTTCGCAGAACCTTGCAAGGGGACATTCTACCGAGATGGTAATTTTATCATCTGCGATTCATCTGGTTACTTTACAAGGCTTTTTACTGCCTCAGATAATGAAAATTCCACTGACTGATGCTATGAATTCTATTAAAAACGCGCTGTTGTATTGGTTGGTATATCGAGCTCTCGCATGAATTATCAAACACCGCGAAGATAGTTCATTTTTGGCTCGAATGGTCCTAAGCTTACATTCTTATTAAAATAAGAATTAAAAGTTCAAAAGTCATTTTTATGAGTGGATTATGCTGTAATACTAGTTCGAACACTAGTGTTTATTCTCCTGTTCTACTCTGTACCATATTTTCTAAGTCTAAAACTGTATGGAAGCTTGAAAAAGCATTCTTCCACGGCATTTTGGACAGTGAACCCAGTTTGTTGGCCCCGCCCATAAAAGTGCTAACCACTTAGTGTAGACAGATAAATAGATCGATATCTGCAACTGCATTCGGCACTGAGAGCTGAACAATAGAGCTTAAATGAAACAATAAAAAACTTTACGATGAGCATCTTTCATTTTTTCCAAATCAATTACTCTAACTGATACTTATTTTAATTTAATTATCTATCCATTGCTCGTAGATGAATTAGTATATAATATTCCGATCAAATATCAAAGAACAATCATCACAATCGAATACAAACTATATACAATCTAATCATGATCAAAGATAGATATCTCAGGCTATAAAGATTTCATAGAATGGATAATCACCGAAAATATCACAAAATAAACATTGATTATTATCATCCAAAGTTAAAATTATCTTAAAGATCAGATAATTATCAGAATTATGAGTACCCCATCCCGGCGATTTTTAGCGAACTATCTGTAAGGTTAATTAACCGAGCAAGACAAATAGCAGTCGCTTATTTATCCAGTATCCAGACCAGATTCTCTATAAAGGCCGGGGGTAAAGATAATCTTACATTTGGATATAATACGAGATAAGCAATAGTGATATAAGGGCATTATTATTGAAAGGGTTTATAGGGTAAACTAAGTTGGGATTTATGAGGCTACTATCTCTATTGTTTCAGTTACTTATGGAGCATATATTGAAATTAAGGTGGAATAACGATGAATAATTTCCTGGATATCAGACAGAGAGGCGGCCATTTGATACTTCGATGCGGGACTCTAGGTCTTCATTAATGCTAAGAAAAGTTCTAGCTACAAATTATCACTTTTTCGACTTTTCAATTCCTCGTTAATTTTTCATTGAACAAATAAATTAAACTTTGTAATATTAATGGGTTGATTATTAAATCAACTATTAAAAGAAATTACACAAAAGAAAATCAAATAAAATTGCAGTACTCGACTATTATACTGAAAATATGAAATAGGAAAAACACTTTTTAATCCTCCAGAGAGCGCTTTTCATTATGTCTTTCCTTTATGCCGCTGTCCAACATATACTTCTCGCTCATCCTCATTCTATATGCCGCGACGATAGCCAATGGCACAATAGAAGGATTACTCACGCCATCGAATTCTTGCTCCAAGCCTTCTTCCGTAAGATAAAAGTCCTCCTTTATACACATATCCAATCTTTGTCTTCCATGACCGAAACTCGCCGTACGCATAACAATATTTCGATTATATTCAGGACTCCAGTTCCACTCTTCTGCCAGCAATTTTTCGAGATATGCTTCGGAAGTGTGTACCGTATCAAATACACGAATGAATGGTTCGATTTGGCGATGCTTGCGCGCAAGTTCTATCCCTTGAATTACTATGTCGTAATCGGGGAGCCACAGATGACCATTACCCTCCTCGATGATACCATTCCAATATTCTGTTAGAGTGATGTTTTCAAAGATTGGTAGGACTTTTTCGTCGTCTTTGCGATTGGCAGCCCACCATTTTGTGCGTTCATCGGGTCCATCAAAAGTTCCCCAGCGCCAGACGCCATTATCTACATCGACATCTACAGTAAAATGGGCCATGTTAGCCGTATCACCAGAGAAACGATGAAAGTATTGATAAGTTGCATTGCTGTCAATTTCCGGTGCAATTACAGGTGCGAGATAAAACGTTTGGTCTTCGATTGAGGCATTGAGACTGTGCAAATCGTATTTGGATTCTGCAAAATGAGTACCCATTTTGACACGGGTATCAAATCCTTCACAAGAGTCCTTCATTTGGTAATACCAGTAAATGTCTGGGCCTCCGACAACTCTAGAGTAAATTTTGTCAGATGCGTGTTTTTAAAAGCGTTAAATGGAAAGAGCTTGATTACGTACGCGACTATCGGCAAGATGTAGATGCCCAAAAAAGTACATGTTATGAGAGCCTCACCCACAACTGTTCGCACAGGTTTATATCTGACTCCAATCTGTTCTGGAGTACCGTTCAGGACCTCTGTAAAGAAATTTAACACCTTGACTAAGAAATAAATGAGAACACACGCCGACAGCGCCAAGTAGATAGATCCGAAGAAGAAAAGGCAAAGACCTTCCGACGTCTCATATTTATCTTTGAAATGAAGATATCGATATGGTTGTGCGTGCCATTTGATGTGAAAGACGGCAAATATGAAGATGCATCCCATTACAATAACAACGTATATCGCGTTCAAAAAGGCAGAGCGGCGGTCTAGCTCTCTGATTTTGAATCTGCCCCAAACAGTAGTCACATTCGGTGGTTCCGAAAATTTATCATCGGAGCAGCTTCCACAGGGATACTCACATGGACCTGGATGGCATGACTTTTGGCAAGTCGACTTATTTCCATGGAAGCACCTTGAATTGTTACCACAGATTCCATATATGCACGCATTTGGAATGGTAGAATGGTCATATATGGGATTACCATTCCCACACCAGCACTTTCCATCAGGTTTCGAGCTTTTAACTCCCCTACATTGGGGACATTTCCAAGCACTGCTCCTTTCAGTTCGGTTTGCATTGGCCCATGACAGTGCACATTTGTAATGAGTAATAACATAACAATCCTTGCAATGCCACAAGTAGTGATCGGGTGTAAAGCGTACCGCTTCAAAACAGATAGAACAAATTTGACTAGAATGATCGTAAGCATGAGCTGGGTAAAATTCCTCGATGTTTAAGTGTTGATATTGTACATAGTTCCCATTTCGGATATCCTCGAGGATACGTGATTCTTTAGAGGAAACGCTGGATTGACGAGACTCATCCCGTTGCTGGGTCTGGGTGGACATACGTCTAGTACTACCACTTTCGATGTTTTGTAGGGGTGTTGCATATCTGTCATCAAATGGATCTCCATGGCTATCATGAAAAGGATCATCAGTACTTCTGCGGCGAATCGGCCATGACGAAGTGGTCAACCAATTGGTGGTATTCGAAGCCATGATAAGTGAACATGTGTCGAAATTGAAGAAGCGAAGCTGAAGGGAGACGGAAGGAAAGAGGAACTGCGAGTTAATTATATATCAATGATAAAAATCAAGACCATATGTGTCCTTTGGCTAACTCGAACCATATCATTAGTGGCGAGGCGATCCTAAGCTGATCTGGGTATTCTAAATGTGTCTCGGCTTATTGATTGGTCGCACCTGCCAGTTTGACGGGTAGGCTTATTTGTTTGAGCAGACTAGAGAAACTCAATAAAGCATCGTTGGAAGTCCTAGAGATTGGTGACGTGTCGATTTCTCAAAAAGAAAACTATTGCACCAAAATTCCATGGTTTTGTGTGAATAAAGCTACACTATCAACTTCCAAGATGATAGTTAGCTTAAATTTCAAGGATTAAATGACATAAGTATAGAGGGATTAATGAAGACGCCGGTCCGTATTTGTCATCATGTACGGTAGTTAGTACGTCTGCTGCGACGCTTAGCGTAAACACCCCCCCCCCCCCCACGGCTCCCCAGCTACATCAGCCGATCCTATGAACAGGGTATAGCAAGATGCATATACCAATGATGTCGAAGCCTACATCTACATTTCTTTGCCTTTTGATTAGGTACAAGAATAAGAAGCTGCAAATTTTGTTTTTAAACAATATGCGTTAATGGGGGTTTGATGTCGGGGTATCCAAACTTTGAAGTTTGAAGTCTGTGTGTAGTTGGATAAAAAATGAGCATAACAAGATCTTTAACCTAGTAATGTCGTGATTCCTTGGTTGACCGTTTACAATCATCATTTAGAAACTAGTAAGCGCGGTCGATTCTAACTTTGGTACTAGCATTAGCTTGAGCACAGTTCAAGCTTAATCGGTCTAGATTGCCAAGACAAACGTTCTTCGTGACGTGCAGTAGTGACTTTAGATCTGAAAATAATCCATGATTCAGGGAAGGCTTGTTAACTTACGTCACGCCAAGTGGAGTTATTGTCATGTACTTTTCCGATTTCATGCCAATCGATCAAATCCCATATCACGAACCGAAGGTCCAAAATCGGTAACATGAGTCAGGATAAAACCACTTGAACTCAACCCAGTTTAGAATAAAATGTGTTACTTCTTATTCTTCAGTCCAGATCCATTTCCAACCTGTTTACTGTAGTATCTTGTACGTTCTTCAAACATGAAGGAGTCTGGTTTTTTGATGTTTGCCTAAGAACAGTACCCAGAGTATTTGACCTCTATGGGGTGGTGACCCTACGCTGTAGAGATTCTAGACGTAGTTATTCGTCAAATCCGACTGGTACTGGCGGGTATTTGGGGTATTTAATATGTGGTCACTCTATATGATCATCCAAGGTTGAGGCTACTCCCAACTACTCTGTTTATCAGATGGATTCATTGTATGATTCGATCATGTGAGGTTCGTATTAAATGACATTCTAATCACATCATATTATATCAGATGATAAAAATTGTACGTAGTATGATTCAAGTGATGAAACTATAAATATACCATCACATGATAATTACCTAGGTACTTGGGGTATCAGAGCACTTCTGCAGGGTGGATAGGAGAGTGATTACCGGCAGGATTTACCCGATGCCCAACCCTGCTAACGAATGCACATATATGATACTTTTCTCATATAAAGTTGAGGCTTCTTAGAAAGAATTCGAAAGTTCGTATAGGTAGTATAGGTAGTATTTTGAAGTCCGTTAGAGGACTTATAGACCTAATCTCTAATATCCTTTCATTTTTTTGTTCTTTACATACATTTTCTAAAAGTCAACGACAAAAGAAGTATATGTAATTCGATACCAAGTGAAATGTAACAGCATCGTTCCATTAAAGATAGGCATGAGAACAAGAAGTTTTCCCACACTCTGTGTTCAAGTATTCATATTTCCATGAATGTCTTGTGCTGTGAGATTTGCCCTTAGATTTGCCCCTGACTCCCCTCCTCCCGTTTCTTTCCTTTTCCCTCTTCTTCAAGCCTCTTCTTTTCTCTCTTTACACATTCAAAATGAATTTTTGCTGTTTCTTTGGTAATACGGGCTTGTTTTATACGAGGATTTCCCACTTTCTTGCCTTCGCCACAAGACAAACACCACCCAGGGATGCAACTGATGTTCTCGGAATCTATCCATGTAACGTCCTTCTCCTTTTCCCATTGCGGATAGGATCTATGACTCATGAAATTGTCACAATAAGGCGACATTTCTGGATAAAAATGGATTTCTGAACAGCCGCAACACTTAGCCCTTGCAAATTTGCAAGTTTCACATGGGTATGGTTTTGGTGTTGGATCTCGGTCAAGACGGGTCTTGAGACATTGTGTTTATGTTTGAATCGATTTGGTGTATTATGGATATCCTAAATCGCTAACATTAGATCACTGCTGCTCTGAAGTCTTTGTTGATGTATGGTAATGAAGATATCTTTGGTGAAGTACCTTTGAATATCTGAGTACAGTAATGACGAAGTTTTGAGGGACGTAATAATTCGGTGTTATGGCTCTGATATATGTATTAGTATCAAGTCACAGAGGGATATAAAGCACTCACTTCTAGTTCATAGAACAGAGGTTGAAAAGTGAGCGAAATATCTGGATGTATGAGGTTGATATGCGATGTTCGTGCTGCGGGTAGCGGAAGCTCGATGGAGCAAATCCGAGATGAGGTTTGTTAAAAGTGAAAGGGGATATCGACTTTATTTATGTACACCCCCCCGTGTTACTTCGATTCCGATGACCTTAAAAATGACTGTAGATGAGGTATAAATGAGGTTATTTTGACTTTGGATGTCATTTCTACAGGAATACTCATAGTTTTGACTAGGAACACTGATCAAAATGAGTCGATGTGGTTGTTCTGACCGAAAATACTCAACACTTTGGCTCAAGATGACAAACTCAGGGCATGAATATTTTTCGAGTGTACGCATGCTCTTCATTCACTCTGTTCCCAATATCCAACTTTCCTCCTCAAAGTACAACGAAATAGCTCTTAAAACCATCACAATGCCTACCTGAGCATTCAGTGACCACAATTATGAAGCTCCCACAGCTGGACCGAGCCAAAAGATATTGACCAGGCCCGAAATGCCCTTAAGGAGGATGGAATCTTTAGGAAAGTCAGTATATTCAACCAGAACCATATGTATTTGAGCGAGTGATGACACAGAGTGGTATTTATGAAGCTGATTAAGCTCAAGTCACACCACAGGTAGAATATTGTCGATATCATCACCCGCGCTGTAAGTAATTAAGACTGTAATTCAAGTGGATAGAATGTCCAATATTGAGCTAATGTATGAATCAGGAGTTCCACCTTGTGGAAGCACAGTGTGGATATATAAATGAAAGGCGTCACTGAGAAGACTGTCTTCGCAAAAAGGGCCTGAATCCCATATCAACGTTTGAGGCGAACGACCCTAGGGCGTGATTCATATTTGAATCTTGTCTTTTACCAAATATACTTGTCGTGCTATAATTTCAGTTATTTGGTCTTTCATAGTTGCTTTCTTTTTACCTAGAGAGATAAATGCCTCAGTGACATTAGGTAAGTAACACGACAAAATAAATCATCCTTCTAACCTGTATACCTCTCCACAACTTATTCAAATACTTCTCATACCATATGTCTGGAATGAGGATCTCAGAAGCTCAGTGTCCTAGCATCGCAGCTGGTTTCCTGGACTACCTAGGTACAGATAGTCGCACAGCTGTAAAGAATCAGTATCTTTCCGAGTTATAATCGCTTCTCAAGCTTTCAATTATCGCACCAGTCTCTATGGGGCTACGCCGTTCTTCAATCTACATGTGAGCATCCGCAACAAAGTCTGCTATCGACCAAGCCCGAGGTTTGCAGCTCATCTTGAACACCAATCTAGCAATTCCAATATCCAGTCTGTCCCACCCCCATTACCCACAGCTTTACGATCGTCTTTTTATATGAGAACGCACCACATTTCTTCATAGTCAGTTCTGTTCCATGCTATCCACTTATGAGCTCATATTGCTCTCATCCACCCAAGGATACTCCACATTCTTCGATCTATGGTGGGTTTCGTCGATTTTCCCTAGATCGTGTCTTCGAATTCCGCTATTCACCTGATTATTCAATTTATTTGGCCACTGATGGATTTGTTCTGGAATCTTCAACTACTACCTTGAAGCTATCCTATTCACCCGAAGGTATTTTCTTTCCTTCCGTTGACGGGTCTCGGTCAAGCTCTCTAAGCTCGAACTTTCACTGCCTTCTTTTCGATCAGTCGAATTCCTCCATTGATGGCGATGTGCAATTCAAACCTGCTTCTTCGATTTTTTTCCCCACAAAATGAAGCAATGAAGTATATTCGAGATCATTCAGCGATATTTATATGCTCATGATTGAGAATTTCAATATGCTGCCCTTGTCTCGGTTGGTTTTTCTATATGGTTAACGCTCCGACATATTTAATAGGGTAGGATAAATACCTCAAGAGGCCAAATACCCTAGGTACGGACATGGTGCCCATACCTGGAGTTCAGACTAGCTGTTGATAGCAGAAAGGAGAGAAAAGATGAATAGAAAGAATCTTTCAATTGTGTTTGTTGGTATTATTGGTGAGCTGGCACGTAAACATTAGCCTCCCTTGAAAGTGATATTTTTTCCATCAGAATTCACCCCTTTCTTCTCACTTTCCTTGACTTGTTTAATATTGATGAATGACATGATCTAGTTTTCTATAGTATGTTTCTTATGCCCCATTACCCCGAGCTGATGGCCTGCCTCTGAAGGTATGGTATGCACGTGGGGTTAGAGGTGGTATGAGATTTCGTGATCATTGTTTCAGCTTCGGAGACTATTGCACCCGAATTGCCTACGGATTTTATCACAATAGCAACCATACTTTTCCATTCTGATACCGTCTTATTCTCCTTTGGAATACTTTTTCTCAGTACACACTGCTATAGTTTAAACATATTTGGAGTGATATAGGATGCTTCAATATCAGCCACCATATTACTACATTCGCCCTAAACCCAACACAGGTGATAGTTAACGATGAGGCTGTGATGCCGTCTGAGGCCACGATGCATGGTGTGCTAATCGAGTACTGGCATCATTGGTAGGTAGAGGAGGAAGCTTCAGCAGTTTTTTTTTAGATCGTAGGTGCTCGTCGTCACTGTCATCTCTATCGCTTGTGCTAAAGGCACGATGCTCAAAGTGACAAGATTGGTCGATCCTGTCTTTAGCCTCAGCATTTGTACACGCTGGTCATTCTCTCATATTGCTTCTATTGTTACGGCCTCATGATGTAGCTCCTCCATCTAATCTCCATTGCGATGATTCCGATGTTGAAGGACGGAGCTATGCCTGAGCTCCTAGGATCTGCTACTACCAGTTTCGCTTGGTCATATTCTAGATCATTGTCAAGCTTTGATACCTCAGCAAAGTGACAATTACAGAATATAAAAGTAGAAAAAGCAGCCGAAGATGTCTGTAAATTTTTAAAGGCTTCAAAAAAGGTCCGTTCGAAGTTCAGAGATGTTCTTGTTTCGTCGTTCTCCGCAATTTCTTACTCAACGTTCTAAGCAGACGCTTTGATAAGTCTTACCAGCTCTTTTCCAGATGAATTGCTAATCTAATAATATTCCTAGACATTGCTGATGAGAATCAGATCAGCCTTGGATAGATACATTGATCGATACAAAATCATCACTTTGAGATTGTTTGCTTATCATTTTGCTTAAGTTTAACCTATACCTATAAATCTTTTGTCTAGTAATGTTGTGTGTTTGATATCCTAAAAATGCATAGAGTCTATATTGGATTTATTATGGATCTATGCGCAGGACAGAGAAATAAGTGTCAAACATTCAAAATAGACGCTGTGTTGGAAAGATTGTTTTCCAATTGTTGGTGATAGTGGATGAATAGTGGGGGTGGCACAGTGCATGGGGGCCACCGATGCCTAACCGATGCGGGGAAGAGTCACTACCCCGAAGTGACATCCACTTGCCCATGACTAGAATCACAGCTGAACACAACTGTATATTTGATTTATATTAGTCGATGTTAGTCGATTTCAACCTACTACAATTCAATTCTCTCATAACTTATTTTCTTCCAGCAAAGAGAGCTACATACCAAAATGGCTCCTTGGAAAATAGTTCTCGAGCCTGTCGATGAGGCCAAAGTTCAATACACCTCATTCGCCAACGCCAGAAAGTATTTCGCAGTTGATGCTTCCGGGTCTACAGTTGGTATTACTTTTATTTCAGAACATGATTTTGCCGATAGAATTCATGAAGCATCTCTTCAAAAGGACAAAGATACAGTTACGAGATGGGGTTCCAACTGTAAGGACCCATCGAATTGGGAACAATTTTCATGGGCCCCTGATCAAGGAGGAACCAGTCCACAATTCATATTGAGGAATAAAGCCTCAATGGAAGCGATACATAATGCTGATATTTGGTTCTTACTTACGGATGGAGAGGTGCCTGATTCCGAGGTCCATACCTTGGCGGGGCTGGGACAGGAGATGGGTGTTTTTGATTGCGCGACGGTTTTCTTGATAACGTCGCATATGAAATATGGACCCAATCATGCGAATGTATCGGTTGGTATCACATCGTATGCAAATTGTGCAAATGCACTTTGTCTCTTCAAGGATTACAAAAGCGGACAAATCTATGTCATAGCCGGCAAAGGCTCTTTCGCGCCGCTAGATCAAGCTGAAGATCACGACATGTGGGAGAAATTAACCAGTTTCCCTAACGAAGTGGCGCTGATTCACAGAATCACGGAGTTGGACATTCAAGTCCCAACAGCGGAAACGAGAATCTCAACACCAGCTCATCTCAACCTAGGCGAGGAATGGAACGCGGCTCACAATCTTTCTCAACCAACTCTAGTGGACATCGACATACTTCTGCGAGCGGGTGTTTTATCAGATAAAGATCGTGATTTACTTTTCGCAGATGAAACTCTTGATGCTCTAATACTCGCTTGCAAATCCCGTGGAAAATTGAATGAACTCCGATCATTTTTCATTGCCCAGAAAGTCGAACAATTAACAATTAAACTCGAAGATGTGTCCGGTGCTGCAGAAATTATCACACAGCTAGCAAAGCCCGACATATCCGACGAAATGAAAAATATCTTACAATCCAAGCTACGCAATGCTCATGAGGCAAATCGAAACGCTTATACTGCTGCAAAAAACCATGTACAATTACAAGCTGTCCGAGATCGTAACAGGGCAGTAGACGCAGCATTACGTGCTCTATCTGACGCAGAAAAATCAAGATTCACAGCAGAAATACTGTCAAGAAGATCAAACCGAGCCCGCCGTGCCGAGAATATTTCCGCAGACTCTGCAATTGACGTTTCAGTGCTAGACCTCGAGGCATCAGGCTACAGAGGGGAATGTCAAATTTGCTGTGGCGATAATGAAGTATTGTCCGTTGCCCTCAAAGTATTGAGTGCAGATGTCATGGCGGCTAATACCGATAACTTTGCGCTTGATTTCCCCCTTGCGGCGGGAAGATTTGAGGCAAATATGAATATATTGTCTAGTCAATGTATTTGTTTCCAATGTGCATTATTTGGAAGACCTGGGTATTCGATTTACGGGGAGGAAATCTCGGCTGTTATTCCAACATTGGAGTATACGGGAAGCAACAAGTTGTACATTCATCAGCAATTGTACAAGGCTCTCAATGCAGGTTTGAAAACCGGGGTTCCGGCTATGGGACAGTTGTTCGCGACGATTTTGGACCGGACCTTAAGAAAGAAGGAGTGGGCTGGTGCGGATGCAGATGCGGAACATGGGGATGAAACTCTGGATGCGGAAAGGCGACAGAGAAGAGGCGCAATGACATGGCTGCTGAATAACATAATCACTCATCTCCGCGTCAGAGAGACATTCAACGAGTTAGGTCAATGGACTACATACCCTCTCGCTTTGACCTGGGTAGCCCAAGATTTCCAACGAGAAGGCTTGACATCCTGGTGCATCAACTATCCCGTCGCAGGCTTCATGCAACTTCTCCGTTTCGGGAAAACGCTAAATGTTTTCTCTGATGAAATCATCACCGACATGAAAAATACTAAATTGCTCCATTCATTCGTGTCCACTTTCCTCTCACGTCTATATAAAAACATGGGTAAATCCCGCGACTGGACTAAGCCGGTATTGGAACTACTGTACGTTGAGTTCAATGACGATTTAATTCCCAAAGACCCAGTAGGCGACACATCGATACTGAACTCCGTACCAAGATTCCGGAATACGCTGATGGAATTTATGCCTGGGGATGATTTCTTGGACAATTGGACAGAAGAAGAAGTCACGAAGATGATGCCCCGGATACAAATCTTAGCTTTCTGGTTGGTGTACTACCAATTTGCACATACATCTGCCAAGACATATTTCGCCCAACTGCAGTCTAAGGAACCATTAGCTCTTGTTTTACTAGATACGAAAGCGGCGGTTCCAGAAAATGCGCTTAGCGAGATACTTCTTGGAATATTCATTGAGTCCAACCCCAAATTCAAAAATAAGGACATATACACCAGCCATGAAGACGCTGTTATTCCCTTCGCAAGTCCCTTCGGCGCATCTGTATTAAAATGCGGAGCTCCGGGATGCGGTGTTTCTTTCCTCCCAGAAGAAATTACATTAAAGCAGATTGCAGATGGGGAAGTGGAATGGGTGCCACGCTTATTGGATCAGGTTAGAAAGAAGAGACGAGATCATTTAGTCGACGCCTTTGCAGTTCTCGGAGGGGACGCAAAAGAGACAGAAAGAAACGAAACCGGCTTACCAGGCGTAACGAAATCTCCAGCGCGGCCAAATGAAGCACATGTATGTATGCATATAGGGATTGCCAGAACATGGGCAAAACTCACGCGTAAAGAAAAAAGATATTTGGCAGGGGCAATCAAAAGTTCGAGGACTGGAAGTAGTGATGAGGAGGATAAGGAGGTTATTCGGGAGTTTGTGGTGAAAGCGAGGAAATGTATTTGTGGTATTGGAAGGGGAAATGTCTATTCTGCAACTATGGAAAGTAATATTACGGCTGTCTTACCTAGCTTCCTGGACGTTTTAGCGATGGGGTTAGAAATGGGAGGGAAAGAGGGTGGAGATGTGAGCTTGTATGAGTTTGACTTTGGAGCAAATAAGGTGGAAAGGAAGATCAAGTGGGAAGCGGATGCTTTAAGGAGAAACGGGTTAGTTTAGGGGGTGGTGCGCGTTGAGCGTTTGAGGCGTTCGCTCCGGTCGTCTCTAATCCAGTCCAGAAAAGAAGAAGAGATAACATTTATTGAGAACTTCGAATAATTAACTAACGACAAAGCCTTTGTTTTATCGAACTATTCATATCAAAATGAAAAAATTAATATTCAATTGGTTAACCTGACCTCAACTATGTGTGATCCATTGTTTAAATTAGGATGGATGGGGATGATTGAGTTCAAGTCAACTGAATTCACTTGCACTGATCCCGGCCACCCCCCTCGCAAAGGATGGAGTATCTACTTATAATATTGCCTGGGTGTGTTACGAATAACTTTTATGACTGATAAGTATGACTTGCATGTCTCTTTAATCCCGAATTGAAGTCTGTTCAATATTCATACAGAAAATCATTGATATAACAGCCATGGTATCCCGTTTCTCACAACATCAAGAATGATACCGGATACGTGTAGTCTTCCCAAACTTCATAGAGGCGAAAATTATATTCATACTAAAAGATTGCCAATAAATGATGGGCGTGTTGAAATAGAACTTTGGTAACAAAAGACGAACATGAGAATCATGTTTACTTTGTTTGTTTGATAAGAGCCGAGGGGGGCGTGCGTTCGAGGTGGGATAAAGAGCTTGTCCTGGTAATCTTATGATAGACTAGGATGCTGATGACCCAACACTCCGAAAATCCCTGATGACATGCCATGTGGCAATGAACGTTATGATCATGCAATGAAAATGCTTACTTTCAAAACATTCAACAAATTGCGAGTGAATATGGTGATGGAACTGGGAAAAGCATAGATCAATCTAATTAAACAGGGGAGACTTGAAAGATTCCAGACCCGAGTGACTGGTTTGCCGTATGCATACAAGGCCGAGAGACATATCAAAAAGGGAAGAAGCAATTTTGACGTGGAAAAAGAAGTTTTAGGCGTTTACTCCATTCAATAAGTATCGCTGCAATGCATAAACTATGTCACTGGTATGCATATTAAGTTTTCCGGTAAGTGATAGGCTGGCTAAGCATAAAGGTGCCGAAAACTCATCTTGGTTCACATCCGACTTGGAACTAGCTGTAACGTCCACTAGAACCAGGCCTCTAACGACATACTTTGTATGTTGGAGAATTGAATGGATCGCTTAGCAAAAGTGAATGGACCAACTTTGCAAAGAAGGAATATCATAGATTAACAGATCCTACATGAGACGAGATTCGAAAGCCAAGCGAATAAATTAAAATGGCGGGGTAACAAAAAGATTAAGCGGGAGCTTGTGATATAACACATATGCATCTCAAACCTGAGTATAAGTAGCAGTAATATTGCGTATCTCATGCATGACACAAAAGCTAGAAAGGCGCGTGTGAACAGCTCATTGAAAAAATATATTACTGAGCTAGTGACGATCGGCGGAATTGTGTTAGTCAAAACGGAACTAAGTAGAAGTTGGTCTTGACGGGGCTTCCCCGCCATTGAAAAAGAAGAATTTTGATTCTTTTGTTTGTCTCTAAGTCTGGAACGGCAGGAGATAACCTCTTTAGAACCCGTTGGTTTTGATGGTGGCGGGGTTGAAGGAAGGTCGGCCCTAGGGATATGAAAGGCTATCATTTAGACCTCAAATTGAATAGCGCATCAGACAAAATCATTGTGTGATGCGTACCGCAAGATGGTTAGTGGCGAGAGTAACGATGAAGTTCCAAGGCGATGGCACCATTGTGAATGCCAGCGTCCTTGGATACGCTTGCAACAGGTCTGGGCTTAACTTTTACCTCAATAGTTTGTGGAAATGAAGGGGCGAATTCCATAATAACAGAAGTATTTCACAAACACTTAGAACGGAATCTGAACTCAAATGAGACATTCTCACGATTGAAAATCTGAATTGAGAGGAAACATCATCATATTGAGGGAGATGAAGATAAGGGTCACGTGACACTGTCGATTATGGCGCTAGTCTATGCTTAGATTAGTCTTCAAGCGACAAATCAAACGCTTTAATTGTGAATTCACCCAACAACAATATCAATATCATCAATACATCGTTCGATTAGCAAACTCTTTACATTTTCGCTGACACCCCAAATTGATTGTATCTCCTTGTTATCGTACCATTCATCTTTTAGAGTTCGTCGCGTCTTTACGAAAACTCTTCAGAGCACGTCGATGATCAATAAGGGATGGTTTCACCCTGGCCATCTTGATACTCTATGAGCTTCATGAGCATGCAACATGAATACCCTTGGCCTATGCTTCCAACTCCTAAGAACGAGCCATTTCTAGACGAACTCATCAAATTTCCTTGGATACCAAAATTGGATGTCTCGAACATTGTCGACTTGTTTGTTTCCGGTTTTTTCAAGACTCCATTATGCCTGTGCTATTTTTATGATAGCCATGACAATGATGTCAAATGGATTCCAATATTGCGCCGGCCCTCCTGATTACTTCTGGCAACGATTGGGATGCATATAGGCAAGATTCACAAATTTAGCAATTTTCAGTTGCTGCTGTTGTTGATTTTATTACTACTACTCATTCAGTGTCGTCAAAAGAAAGCTACTCACAAGATAGTCTTACTAATCGCGAAGACGGACTGCTTGAAGCTTTCTGCTGGAGATGTTTACCTTTTTCTCGACAGACCGCAGGTTGGTCAGTGTCCTGATCTAAATCCTATTTGAGTTATAATCAATTGGAGCTCGAGGCCCGCAAAATTTTGTCACTTTCTTTACGATGGAATATTCTGCAGAAGCATCTACGGTGAGGATCAAGGATAATTGCCTGCACTCTCTTCATCCTTCTATTCCTTTAACTTATTTTCTTGTGTTTGATTGGCCACTTTATCTTGTTGCATGAACTGCCTGACCCGCATTGCTTGGACCTTGTAGTCAGGGTCTTAAGCGAATATTTGCGACATTGTCGAAACCTCAATGGTACACAGTCAAGCTTCTCATACCTAACTTGTCAAATATTGCTTCGTCAATTCTAATTGGCCAAGTGTACTTAATTAACTGTCAAGTTATCGTGATGAGAATCTCGAATCAGCAACTTCCCGAAATTTCTTTAGTGTTGTTTGCAGTTTATTGCATCCTCCTTCCTGCTCGAGAAGTCCAAACACTTTCCTGTAGAGTTTTCCCCCTTGGTTACCACAACCTTTTCATACTACCCATAGAGTCGAAACCCACATTTCGTGGCGGCGGCGTGGCCCATATTAGTTTAGTAGTATCCCCGCGACACTTCCTCCGCTCACAGGGTACGCCTGCCAGGACGGAGTTGGTAAATCCGCGCGTGGGCCACCCATTCGCCTTGTCGGATAAGCTTTCTTATACATCATGCATTTCGACGCCATTTGTTAAGCGCTGTCTGAGACTTTTTTACGTTCTCTTGATTTTTTTTCCTACTTTCGAGTCTGTCATTACTCTCTTCGTTACGTGCAGTGCACTCACTATTCATCACTGCTGGTTCAGATATCTTTCTTATTTTAATTTTTCTTATTCTGTGCCAGCTGGCTGGATCATTGATGCGATCCACTCTTTTTTACATTCCATTAATCACTTTCTTTTGCCTCTTCATTCATCAAATTCATACGTTTCATTATTTACCAAAACACTATCAATAGTCGTCATCGTTAAAATCTCATGACTTAACGAAACATACGGCAACGCCACGGCTCGCTGCCTACATTCACATCGACTGCCTCGACGTTAAGATGGGTGCAAGTTCGGCTTTTTATTTGATGATCCGAGCTGGACTATTGGATGGCACGGAATCGGCGTCGACATTTTTGAAAGATGCGCAGGATGCTAAGAATAATACTCTCGCGGAAGGAATTATAGAAAACTTGGTGTTTGCAGAAAGCAAATCGGTCAGGACATCGACTGTTATTCTAGCAGCTTTTAATGTACTGGCTTCGTTTGCAACGGCAGCCAGTATCCTTTATGATTCTTACTGGGCCTCGAAGCGGTGCAACCCGAAGTTCAAAGCTTCGTAAGTGGGAATTGCTTATATTCTGGTGGGAGGTTACTAAAGTGCGATAGGCAATTCTGCGTTTCGATGATACACCCGGCGGAAACTTTTCCTTTGGTACTATCTATTGGTATTGTAATTCAAGGAATTATCTTTGCTGCAGTTCAAGGAGAGGGACTTAATTCATTATTTACATCCGGATGCAGTATTATCGCTCAATTCATGTGGATTGGTAGGTTTGGATTGATGCTCGTAATACCTCCAATACTAATGGCATTTAGCTCTTTTCATAGTCCCATACATTCAACTTGTCTTCGGTCTCGAATGTGCAATACGATCTTTAAGGAAAACACCATTCCAATCGAGAGGAAAATACGATGTAACAATCTGCTTGGGAACAATCTTGTTAATGTTAATTGGTACTTGGCTTCCAACAAACTTATTTCCGGAAAACAATAGATGCTTTGCTTCATTTCTATGGTTTGTGTCAAAATTTGGAAATTTCGGATTCATTTTATTTTCCGCTGTTGCCGGTCTTCTTATCATCGCTTCGATCATCATCTTTGTCAGGTTATCCAGGACGGCATTGGTAGAGCGAAATCAAAGGATTGCAGCCTCTCGTATGGTATATTATTTACTAATAGGTGTTGTATCATTGGTAATTTCATCCCATTGCTGTCTATATCATTGGCTAATGGGTACAAGAGTTTTGTAATTCCGTATTTTGCTTCCCAAACCATCGGACATGGTGACTTGAAGTTGGCCATGATGGCAACCGTGGTCCTTAACTTATCTGGTTTGATGAACGGTTTGCTCCAATTATTCTTACGATCAAACACTGCAACTGCATCATTTGGGCCAAAAGGCAGGTCCTGTCCTAATAATAAGCATGAGATCAGAATATGGGGACCAAACGAGTTAGCATTTAACAATCAAATAATGGATCCTGTACAGCCGCCGGTGTCTCCCTGGTCAGGAATGGTGAGTCGAGCAGATAGCCAAAAAAGTTCTATATCCCCAACCGACAAAAGCGCCGCCATTAACAAGACGGAGCTCCCTATCCTACAACCGCCGATGTATTCCCCGACGAAGGCGAACTCTCAGCGCTTTAAAGCCATTAGTTCAATAACTTCGACACCAGCACCTCAGACACCGACCGAAAGTTTTCCATCCGAGCACACGAGAAAACAATCATACTCTCTTTTCCCCGCACCAGCTCTCCAAAGTCCCAACACACTATTGCCTCCTCGCATGAACAGATCTGCTTTCGAATCAGTGTACGATATCAGCGACCTTTCAGACCTGGAAGCGCCTCCCTCACTCCAAGGAAAAAGAGGCCATAGAAGAGGCTCTTCTGTAGCTTCATCAGCAACAGTACAAATCGGTATCCGCTTCTCACATGCACCACCACCTCCCGCTGTTCCGGGAATGCTCCCTATCGCCGTCCCATCATCAACTGACAAAGCAAGTGGACTCCCCGCCTCGACTTTTCAAGCCCTCGCTCTCCCCCCGACAACTTATGCTCCCACATCAAAGTTCAACCCCGCCACGCAGACCACGTCTGCTCCACCTAGGATTCTTCTACCTCCAATAAAAACAACAAACCTCGCCAAAAACATCATTCCAATCCCACCTCGCTCACCTTTCAGGCCTTCTGTTGATACAAACACCGCAACTCAACAATTCCCAAAAAGATCAAATCCTTCTCGCATTAACTCTCCGCAACAATCCCCATCCTATATAAACAAAACCCTCCCGGCAACACCCAAACCCATTGCTCCAAAACAACCAGCCATCGAACGTTTAGAACAATCCAAAGCAATCATCCAGCTTAGCCCTACTGTGTACACGCCACCTAAAAGTTTACTGCAAAGAAATGGTTCTGCAAAGGCCGTTCTCCCGGGCTCGGACTTTAACCGCCGAGATTCAAAGTTTGGACAGGCGAGTAGGGATCAATGGATATGATTTACTCTATAAAACAGGAATGACCCCGTTTTACTTCAGTCTGTTTTGCAAAAGGAGAGAGAAAAGAATTATGGCCCAACTAAAGGGACGGAGTTGTTTGAATCTAATTACACCTGCTTGTTTGGGATTTGATATTTTACTTCATTGGTGTTTATTACCGGGATCCTGGGGAACAAAAGAATAGGATGGGTGGATTAAATCACGATTCTACTATGTGGCGTTATATACCGTGATATGTTATTGTCTATCGCAGACAATCGGAAGATATGTCGGATGAAAGGCTATCTCTTTTGAGCTGCGACTTTATATACGCTGTGTTTTTTCTACGATTCTACAGTAGCATAGGAATTTCTTATGATTTCGTTTGGGGTTATGGTTGCAGGTTGACAATAAGGAGAAGAAGAGGTCATGACTTGTGTATATTCTTTATTTGGAAATATGGGATGGAGATGGAGTGTGTAGATATGTTGGGACGAGGTATGAAAGTTACGATTGGATGATGAGTTTGACGTGATGGGTATATTTACACTAAAATGCTGATTTTATTGTACCTCTGCTGAGAAAGAATTGATTATTATGAGATGAAAGTTGCTATGACTATCATCACCACATTTCTATTCCAACAATTTTTCATATTCCCTGTCTTATATTAGCCTACCAAATCCTTCGTCTCATCTCACTCCCATCTTCAAATTCCCCATAATCTCACAATCTCACAACCACAAATTCACGCCCCCCTCATCTCAAAATTAGCTATCCATTTGTTGAACAATGATAGGTGCAACTACCTAGTTTTATCACCTCAGTGGCAATATTCTTGCAGTATTCTAGAACATCCAAACAGAATCCCAAAGAATGTAGAAATATTCGCCACTAAAACGAAAATAGCACGAGGTGTTCATGCAAAGCCGATGTTTCACATTTACTTTGCCACAATTTTCCTTATTTTAGCAACATGTAAATGGGAAATTTTGCGGAAGATTTTGTAGAGAGAGGTAGGAAGATTAGATTATGAATCGTTTACTTGTGAAGGAAGTCCAATGGGTAGATTTCATAATCATATTTACTCCTAGCGAAAGAAAAATCTCACTTCCAAGTTCTTGATAGAAACTGTCTACTTTTCTTTCCATTTCCAACCATGACTGCCGATCACTTCTCCCGTCCCTCTCTCCCATCATTCTCACTATTCTAGAACAAAACTCCTCCCCATACCACTCGACCATTGAACTCACATACCCTACATGTACATCGAATCCCTATTCGCCACGACCACCTGCTATACAATCACAACGTTCGGAACGTCAAAAATGCCGATTGTTCTAGAGTAATTCGCAGCTCTATCCTTATTAAGTTTAGGTTAAGCTTTTTGCTTGTATAGCTTGTTAGCTTTAAGAGGGTTTATGCAGGGGGGATGAGAGTGGAGAATTGTGGAGGAATAGTGGGAATGTGGCTTGTGGAGGGGTTTAGTGGGTAGTAGGAGGGGCATATGGTGAGACGAGGATGGTTTGATGTGAGGGGTTTGAGGATGGAGATTGCCGAGAAAAGGGGCCTTTTATGCTGGGGATATGGGATGAAATGGGGCGAGGGGAATTTGGATGTGGATGTGGGCTCGAGAAGGGGCAAGATTTAAGGAGAGATATTGTTAGATTTGGTGATTAATGCTATGGTTTTGCTATTTATATGAGTAGTCAATTCCCCTATTTTGTATTGCGGTTTGAGCAAAGATGAGTGTTACCCTATCCGATGTATTGGAGAGAAATTTCTCGGTGAGTAGGAAGATAACGTAGAGTGCATCGGTCTAGGAATTGTACTCAAACTTGAGCTCATAAACTAAGGGGTTTGAATAGTACCGCAGGTATTGCATATTGATCTTATAGTTCCCTGTGTGTATACATGATAACTTTGAGGTAATATAACCTGTATCGTTTAGAGCTTAAAGAGATATTACAAGTGGTATCTTTGTCCTTGTCCTGCACAAGATAGGCCCGTATTGCTATCCCCAAGATTATAGTGAGATAGGGATGATATTCAGAGATATGGTTTTCTACTCGGTTTACTTGGTTTAAGACTACGGGATGATATTCCGGAGATTGATAGAGTGCAATATGAACAGCTAGATTAAAGACATTTATTGGGGTTCTGTATAGTTGGAGAGTAACAAATAGTGGTAATTCGGTATACAAATTTAACTAATGAATAAAGGCAAGAGCAAACGGACATGGGAAAGATGTTGGATAATTATTGGGATAGTTGAACAACTAACTTGGTTGACAAGCTTGGGATGGATGTTTTAGTTGTTGATACCAAGCAAACACTTATTTAGCTTTGGGTAACAGCTGAGGCTATAGAGATAGTGTAGCGAAATAGTCTAGGGGACAAATTGTTAGGTGAGTTTGGAAGAGGAAAGGGAAAAGAGCCAGTATGTATCTTGGAGGGTTGGAGCTTGAAAAAAAGTGCACCCTTTGTCTTCTTACACCGGTTATTGAAAATTCTTCTAGGTATCGAGACTTATCTACTAAGGTCTTATTTAGCACTGGTTATGATAAACCAGGCCATCTAAATACAATTGTGTTATTTAAGGGATTCTAATCACTGAAGTTCTCTGATGTTCGTAGGAGTAGATCCAGTACCTTAAAACTATTGATTGTAAAAATCAGATTAAATATACCAGATTGGTTACAATTGATAGAGTAATTTCTATGCATAAATCTGTCTCGGTAGAAGGATCATTATACTCAAGCTAGACTATTGGAAAGACCAAACTCAAAGTGAGGTGCACTCGCTCAGTAATCACTGGTTAAATTAACAGAAATGAATATTTAGAGGTGTGTAAAATGTGCCTTCCTTGAATAACATCATATTTCTTTCCTATCTGGAAGGTTACTGCCAATTTGACATGTTTATCTACCTTCCCACTTCTCAGCCACAAAAGTCCAGTTCAAATTTATTCGTCAAGAACACTTTTCGGACCATCCTATTTTTGATTGATTCATGACTTAGAATTGGCTTCGTATTTTTCTAAATCAAACTTCTACAATGACGACACAATCACAAAATGGAGGGATACACGTTCCATGCCCTGGAGATATGGACTACGGAGAAGTACAGTCTGTACTGCGTCCGGTGCGGCTCCCACTTGGCTGTGTCCTGGAAAATCGGGCCTTGAAGACTGAATCGTATGAGTCCAAAGTTCTTTTTAAGACTTCCTTGGTATTCTTACAAATGGTTCTTGACTCTCTCGAGTCCAAAGATCTTGCAAGTTTCGCACTTTTAAACAGAGAATGTCGTCAACTAGCTCGCTCCCGTCAATTTTGTGCCGTTAGTATTGACATCAGTCCTCGCTCATGGGGTATTGTAAAGATTTTGTGTCACGAACGTCTGGAGCGCGAAAAGAGTAATAATGGCGTGGTATCGTTCCCAACTTTAGGTGCCTGTATTCGCGGTATTTCTGTAAAGATCCAGGACAACTTCACTGGAATGCCAATAAAGGACCCGTCTTTGGAGCATAGACTAGACTGCCCACAAACGTACCGTGTACCTTTGGGAGATTACAACGAAAGAGCAATTTATGATATACCTTTCGAGTTGCGGAAAATTCTCTGTTGCCAATGGACATTACCATATCTTGAAACCTTGAAATGGAACCTGAACTATTGTTTTGATAATTCACTTGTCAGGGCGCTGGCACGCCCCAGTCTACAGAATCTTATACTTTTCGACGTTAGTGTGGATAAAATGCTCGCGGCGATTCATCATCGACGTGTAACTCTTCGCACACTCTTTGTGAAACCTCATCAAACAGATATAGAAGGCAGAACGTATCCGCTTTGTCTTCTTCTACTAGAACATTCTGCTCCTACAATTGAATGTCTGGTTTGGCATGGCCTCGGTGTCATTGATTGTCATCTATGCTTACGTGCCAAGCTCCTTTTCCCTCAATTATGCAATTTATACCTGAGGCAAGCAAGTCCGAGCATTTCTATCCTCACCAGTCTTTTACAATCGGAAAAGCTCAGGAATTTGCGAATTGATTATGTTAGGCCTATGAATGACACATTACGAAACTTCTTCGACACATACGGCCGTATAGAGACTTTGGAAACATTTTCGTTTTCAACACCTCATGTAGGTTTCTTGAGAGCGAACAACCAATTGTCCAACATCAATTTCGATTCTACACGTGCTGGGCGAGACTCCATTAAGGAATCTGTCATGGTATTAGAAATTCTTGATAGTTCACAGTTCAATAATCTTACCTCTCTTGGAATACAATTTTCAAAGAAAGAGGAAGATTTTCCGAAAACAGCCCTTACGCTTATTGGCCGTCTGACCCAGCTCAAACAACTTCTCATTTCGAATGACGGCGGCATATTTGCTCCAGCCACTGATCATGATATGATCTTGAACTCCTTAAATCTTCTGGTAAAGCTCGAGAAGGTTGTCATCGAAGGAGATGTTTATCAACCCGATAGTTATCATCGCCCTGTTCAGTACTATACAGCTACATATGCAAGCGACAAGGACACATTTGATAAAAATATGTCTGAAGAAGAAATCTCTAAAGCGAAGTCTGATCCTAAAGCGGGAAAGCCATACTGGCAATTAAGACATGGTGCAAAAATGAGGAAAATAACTATAAAATACAAGGAGCGTTTCCAGCAACTGAAGTTTCTTTATGTGGGTAAAGGAGCATTTTGTTTTGCCTCCGAGACAGATCAAACTCCCTGGCAGGTCTATTCTTCATCAAAATTGACATTTGATTTCTTTACAGGAGAGATGTTTCATATGGCACCATGGGACAGATTGCACGACGGGTGGACTTGACGTCTTTGAGGATTTTAAGCTCTTGAAAACCTAGTTTATAAAACATTCGATAAATTATAATTCAACGAAAGATCGTTGCATACATTCCCACTTAAAGTTTCCTTGAACCAAACGCTTGAATACTAGTCTAACCAGAGCATCTGGTAGTTCAGGGCGCTATCCAGAGTTGGGGATGTCATTGCTAAACATACCTCGACAAAGACTTATACCTGTCTTCAGTGGCACTCGAAAAGTAAGAAATTCATCAGGAATGTAGAAGAAACTAGACCTTAACATGATTGAATAGTGCTTCGGAGAAAATCAGTATTTCAGCACCACACTCGTGGTGGCAGCAGAATTCAGTTCTTTCCTGGTGAATCGATATCTGAGTTGACTTACAACGACGCCTTCTGAGGTTCCCGCACTGTATCTTCTGAACTACAGTTTATGTCTAAAAGCGTTAATATAAGAATTTTACTTGTTATCTTGGCATTCATATCATTGATAAGCTATTTGCCTGTAAATTAGATACCTTTTCGTTGACTTTTGTTATTGATTATGATTTTTATTTAATATTGTCGAGGATATAATATGATGTAGAAAAGATATTGAATGCCCGCCCCTGTACATATCTCAAGGTAGTACAGGAAGTACTACGTTTTCTTTCTTTTGCTTTTTTTCTTGTGTCACCCCGTACATCCTTCTCATGCAGTGCAATCTTCTCCAGATTTCCAAGTTGTTAACTCTCCTTCAAAGAAGTTATGTCTATCTTTATTGATATTGAAAGAGTACGAGAGCAGGCAGAACTCTTAACGCTCTCTCGCTGTTCCTTCATTCTCGGCACCGGTACTGTCCCGTTCCGTGGCGGCGGGTGTTTGGTGTATGCTCTTCAGGACCAAAATCAAACGAAGATTGGAATCCGCATACCACATGCGGGATGGTTCGCTCCCGGCGAAGTCGGAGGGGAAGTTTATTTTCGAAAATCTCTTGAGGAAAAAATTGTTTGCGGACTCCAAAAAATGATCGCATTCAATGATGAATATGAAAATCATTTGGGACATCCTTGGATTGCTTTCCTTTGGATCGACGGCCAAACCTTGAAATGATCTGTTTCGCAACCGAAGCAACAGTTAAGACGGATGGCTCTCATGGAGGGAATAACACGGATCAGTGTTGATTTTCTCCAAGTTCAAGAGCTCGGTATTACTACAACAGTATGTTTGGGATTACTGACTAACTTTTTCAAGGCTGCTCTGTAAGAACATGGAGGAAAACGAAAATAACTCGAAAGATCAAGAGAGTGGAATCTAGGGCCTTGCAAGGTGCGAATTTGCTGAAAGATTGTGAATATCAGGAGCGATTGATAGATCGATACCTACCACTTCAATGCGAGGAAGTACCTCATGTGCTAGTCCACAATGATCTCTGTGGAAACAACATAATTGTTAACGAGAAGGCTGAATTGCAATGGTATAGTCAGAATGAATCCTTCAAGCAGAGTATGTCTAATCAAACATAATAGTGTCATTGATCTTGGCCAGGCAGAAATGCTACTAATAGCACTCGCAGCTGTTTATCCACCATTTCTCACACACGATCCGACCCTGGAAGGTCAGGAGATCAATTGGGCTGCGAGAGATACGGAAACTATGCAACGAGATCGTGCCTTCTATCTTGGCTGTATTCGCGAATTGGCGCTAGCGAAAGGGGGGCTGGTGGAGGAATATTATACGAACTTGGCTAGAAAGGACGAGATTGATAAGTACTGGTGGTTTGTTGCTGCAACCTCCAAATCGATGCATAAGGCCATGGTAGCTTGCAATTGGAAACCACCGGTAAAGTATCGATAGTATTTCCTCTATTTTTCCCGACCAGCAATAAATATTTCTTGCACTTGAAAGCATCTTTCGCTGCATTTTTAAAGGAACGATTATTCTCATGCACTCGCCACAGTTTTTCTTATGTGTCGCCACCTTTTCATTTTGTAGAGTTCACTCCAGAACTTTGCCTAATTACTATATTAGATTCACAAACGAAACAAAAAAACTTCCTCCCACACCTATCACAAACTCTTCGGCGGCCTGGTAATCCCCGTCAAATAATCTCCATTAAGCGTTTTAAAAACTTTTCCTAGCCCCTCATGACTATAATCCTTCTCATTCCACATATCTTTATGATAGAAAACTTTTTCCTCATCTCCTTCTTTGACGAGTTTTAAGCTTACAAGACCTAATTATTTCGTGTAACTTAATATTTTATACACTCTAGAACCAGGGGTAGAAATTCGATACGGGAACTTCAGGGAGAAAATACATACTATCAACACTCTTAGCTTTAGGTGAAAGTTTCGGCTTGTATTCTTGTCGTAACTTAAATACTATTTCGTCATCTGAGCATTTAACGATTTCGGTAGCGAGAGTTTTGGTCGAGGCCATTATCATAGGAATTCCTATCAATTCCACATATTAGTCTTTTTCTCCTCTCCTTAATCCTTTCTCTCCACCATCCCTTCCCCTTTCTACACCCCTCTCCCCCCACAAAAGAATCAACTCACCATACCACTACCCCGCAATCTTAAACCTATCATCACAATAACATAACTCCACGGATCATCATAAATCGCCTTCTCAGCATAAACACGCATATCCATTTCTCCCGTTCCTCCTTCTACACAACTACCGCTATACAGCGATGTAATACTATTAATAACTTTTTGACGTGTAGGAGAAAGAGGAATGGAGGTGGAGGGATCAGGTGTGTAGTTTACTTGGTTTGGGTTTGAGGGGGTGGAGGTCAAAGCGATGGGGTTTGGGTGTGGTTCGTGGTGGGTGGCGGGTGTGGTTGTTGAGTGGCCTGTTGACATTTTTTTGTATTGGGGTGTTATTTTGTGGATTTGTACAGTATTTTGGGATGTATAAGATAGGCAGTGTAAAATGAGATTGCTAATCTTATAAATATTATAGAAGAATGATGATATACGACTTTACGTATTGTTCAAAGATATTGATCCCAACTCGTGACGTCATCGATTGAGCGCATTGAAGTCATTCAGGTACCGCTTAATAACCCTTCGACTATCAACCAACATACTGTGATTCACTTCTAAGACAAAGCGAGGCATTGTACTAAAAGCTTATCTGCACGTCTACACAAATCCCTGATGCTCCCTGAATTCACATTTTGAAAAATAAAATGTATCTTGTTCAAATACCAACTTGGAACATTTTTATCAATTCCACGCTCTGCCATTCTCTGCAAAGCTTTGAAGCTTGTCGCTTGACTTTAAACTCAAATCTAGTAGAAAGCAGTAAGAAAAGCACATAAATTCAGCACCCTCAATAAATCAAGTCAAGACTATTGGTGCACCCTGGACGATTCATATTTTCTTACTTAATTAGATATTAGTAAAGCCATATTGGCGATTACTAAATAAGAATATTTCTGATATTAGATAATCCAAACCCAGTCAACGAGGTCTATGTATCCCCTTCATGTACTCCCGTCCCTAAAAGACCATGTAACGCTAGCCACTGACTATACAATCTGTATATAGTCTGTATGCAGTTCCTAACTCCAGCGCCGTCATAATTCACGTCCTAGATCTCATCGCATTATCATTCATCATAAATATTACCGAACTGGTATTTCCCAAGCAACATGATTCTCTTCATCCTCTTCCCATTCTAATTGATCTTCTTCATCCATTAATGCCATTCGTACGAATCTCTGGACCCAAAGCTGATTTGCTGCATTTTGACCAGGATTCTCCTCAACAACATCCATGCCACCTCGGCCTCGGCCTCGTCCAGCTGGCTGTCGTTGACCTTCTTGTCCATTCAAACGACCAGCACGAGCACGTGGAGCACCATTACCACGACCGTGGTTCTGTCGATGCCTTCTATTAGGCTGTCCATGTTGGGCTTGTGGAGCATCGGGAACTGCGGGTGCAGGCTGTGCCACTGGACGGGGCTGATTCAACCGTAAAACTAAAGGGGCTTGTCGTTCTACTTCCTCTCTCTCGCCTTGCTCTATCTCTTCTTCAAGCTGCAGAGCCTCCGGCTCTTCTTCCTCAAAGTCAGGTGCCTCGAATTCCTCTTCTTCAAAAACCATAATATTGGCCTCCTGCACTCCACCATTGTAACCGCGTCCAACGTCGTCTCCATCACCAGCTTCAAGCTCCCAAAGTCGTTGGAAACAGCCAGCAGTTTCTTGATTGAAATGCTTGTAAGGATTTTGAGGTTCCAGCCAAGCCGAACATAGATAACAGAAATGAGAGTTGCATTTGAAACAGATCATATGGTTGCATCCGTGCGTTTTCTGTACTGGAGCTGCACATGTAGGGCAAGGTGTAGTATGAAGTTGCATGTATTCCAACGAAGCTTTTTCCTCTTCAGAAAGCTCTTCATTCTTTCTCTTTGGAGCGCATAATTTGAACTCCCCATGCCAGCCCTGTCCACATCGACTGCAGAATGCATAAGAACAGTCCTCACAGATTGCGAGAAGGTCCGCCCCTGAAGCATACCCTTTACCCTTCTCTTTTATCTCCGTATCGGGTTCATCGTCAGAACTACCATCATCCTCGAGACCTTCTGGCTTACGATATTTCTTTGACCTGGCGGCCCCATCACACCAAGCCCTTGGACAGTACACGGTATTTTTATCGGATTCCAACTGAGCTTTATGCTTCAATTTGACAAAACGTGTGACAACATCATGTTCAAGAGGTATTTGAAGGAGTTCGCTGGGACTCAGTTGAGTTTTCGGCTTTCGAGTCTTTTTGGTGCATCTTTCGGCTCGCTCCTTTGCGCAGTTCGGGGCCAGACAACGAACTAATATTAGGTCACCCTCTTTGATCGCATTGTTGTAGAAATCTTGCAAACATTCAACGCAAAAGACGTGTCCGCAATCGATCATTTTATGGCAGGCGGAACCTTTTTTCGGATCTGAATACAAGTCAGCAAATGAAAATTATAAGGACCAAGGAGTACAATACCAAGACAGACACCACAATCATAAGTTCCCTTATTAAATGCTGATTGTATAGATTTTATATCAAAATCGAGCAAGGCGATCTTATCATCTTGTCGCATTTCTAATATTTTGCCCTCTTCTCCATAACCAAAAGCATTCTCAGCTCCTTGTTGTAGAGAATCAATGTATGCAAAGACTACCAAGTCACGACCCATTTCTTCCCACATGCGGACTCCGTCGGCCTCAAGTTCGTCAAGGCGGGCTTGGGGAAGCCATGCCGGTGTTGTGGAGAGTTCAAACTTCGGGGGGCGGGTTTCTGGATAGCCTTCTGGCAAAGTAATATGTAGTTGTAGCGACGGTAGATAGGTGACTTCGTGCGACTCGGTATTATTAACTTGAGGGTTCTTGCTAGCGTTTCCTTCCTCGTTGCCTGAACTCGTAGACAGTGGCGGGGTAGGGATGTCCAGCACGGCATCGGATGCAGTGGGAAATGCGATTGTGACCGGTTTACGAGGGTTAACGGGTAATTCAATGGATGCGTGAAACGGATCAGTGGGATTGAACTCAATTTCGGGAAAGATGGCGGCAACGCAATCAAACTCCTCTGTTCGCTGGTCCTCCATCTTTATAAACGATAGCACAACAACCGATAGAAGAAGATTGATAAAAGGACGAGCTTCTGCTTCGTGGAGGGGAGGAAATTAGACCACCGAGGTCATAAATATGAGCGAAATGGCCCAGACATTCAAGCTTCACACACTTGAAATTAGTGACTGGAAGGAGGGAATTTTCACGGTGGCGATGATGTGTGATAATTCGATTACGATGAATAAGTAAAGGAGTGAATGGTTTCAATTAAATCAGCAAACCATTTTAGAGAGCTGGTTTAAATAAAAATGTTATGCCGCTTTAACAAATTTTCCGATACGGTGGGGCTACCCAAATAAGGCTCGGGTGGCCAAGCCAAGGTCCAGAGCTTGCACGAAGTATAATACTAGCTCCGTAGGTAACTCAATACCGCCAGCAGAACATTGATGGACCAGCATAGATAATGCCGTACCAAATTCGATTCATCAAATTCCTCCGGTAACGAACTTTGCGCGTGAGATAGAGAAGATTGTCACAAAGGAGTGGGTGGGAATTGTTTCAAATCTCAGCGAGCCAGATCAATAAGATGGCAGACACCCCATTAGCCTCACTCTCCTTGACACATGTTCATTATGTATGTGCCGTCTCTCATTCCCATACGAACGAACTATGCTAACTGTCTTAGGATCCTAATGATCCGGTCTCCTACTTTTGCGCATGGCTCGCTCTCGTACCCCAAGGACTCTGCGTCGTATATGCCACCCTCATTTGGTCGACACGCGAAATTGAGATTCTCATGATGTTTGGTGGGCAAATGGCCTGTGAAGCCTTGAACTTCATTCTGAAACGTATATTGAAGGAGGAACGCCCCAAGCAAATGCATGGAAAGGGTTATGGAATGCCATCCTCCCACTCTCAATTCGTGGCTTTCTTCTCCATAAGCTTGACATTGTTTTTGCTTTTTCGACATGTTCCAAAAAAGCCAACACCGTCACATACACCACTAAGTATCACGGCTCGAATTGGACTATCTGGACTAGTTTTGATCAACGCTGGATTGGTGGCTTGGAGCAGAACCTATCTAAACTATCACACACCGAAACAGGTAATCGTCGGCTGTATTGCTGGAACTGGAAGTGCTATATCGTGGTTTTTATTGACCACTGCTGTCAGGAAGTCGGGATTACTTTCTTGGATTTTGGATTTATCGGTGACGAGATTATTCAGGATGAGAGATTTAGTCGTGGAGGAAGATTTATGCCAGGCTGGGTGGGAGAAGTGGGAAGTGAAGAATGCATCTTTGCAGCCATCCATCAATGGCAAGAAAACTCGCTGATTGCTGAAGATACGTGTCAGTCATAATGTCATAATTATAGCCTCGATATATATTATCCCGTCAAACCTATCGTCCCTCCGAATGAATTTCCATGATTCCCACAGATGTAATACCTTAAAGAGATATGGACCAAAAATGATCTGGCCATCTGTTTAACATTCTAGGATTTTAATCTGGAAAGAAGAAAATTCCTGCCTAATCACAGTCCAAACCTCAGGTAGTCCAGCATCCAGGTCATGATTTTTAAATGAAATCTTGTACCATCTTTCTATCATAGGACGAGATACGACTACTAGACGTTAGTGTAACAGCTGCCCGGACGTACTTACGACCAATGCTTTCATAGGGCTTCCCGGACGTTGCTTGCAAGCGATTCTATCTGCCCTATTGCTATTTGTGATCGAACAACCACCAAAATGGGCCTTTGTACTGATACGGGGCCACCTGCAGGTACGTATATGAAGTCGAAGGCCCAGTCAGCCTGCTCAGAATTAGGGCCGACATGCACTGATAACGCAATTAGGAAGCCGAATTGTAGATAAATTCCAGACCTCGAAATGTGCCCCTGAATCTATCTCGAAATCATATTAGATGTTGAGCCTATCTCATCGACAAGCCAACCAGGAACCTGCTTGGAATAATTTTTCCATGCGATACGACGAGAGCCGGATCAACAAATGGTGAATGTCCTAATATTTCAATCGGTAACTAACATTATACCCTATTTGATTATCTCCATTGTTGACAAGGTCTCGAAAAGCTAAGTGTGGAAATACGCTGCTGCAGGACGAGAAGAGGTTAGAACTATGCAACCCTGTATCCCGGCGTATCTAACGGGAACCAACGATCAATGCAAGTGTTGCAGCAGGCATAGACACGCCTCTCAATATTATGTATATGCGGACAATGCAGAAACGTTACAGCGGTGATATGTCACCTAGAGAAGTGCTTTCAACACGTATGGCTGCGGGACTTTCTCTCGAAATTCATCCCACCATCAAAGATGTGAGCGAAGTATATTCGACTGACTAATTTCACATCAAGTTCGAAGTTATTTCGAATGATTACGCAATCTAAGTCTAATATCATTCATTGTTCAGGCTCGATATTACTTATCGTCGGTTATGCGCTATCTACCAGGGTTGAATATGATAAGCCTTTTTGCTTTCCCCTCTTTGCCAGTCTGAACAAACCACCTTTACTAGCTACCATCACATGTTGGACAGATGTTTAATTCCTGACAGTTCGACGGCTTTTATCTGGCCTACGTCACTCTTCTAAATTAAAATTTGGTAAGTATTTCCATGTAGCCAGCCCGGAGTTACATAGATCGATTTGTCATATTTCTGTTTGGTAGAGTTTCATTACTTCCCTTATCAAATGCACTCTACTGTCGTGAAACAACAGTTGGACAGCAGTGTACATAACACCTTCTATTTCGATTACCAGATGCATACAGTGCATGCTCAAGTTGCTCAAGTCTCAGTGGACAGGAGCCGATTGATCAAATGAGTTCCATTTCCGATCGAGACCCATGCCTCAATTGAGATTATTCAGAGCAACATATATACCACACATTTGGTCAAACCCTTGCATTTGGTCGAGATTCGCAATTGTTATCTAGACTTGCTGGGTCTTGAGAATCTCTTTTCATGTCATTTCGAATCAAGCAACTACCGACATGCATTGCCATCGGCTGGGCCCTCGACAACCCATCAGCCTCCAGAAAGGATGCATCCATGTGCAATCAAAGCTTTTTACTAAAACGATTATCTCATTGTAATTTCTATAAGACGATTGATACTCAAGTCATTGCAGCCTAAATCCTAGCAAGTTCTGTACTTCTGGCGCGTATGCGTAGTATTGCATGCAGAATCACTTCATCGATATGCATCCATAAAGAAATAGTAGTAAAGATCCTAGATATTGAACTTTTAGCTAGGCTTCACTTTGACTTTGAAAATGTGCTCTGTCCAATTATCTCGTGCTATTGCGCTAGTGTAGAGCCTCTTCTGTCCACAAACGGTCCTTCTCAACCCCTCTTCATGGCTATACGACGTTACCTACAGCGAGAAGACTACGAGCATTTGTTTGGAATCCAAGTATCAGACTCAGAATCTCAAATCCAGGCGAAATTCGGCCGTTGTAGTATCTTTCTCGATATTGTGAGCTGCGATTGTCGAGAGCGGTCAGGGACAAGTGAAGTATAAAGTCCCTCTGTGAGTACTTGTCTTATATGCCAAGAGAGTGCTCACCCAGAGTTAGATCCTCCTCAAAAACACGAAGAATGCTTATCAAATATCCTTTGCTGTCATTTGCCGTTGCTGTATATGGAGTTACTTTACCAGATAGTGACTTGGTAGGCAGAAGCACCAATGACACTATATTGTATACAAATGTCAATACCGTCAACAGGGCATTCGTCGTTGAATTTGGAAAAGAAATCAGTACCTCTCTTTCCGGACGAGATCGCCGCAACATCTTCCACAAGCGGGCGGCGTCAATTAGCTACAATATTCGCCACGAATTTGATTCGACAGCTTTCACCGGGCTCTCAATATCTGTCACACAAAGTGGCACCGATGAAGAACTGCAACTACAGCTCCTAGAAATCCCTGGAGTAACAGGTGTCTGGCCAGTTTATGAGGTTCCTCGACCTGGTACATTTTCCAATCTGACGAACTCCGAGAACACCAGTGTAGATATTTCTTCTCTAGGAAAAAGACAGACAAAAGGAACCACGACAGGAAATTTGGCGTCCGCTCTCGAAATGGGTGGTATTGATAAGTTACATGCGAAAGGTATCAAAGGTAAAGGAATCAAGATCGGGATTGTAGATACCGGGGTCGATTATCGCCATCCAGCACTAGGTGGCGGTTTTGGACCCGGTTTCAAGATTGCGGGTGGATACTCTTTTGTGAATGATAACGGAGTTTTAGGGAATAGCCCTGACCCTTTATCCACATGTATCACTGGAGGACACGGAACCCACGTATCGGGTGAGAACAGCCCTTCTCTTGCCCTTCCTCATGGCTAACTAATTACTTGTAGGTATTCTCGGAATGGATCCAATTTCTGGAGATGGTTACTTCCCAATCAGCGGCGTCGCTCCGGAGGCTAGTCTTTATATGTACCGTACCTTTGATTGCGCAAATGCAGGCGGCAGCGACACAATTATGGCCGGCATGCTGAAAGCACAAGGTGATGGCGTCGATATTATTAGTATGTCCCTTGCGATTGGAACGGAGTGGCCTTCGACCCCAGATCCATTGGCTTCTGTTGTACAAAGTATTACGCAAGCCGGCATTGCTGTGATTGTAGCAGTTGGCAACGATGGTTCTGCAAGTCAATATTCCACAGAGCTATTTGCGGCAGATTATCCTGCCGTAGATCCTAGCGCTATTGCTGTGGGAGCTATTGCGAACAAATTCTTCCCTCTTGTGTATCCGGCCGTTGACTCCACCAATGCCAGTCTAGGTTACGCATCTGTCTGGCCTCTTAACGTGACTGGTCCTGTTCATGTTTACCTCCTTTCCGATGGTTGTGATAGCGGAACATGGACCAATGCCCTCAACACTGTGAATGAAAGTGGTCTTCTCAATTCCACAATTTTCGCCTTTGAGGCATTCAAAACAATTAGTTACTGCAATCCAAATGAGATTGCCTCGGCTTGGAGTTCAAGTACAGTACTACCTCTCTATGTTATGGGTTTCAATTCAGACATTGGAAATCCATATTTACTCGAATACAACGTCTTCAGTCCTTCCTTCTTTGGCGCAATACAGTACATAAATCTCAACACTGACGATGGAGCGACTCTTGTCAATAATTATGGTCTTGCTGGAGGTTTCCCGAGCTATACTTTGATCTTCACGGGAGATAAGTACACGAGCCCTCCTCAGCACTCAGGAGGTTTGGTTGATTACTACTCTAATTTCGGGCCAAACTATTTCACTTATGATTTGAAACCACAAATCTCTGCGCCTGGTGGACACATTCTTTCAACCTATCCTCTGGGACCGACTTCCAACTACGCGATTTTATCAGGAACATCCATGGCTACTCCCTATGTTGCAGGATGCTTTGCTCTTCTCAAATCTCAGTTTCCCAGCGCTAGCATATCCCAAATATTGAATTTACTACAAGTCACAGCGACGCCGGTCAATTGGGTCTGGGATAGCACAATTCTTTCCGCGACAGCACAACAGGGTGCCGGTCTTATAAATGCACATGATGCTATCTTTGCGCAAAGCGTGATTTCACCTGGACAAATCGTTCTTGGTGATGATAGTACTCATACTGTTTTTGGAGCTGCAAATATCACGATTGAGAATACTTCAGGATCCAGCAAAACTTATACTTTATCTCATGTTGGTGCCGGTTACACAGATGGTCAATTGTCTGGTCAAGACTCTAACCAAATTGCCCTCTATGGAACAGGTGTATTCCCAACTCCTACTGTCACCCTCGCAAGCGGTGAATCTAAGACCGTCGATTTCTCCATCACTCCACCTACCGGCGTCGTTGCATCGAATCGTCCCGTCTTCGGTGGCTTTATCAAAATCACCTCTTCCGCGGGTGAGACGTACACTGTCCCCTATATTGGTCCTCCTTATTCCATGTATAACACATCATACATCTCCGTTATCCAAGTTGCCGGTTTTGACGCCGCAGGATTACCCGAAAAAGATAACGGATTCCTACAAATCAACCCCACTAGGCAATATGGAATAGCTGCCAATATACCGCAACAATATACACTTGCATTTCGATTCGATCTCTTGCCCGCCAATACCAACATTACTGCTCATACAAATGCCTTTAAGACGCCCCAGTTATTCTCCTACTATTCTTCAAAATCTACTCCTAAATCTTCAATTTTTGGACACCCATCTTTTGGAACCTATACGAATCGTTCGGCAACTATTGCAAGTGGTGCTATTCAACCGGGTAATTATATACAATATTGGACGAATGCACAAGTTACTGGTGATGATGGGGTGAGTTATAATGTGGGTGATGGTGATTATCGATTTTTCGCTAGTGTATTGAGGTGGGGTGGGCAGGAGGGAAAGATTGAGGATTATGATACGTGGTTGGGACCGGTTATGAGATTTAATACGAGTTTCGCGGGATAATGAGGATTGTAATGTTTGTTCCTTAGTGGGCTATAGGGATGTGGTTTCTATATATGATTGTGATCGTGGATGAGATAGTTTCACACAGCCAGGGGATTTTTGCATGGAAGGGACATTTTTATTTGTTTTATAAGTCGTCATAGAAGAAATTTGTGTAAGGTTGTAATTTTGCTGAGCAACAAGGTCCAATGATAGTATAATGGAAAAGTACGTATATGGCTATACTCATCTCAAGCGCCCATTTTCTTGCCCTTCAAATATATATTCCCTCGTTGAACTCATTCTGCTCTGCTTGGGGACTATCCAAATATTTAAATTGCTACACCATCCAACATAACAAAACGCAATTCAAGCATCGCTTTAGCAGTAGGGTCACACTTGGGACGATCTGTTGGTGGCCGACCCGAATGATAATTATAGCATAGGCTATGTACATGTACTTTTCAATTTTATCACGGATAATTTTGGCCCGTTTTAGTCATAATAGAATTAGAAGACCTATTTTATGTCTTTAAATTCTCTAACTGAATGCACGTACTACATCGATTTGGCCAAAATATAGCCCAGTGTTGGTTTTTGGCCTGCGAAATGGACATTAGCGGCCTTGGTCGGGGCCTTTAATTCTCGAGATGTACTCGCACATCAACGTGTTGGAAGTACTATTGGGTCTTGACATATCGGCCATGTATTGTTTGTTGGATATTATCCATTTGGAACAGTGGAAGTTTAACATAAATAGGACTTCCCGGGCGAATATTTTCATTAATTCATACACAACACAGATTTTATATACGACTGAGCAATAAATAACCATTTCATTCTCCTAGATCAAGAGTTCTAGACAACTCCACTTAATACTTCTTGAGTAAATTTGTAAGTGCAGAGACTGAAATCTAGTTCCCTTGGTCCTAGTTATTATCTTTCCATGTTTACTTACCCTGATTGTTGGATAGCCTAACTTTTATCCACTAAAAGATATGTCGAAGAGGGCGCCATCTCCAATTCCAGTTCCTCCCGTGGATGACGATGTGAGGGAAAAACAAAAGGAAGACCGAAGAAAGTTATTGGAGTGGTACGGAGACATCAGACCCGGTCTCAAAGATAAAGAGAAGGTCACCGCGCACGAAAAGGCTTTAAAAGAGTGGAAAAAAGTCGTGAATAGAGAAAAATGGGAAAATCATGGGCTGGTTGGTCATCGCCTTGCGCTGGATTACCTAGAAGCTGCTGCAACTTATGATGTTAAAGGAAATCGATCCAAGGAATCTGCGACAGTAGGATTTGTTGAGCAATTTATCGCTGCACAATTTCCTGAAAAGCGATATGTAACTAAATCACAGAAAGGAATCGTTCCGAGACATGGTCCTGAAAAGCAAGTGGACGATTTCTTGGCTTACACAAATGTCCATTATCTCGAAACTGGTTTAATGATGATTGAATCCAAACGACATCCGGAAGACAAGGAAGATATGACAAAAGGTAGGATGGCTGCGCTGGAGACGCAAGTAGAAGGATATTGTCGCCAATGGTTAGGGGAGTACAAGGAAATACCCTTTTTATATGCTCTTACATGTGTATCCACACTTATGAGAGTGTGGGTTATGGAAAGACCAAGGTCACGAGATATAAGAAATGCCAAGTTGGTGGGATTGTGGGATCCGGATAAACGGACTTGGGATGAATATAAGGATGCGGGTTTGGATTGCGATGCTGCGGTTTTGAAAACCGCTTTTCGTCTCATAAAAAGTAATCCTACAGGCTCGGATTACGCAATGACTACAAGCAGTGATAGTGGGACGGGAGATGAGAGAGCTGGGGGAAGATCGAGAACTGCGACTGAGGCTAGAGATGAGACGGAAAGCGATAGCAGAAGAAGTGAAAAAACTGATAGGGATAGGAGCAGGAATAGAAAAACTGATAGAAGCGATAGAGACAGGAGCGGAGATAAGAGAGCAGATACAGCTTCGAAGTCCTCAAAAGACAGCAGGAAGCAAACTGAAGCCTCCGACAGACCATCTGCACAACATTCAAGTTCCTCACGCCGTGCTACTGGAGAAAGAAGCAATCCTCCATCTGAAAGAGATAGTCGTCGAAGCGGAACCTCCGACTCAGTATCCGGTAGGCATGAAAAGGAGAGACGAAGATCTCGAGCAAGACGGGAACCACTACCAAGTTCCAGTCCCGAGCTTCCTTACAGAACATTACCAAAGCCACGACAGAGCGAGCGCCAGGAGAGAGACGATACAGACAGCAGGTCGCGCAGATCTGATGAGCCATCACGATCCAGCGGTGGAAAAAACCCGGAAGCGGGAAGTAAAGGAAAAGAAACTGCTACTACAGGATCGTCAAGAAAGAGAGCCGATACAACGGATTCTCTTAGTACTAGAGCACCGGATTCATCCGGTAGTGATCAGAGATCGCCACCTAAGAAAAGCTCGAGAACGGCATTGCGATCTTCGGCTGATCCTAGGAAGTCCAAGACAGAAAGTTCGAGAAAATCAGAGCGTAAGCCGGATGGTGGCTCAAATGCAAACTAGGCAAGTGAATTTGTGAGCAGCTATAGCCCCTCATTTGTTTTGTTTATCTTTGGTTACGTTTTTTGGTTGTTATTGTTTTCCTTCCTTACACATCTCAAAGCTTGCTCGGCTTTGGGATGGGATAAGATAGTGAAGGATGATTTTGGTACTGGAGTTCTGTTTGGTTTGTTGCGCTGGTTTTTACTGTTTCCTGTTTTAATACGCAAAATCTGAAGTATATAAAAAGATTTTCGTTGGATTTTATGTATTCGCAATCTTTTCCTTTATTAGCAAGAATTTAATCACGTATTTTGTGGCATTCCTCGATTATAATTTTCCACTTTGATTTTGCCCGAAACACTAGTTGGTGCAAACTACAGTGGAAGAACACGGCCACCGTGACCGGGCCATAGAGTGCCAGCGATTGTTTGAGCTGAGCAAACCAGGAAGTTCGAGGTAGAAATGGAAATTCACGATCTTCGTCATAAATTTGCTCTTGATAAGGAATGAAAGGGGTTATCGATGAGGTTGTAACCTTGTAAGAACGGGCGAGCAAACGCAGATTGTGGACGGGATAAAATGTGATGTGAGAATCTAATAGATCGACGAGTAAGTTTGTACATATCTTGTTTATACATATTATAAGTTTTACTGATGATGAAATTATATCGAGGACAAACATAGAGATCTAGATCATCACGTGAATTTGTTTGAGCTTGGTGGCTTGTGCACGGAAGATTCCATCCTATCGCACTGCATTGAGAGGCTTGCATTTCTTCATTTCACAGCATCGTCAATCGGACCTTCAAGCCTCCAATAAAAGTAGATAAATGTGTATCGTGACAATTTCATCATATTTGATATTTGGTCGGATGATTTTAATTCCATTTCACCACATTTCCAAGCTTTTGTTTGTTTGTTTTTTCTTCTTCCTGTATCACCAACCGAAGAATCAAAGAAAACCTCTCTGTTTTTCTCGGTCAATCAATAAACAGAAGAAACCAATTGATTGAAATGAATGCGGGGAAATGTGATCCATTGCGGGGGAATAAGCTAGGAAGCTACACAAGTAGCAAGGGCCATCATTGAATCTAAACCTACTTTGGCAGCTAATTTGTCTAACAGGCAGAAAAGAGTTCCATTGCAACTTTCATCGAATGATTATTTCCATTCAAAGAAGATCCAACAGATCAGCCTGTTTACACGGAAACCATGTGAGTAGATAGGTAACTGTGTATGTATACCCGTTTTTGCTACAACAACGTTACACCCTTCTTCCGTCTCATATAAAGGACGACAATCCGCAGAGTATCAATACTATCTATTCACCAAACGCTCTTTCCATTCCTTCGAAGATGGCATAACACGGTAAAAGTTCGATTGTGCAGATGATCAAACATTCATTTATGCAACAGCAATCCTAACAATATATTGTACTCTCTTGAAGCGCTATTTCTTATTTCCCTACGAGTACAATATTCCCTTTTCCTAAAAACGACGTACCAGCCCAACTTTCTTCCCTTTTCACAGATCAACTTCGACATTCACAGATGCGGGTCTAAAAGATGACCGGGCCTTCAACAATGAAGCCGATACTCAGATTGTGTCGTGCCAATAAATTTTCAGAAGCTAAAGTATCGCCAGGTCCATTTGGTGGCATTCTTGGTGCGTTCCATTCCTTATGTCAATTCTAGCCCGCCGTGTCGTTCATCAATTACCAGATTGAGACTAATATGTCTTTCCACTAGCTGCTCAAGTACGATCACTTTATCCAACAAGTCATGCTAAGTGCAAGAGATATACATCTACAACTGCTTCCTCGCCCGCATCTGCAGTCCCCAATTCTGCGTCCCTGTCTACAGCTTCATCTAATGCGGTTGCTCCGAATCTAATTACCACTCCATACTCAAACTTGACAATTGGTATTCCTCGCGAGACATATCCGAATGAAAAACGAGTTGCGGTTACTCCACAAAATGCACAGCTCTTGATTAAGAAAGGCTTCTCCCGAGTTCTTGTCGAGCGAGGTGCTGGAGCAGAGGCGCAGTTCACCGATGAGGCATACGAGACTGCAGGAGCCAAAATAGTAAACAGGAAGAATGTTTGGTCGGAAAGTGACATTCTTCTGAAGGTCCGCCCACCGAGTGTGGATGGACCCATCAATGAAGTTGATTCCTTGAAGAACAATGCAACACTTATTTCATTTTTATACCCAGCGGTAAATAAAGGCGTGGTAGAGAAACTGGCTCATAGAGGGGTTACTTCATTCGCGATGGATATGATTCCTAGAATTTCGAGAGCTCAAGTTTTTGATGCATTAAGGTACGGGTGCAATGCCACATCACACCTATGAAGTAGAAAAGCTCACACCATTTCGTGATTAGTTCTATGGCTAATATTGCCGGTTATAAAGCAGTCTTAGAAGCTTCCAATCATTTTGGACGCTATATGACTGGCCAGGTCACTGCTGCTGGGTATGTGGATCCCCATATGTTGCTAGTGCGTTGAGCTAATTAAGTGACTTTTAGAAAGGTACTTACTTTAGTGTTCGGTGTTCGCTTTTAGTTCCTCACTAATAGTTTTAGGTTCCTCCTTGTAAAGTACTTGTCATTGGAGCGGGTGTGGCTGGATTGAGTGCCATTGCAACAGTAAGTGTATGATATATAAGTTAGACCTGAATGTTAACAGCATCCTTAATTAGGCTCGACGCATGGGAGCTATCGTACGAGGATTTGACACCAGATCAGCTGCACGTGAGCAAGTTCAATCATTAGGTGCTGAGTTCATCGAGGTAGATTTCAAAGAAGATGGTTCTGGCGCCGGTGGTTATGGTAAAGAGATGTCGAAAGAGTTCATGGATGCCGAAAAGAAATTATTCATGGAACAATGTCGCGATATTGATATTATCATTTGTACTGCATTGATTCCAGGTCGCCCTGCCCCTAAATTGATTCATGAAGATGTAAGTTTATTGAGTCATAATCACTAGAGATGATCTGACTGGTTTTATAGATGGTTGCAGCAATGAAGCCCGGTTCTGTTATTGTCGATTTGGCAGCTGAAGCAGGTGGTAATTGTGATGTTACTGTGGCCGGCCAATTGATTGAACATAAAGGTGTTAAAGTCATAGGTTCGTCGCATAATTTGATGCACGGTGTAGCATAACTAATATCTCAACAGGATATACTGATCTTCCGTCCCGACTTCCGACTCAATCGTCTACTTTGTACTCGAACAATATTACCAAGTTCCTTCTTTCCATTGCCCCAGAAGAAAAGCAGTTTGGCATTGATATGAGGGATGAGGTTGTCCGTGGTTCCATTGTGACTCACAATGGTGAAGTTGTCCCTACTGCACCACGACCATTACCTCCAGCGCCAAAAGCTGCCTCAACTATTGATGCAAATGCTTCAACCGCTAATACTGTAGCCTTAACTCCATGGCAAAAACAAACACGAGAAGTCGGAGCTGTTACTGGGGGTATGAGTCTTGCGCTTCTTCTTGGTAAAGCAACAGGACCATTATTCATGAACAATGTCTTTACATTTGCATTGGCTGGATTGATCGGCTATCGAACAGTATGGGGAGTTGCCCCTGCACTCCATTCTCCACTCATGAGTGTCACAAATGCTATATCAGGCATGGTTGGTGTAGGTGGTTTCTTCATTATGGGAGGTGGTCTCATACCACATACCATTCCTCAAGCTCTCGGCGCTTTATCTGTAATGCTTGCATTTGTCAATGTTTCTGGTGGCTTTCTCATTACAAAGCGAATGTTAGATATGTTTAAGCGTACGTATTATACTCATTTATTTCGTAGCCCTTTTTCTAACTTCTTGCAGGACCAACTGATCCGCCTGAATACCCATGGTTATATGCTATACCTGCTGCTGTTTTCGGTGTAGGATATATAGCAGCTGCATCTACTGGTATGGCTGGGCTTGTCCAAGCAGGATATATTGCTAGCAGTCTTTTGTGCATCGGTAATTTCTCCTTTTGAACTTGTATTAAAACAATCTCTGACTTCAGCAGCATCATTATCTGGCCTTGCTTCTCAAACAACAGCACGCCAAGGAAATATGTTAGGTATATTGGGAGTTGCAGCCGGTATACTTGCATCGCTAGCCGCCGTAGGCTTTCCGGTTGAAGTTCTTGCACAATTTGCAGCTGTTGCCGGTTGCGGCGCCATCATTGGTAGGTATTCCATCACGGATAAAAAGAGGTTCAATGAACTAACGGTTCGATCTAGGATTAAGGATTGGACGACGTACGACAGCAACTGATTTACCTCAAACTGTGGCTGCACTCCACTCCGTGGTTGGTCTTGCGGCTGTTTTGACAAGTTTCGGGTCAGTCATGGCAGACATTGGAGACATATCACAGCTTCACCTCATAGCTGGTTACATGGGTGTTCTAATTGGTGAGAAAAAGATTTGTCAATAATTGTACTCTGTTTCCTAAATACTAACCTTTCTTAGGCGGCGTCACATTTACCGGATCCATAGTAGCATATCTCAAACTGGCGGGTCGAATGTCTTCGAAACCAATCAAACTCCCAGGTCCAAAACATGCACTAAATTCCTCCCTACTTGCTCTTAATATGGCTAGCATGGCTACTTTTATCACATTCGCACCCGGGGCACCATTAATTGCTGCATGTTGCTTAGCAGGAAATGTAGTTCTCAGTTTCATCAAAGGTTACACGACTACTGCCGCTATTGGTGGCGCAGATATGCCTGTCGTCATCACAGTACTCAATGCATATTCTGGATTTGCAATAGTGTCTGAAGGTTTCATGCTTGACATGCCTTTATTGACAACAGTAGGCTCTTTGATTGGAGTTAGTGGTTCGATTCTGTCATCTATTATGTGCGTCGGAATGAATCGTTCTATCGGAAATGTCCTTTTCGGAGGAATAGCTCCTAGCGCGGAAACCGAGCATAAAATCGAAGGACAAATAACCAAAACTAATATCGATGAAGTTTTGGAATCACTAGAAAATGCTGAAAACGTCATCATCGTCGTTGGATATGGCATGGCTGTTGCAAAGGCTCAATATGCCATTAGTGATATCACACGAATGCTAAAGAGCAAGGGTATCAATGTACGATTCGCCATTCATCCCGTCGCGGGTCGTATGCCTGGTCAATGCAATGTTCTACTTGCAGAAGCTAGTGTACCATACGATATCGTTCTCGAAATGGACGAAATTAATGATGATTTCGGAGAAACTGACGTGACTCTTGTCATTGGCGCAAACGATACTGTTAATCCAATTGCTCTCGAACCTGGTTCGTCAATCGCCGGTATGCCTGTCTTACATGCTTGGAAAAGTAAACAAGTTATTGTTATGAAGAGAGGTATGGCAAGTGGGTATGCAGATGTTGTAAATCCGATGTTTTATATGCCTAATACGAGGATGTTATTCGGTGATGCTAAGGATAGTTGTGATGGTAAGTTATATTTCTTTCTAGTATACTGTTTTGACTAGGGTGGAATTGTTGAGTGATTGATCTTATCATATGGCTACTAACCTATGAATAGCTATCAAAGGTGCCCTCGAAGCAAGAAATCGTATGTATGACGTCTAAGAGACTACGGGCATATCTATTACTACTATAGAAATGGTGTGAGGGTTCTTGTAGCTGCTGGGTTTATAGGAAAGAACTAGGCTGGATATATACTCTACCCGAAGCTCAGATGGGAAGTCATGGTTAAGGATAGGGGGAAGAATTTGTGAGTACATGAGTAAGTCGGGTGACGAGCAACAAGTCTGGGTACAGACACAGTTAAAGAAACAAGAAAATGATAAAGCAGATTCGGCAGATGATGAATTCATATTTTTTCCTCTATTGAATCTTGGTTCTCATTGATCATGAGTATTCTAATAATAATTATTGAAGGTTTATCTCCTTCAAATTCTTGCCGCACATGATCGTGGAGCGGTTTTGGCTGTAGAGTATTGTGCGAATATGATTTGCTTAAGATTGCAATCTGAAGGTTTTTGTTACGAGGTTTGCCGTCTAGATCACGTGGAAGTGCTCTAGGCTCTCGAGGTGGCTTATAACTAGGCGTCAAGCAGGGACTTAAGTAATGATAATGATGCAATTCGTAACTAATAGTAGAGTATACTAAATAATTGATCTTGAGCACGAACCTCTATACAAAGGAAATCCATCTTGATTATATAGACCTTCATGCTTCGTGGCTCGAAGGGAGCGAGGGGATCGAGCTTCGATCCTCTCGCTCTCCTCGATCGAAGGGCTCGAGAGGCCAAGCCTTCGAGCTCTTCGAGTCCTCGCATCACGTGTTATTACTAATCCCGTGACCTAATTATCACCTGTTGTAATAAGATATTAAATTTTAATTATTAAATTATATTTTTACATTTTTACATTTTTACATCAAAATTTATAAATTTATTCTTTATTAATATTTAAAATGAAATTTGTTTAAATTTATATTTATTTTAAATATTTCTTCCAAATATTTAATAAGTTCTAGATAGTTAATCTAATCAGGGTTTCAGGCAATATATAATATCAAACTCTCTTAGATAACTATACGGCCTTAGGGGATGTGCAGAAACTCAGGTGAAAGAATTTAGCCAGTGTAGGTAGTATGTATGCCTTATAGCGACCCCGACATTGGTTTGATTTGTTGGCTAAGTTGCTGCTGCGCCTTATAACTTATTAACTAGGTAGTTGAGATATTCCTAGGTAATCTATTTGAAAGTGTGTAGTCAAAACAACACAGTCTTGAATAACATTATAGTCATAGCCACCGCATTATATTAATAAATTTTACCACTTTATACACTATTTGAGCAACAAGATTGTTGCTGTGACTTAGCACCTGCTCATTCATTGGCATTATCTAGCCATGGCTCTTCCAGAAATTCAATTCTCTGATGTGCGAGAAGCACAACAATTTCTCATGTTTGTACTTGCAAATGTATGTCTGCTTCCGAATTCGTATTTAAACTAAATTGGCCTTCTCATTTTGTGGTTTTTCAGGTGATTTTCAGTATAGTCATTATATCGATACGGCGCTTATACTTCCATCCGTTATCCAGCTACCCTGGCCCGAAAATAGCAGCAGTTTCTGAAGTCTGGTATGCTTACAATTCGTACGTACAAGCTGAATTTTCTTAGCAGAATATGGCTTACCGGATGGCTAGGTTAAGAGAACGATGGCCTTGGGCTATTGAAGATGTTTTGAACAAGTATGGTATGTATAAAGAAATTTTGCCAGTAGTTTTATCATTCTGGATACTGATCACGTCATTCAGGCGACGTCGTCTGCATTGCTCCAAATGAGTTGGTTTTCGTAACTCCCAGGGCTTTAGCTGGTAAGGACCTTAGCAACATGTCTTTTTCGGCACCACCTGAGCCCCGTTACAGATCTTTATGGAACCCATAACAAGAACCTAGAACTATTTCCCAAAACACAAATCAACAACCATGGAAATGACAAGCACGGTGGTATCATCTGGGAATGGGACCCTGTAAGACATCGGCAGGTGGCCAAACAGTTGTCTCCAGCCTTCAGCGGGCGCGCCCTGAAAGCAAAAGAGCCGATCTTACACAAGTACATTGACTTATTTGTTGACCGTATGAAAGATTTTGGTGGTGAGGCTCAAGGAGTTAGCTTGCCTACATGGCTTAGCTGGCTGTGTGTAGATATCTCAGCTGATATGGCCTACAACTGGGAGATGAATGCTCTTCAATATAGTAAAGTCTCCGATATCCACTTTCTCTTGGAAAGAAGACTGAATTAAGATTAGTGAATGATCCACCATATCTCTCTCTGATTTCGAGTTTCAATAAAGCCCTCGTCGTCATCCAGACGTCATGGCGGTTCCCTCTTCTGAGCCCCCTCAAGTATCTGTTCTTTATATCTAACTTATTAGTACCCCATTCTCATATAAGAGATCATAGTCGTGAACAGTTAAAGAGACGCATCCGGCGGAAGGGTGCTGTCGAGCGTCTTGACTTCTTTGAGCAGCTGATCCCAGAGAATCGGGAACCCCCAAAAGATCAGAAGGAGATGCGGCATCTTGAACAAGTTGCGGGCCAGCTACTTATAGCAGGCTATGAGCCTCCATCAATATGGCTTTACTTTGCTATCTTTGAAATACTAAGAAACCCCGGCACTTTAGAATTGTTGGTAAAAGAGACTAGGATAACTTTCAAAAGCTACAGCGATATTACACCGAGTACTGCAGCCACCCTAACTTATCTGACGGCTTGCCTAAAAGAGTCACTTCGTCTGATGCCGAAAGTACTCACAGGAATGCCGGTTGTTAGCCCAGGTGCTGTTGTTGACGGAGCATTCATTCCAAAAGGAGTATGTTTTTAAATCTCTCATTCTACACTCCCCTTTCTGTGCTCTGTTAGTAACAATTGCAAAACTGTAGGTTGTTTTCCAATCTAGTCCTTTCGCATTAGCAAGGAACCCACGTAATTTTCGCGAACCTCTCAGCTTCCATCCTGAGCGATGGCTAGCAAAAGGCCATCCCCTCTATGATGCGAGATTTGATGGTGACAATCGCAAAGATTTTCATCCCTTTAGTCAGAGTCCTCGAATGTGCATGGGAAAAGAGGTAGTCTGGCGACAGAGTCAATTGTTTATGGCAAAGATATTGTGGACATTTGATCTAGAAATGGTTGTTGGACAACAGATTGACATGGACAAGGACTTGAGGGGTTGGGGCATCTTCGTCAAGCCTGAGATAAAGGTTAGATTTGTACCCGCTCTGAAGACATAGACAAAAGTAGCGGTATCTGTCATGAGAGAGCGATCTTGTGGATCGGCATCAATTTTGGGGCCTGAGTGCGATGAATGTTACCAATCTTTAACATACTTAGCTGAATGTATTCTTCGTGAATACAAGGATTTCTTAGCCTTCTGGTATTTGCCCAAATCAATATACCACGAGAGACGTGACAATACTACGATTTGTGTTATAATTAAATTATACCTGGTGCACATGGTGAATATAGTTAGCTAAACATATAATAAATAAAATCCTCGACCCCCCTACCAGCGACCGTTCATAGACCAACACGCACAACAATTGTGACTGACTGCTGGCTTCTATCTCCAAGAACAGTCATGAATCTTTATAGTAATGCCTTCGGCTTTCTACTCGCCATATTCCGTTCAATACTTAGAATCATCGCAACCTGTTGACTCAAAGCCACAATTTCCCCATCCACATCCCTTATAAGTAAATCAATATCAAATCTACCATCCTTAATCTGCTTAGTCGTCACTCTAACAGTCAACCACTCAATACCTTGCTCCGGAAGCGCCATCTTCGCTTCCAAGTTCATCGTCAGAGTTGGGAACCATAAGCTCGCACGTTCCTCTGTTCCTCCCTGTCCCTTGGCGTTTGAGTTGGCCTGTTTTTGCTGTGCTTCTATAAGCGCACGGAGCTCTGGTGTTGCGAGAAACATGTGGAGATTGTGTGGAAAAGCGTCTGCGACATAGGCTAGCGCACCCTGTGTAATACGCTCCCCGTTCGACAAGCGGATCCACATATCCGTCGTTCCTGATACCAGTGGGTTTCCGCGCGGCATGTAAAAGCGCCACTTGGTTAGGTAGCTTAATGGTCCAGGTGGCTTAGGCAATCTTGACAGTTCCCAGTTGTTATCTATGTCTTGAGTCTTGAGTAGCTCGAAGTCCGGGATTGGAGGTAGCGCCGCTGTCGGAGACGCTTCATATGCCGTTGGTATCGTGATGCCTTCGAAGGTGCTCAGATTCGTATGGCTTGTATATGCAAGTGTAACGCGACGCGAAACCGAAGGTGTGACCCATGGCGATTGCGATAGAAGGCCATCTTGCCAGAGAGTGAGATGGAGCGTAGACACTTGTCTGCCTAGCTTGACATCGTCGATCGTGACAATGGCGGGGCCGGCAGCCGCGCGGCTGGGATATTCAAAGTGCGACGTAAGCATGTCGGGCTGTTCCCGCGAGGAGAGATGGGAGCTCGCGGCAGCGAGCATACACGAGGCTACGTAGCCACCGTTGGGGACTGCATAGTTTTGGTTAGTGAGGTGAACCAAAAAATAAAGAGACGACTTCGAGCTAAAGTTTGATTGAATAAAGAAGTGACGGAAGCAGTTGAATTTAGTGAAAATATCACCCTCCTCATACCTGAAGCACCGCAAAATGACTCATCGAGAGTGACTCTGTATATATGGGAATCCAGTTTCACTGCCTTTATGGCATCTGTAAAAAGGATACCCATTTCATTATCTGAGCTCATGGCTAGTTTGTATTTGTTCTGCTTTTGAGTGTGTCAACAGTCGATTAAGAGGCTCGCCCACTTAATGTCATCAGGTTGTTTAATTTTTATGAAATAAATAAGAACACTGATAAGTGCTGTATACTTTATATGCGATATTTTTGATGTTTAGGGTTGTTTTAACTATCCAACAGTTAGTGCAGAAATTCCGTAAGCATAATTCAATGAAATATTAAACCTCAACATTTTCAAATTAATATAATTCAATAATTATAATATATTATTTAATGAAATTTTCAGAATATATAGGTTGAAATTGAATCTATGTATTCATTTATTCAAAATTTCAATTTCAAAATCCCTTAAAAGTTATTAAATATTTAACATAATATATTCAATAATCATCAATTTAAAATTTTCAGATATATTTATTTCAAAAATTGATTATTAATATTTTATGTATTAATTCAAGTAAATAGAGTTTTTGAATTCAAGTTTAATTTATACAATATCATAGATCGAATTAAAAATTATTTTCTAAAATTACTGATATTTCATTGATTTCGATGAGGAATGGAAAAGTGCTTACGGAATTTCTGCACCCACGTTGATCTTTCAAAAATATTCAAGATAGCGCAGTAGCGCAGCCTGTATCTTTTATCAAAAGAAGGAGCGAATCGACACTTCGACGCCGCTTTCTTCAAAATCAAAGCTGTTGAGGCAAACGCAATGGATCCACAGGTCCGTTTGCTCCTCGAGATGGTCTACGAAGCACTTGAAGCCGGTTCACAAACGATTGACAACTTGAGGGGTTCTGACACAGCCGTGTATGCTAGCCAAATGGTGAATGATTATGACTTGCTTATGGACCGACATTAAGACACCATAGTCATATACCACACCACTAGTAATTACATCGAGGACGATGCCAGCTAATCGAATTTCTTACTTCATTGATTTGCATGGGCTATCAATGACCATAGATACAGCGTGTAGCTCCAGTTTAGTTGCATTAGATCAGGCTGTTCAATAATTGAGATTAGGATACTCTCAGGTAGCCATTGTAGCAGGAGCCAATCTTACGTTTGATACCTATGGTCGGTCCCCTTCATATTGCGGAAAGCAATATGCAGACTTCAAGTTTTACGCAACTTCTGGGAAAGATTCTGATACATTCAAGCTGAGAGCCAGTGGGCGTGTACGGATTCTCCTAGATTAACCTTGTGATAATATCTCGGCACCCGACTTCCACAAAGCGCAAATCTTATATTCATTAATAAAGAAAACTTTTACAAATTATTATGAGAGATTGAGTATTAATTATAATTCAACACTTTATATAAAGTAAGATTTTATTATACATAAAATATAATTATAATTAAACATACTATTAATCACTTTATTTTGAATATGAAAATTGAATTAATATAAATTATATATTCACTTTAATATAAGATTAAATAAAAATTATAAAAAAAATAAATTAATAATGGTTAAATTAATAATGATTAAATTAATAATAGATTTTTTGTATATTAAAATTATCTTATAAAAACCAAATTAAAATTGTATAAATGTGACCAAAAGGGTGTTTATAGACCAGCAATTGTATTTAAATTAGAATCTACAGGTGAAGAGCACCTGTAGATGGGGATAGCTACTCTATATATACACAAATGAATGGCCTAGCCGCAATGGCTAGGCAAAAAGAAGTCATATTTATCCCTCCAGTGATTTTACTTTACCGATAACCATTGATACCTAGTACTTGTCCGGATCTGATCCTCAGGTCACCTAAATCGTATACTAATCCCGAGTAATCGTATCATGTGTGGACATGGTTAATGTACCTGAGGTTTCTTATATAATAAGGGTGGTGTTACGAGGTTTGCCGTCTAGGTCACGTGGAAGTGCTCTAGGCTCTCGAGGTGGTTTATAACTAGGCGTCAAGCAGGGACTTAAAGTAATGACAATAATGCAATTCGCAACTAATAGTAGAGTATAAACCTTCGTGTTCCGAAAGTCGATCGGCTCTTGAAGGGCCGATCGATTCTCAGGGCCGATCGATACCTACGAAGTCGGACGGCTTTCGGATCAGGTGACACTAGTAACATGATCCTGTTAACTAATTGGTCACCTGATGCGGGCTATGTTACGCCGTCATAACACTCATTTATAAAGAATTAAAACTTATAAAAATTCAAAATCTAAATTTTTTTATATCAATAAAATAAATAAAATAATTTGTTTTATATTTTATAATCATATAGTTCATTGTGACGGAAACCCCTGCTTTCCTCCCACCTGTTACGTCGGACAGTAACATAGGTCACGTTCTTGATCACATGATCAAGAAACCGACAAATCGAGATCGGTTTTGCGGTGATCGAATTGTCGGGTTTATAGCCATCGGTTTTTTAACGAGGCACGAAGGTCTATATAATCAAGATGGATTCCCTTTGTATAGAGCTTCGTGCTCAAGATCAATCATTTAGTATACTCTACTATTAGTTACGAATTGCATCATTATCATTACTTAAGTCCCTGCTTGACGCCTAGCTATAAACCACTTCGAGAAACCTAGAGCACTTCCACGTGATCTAGACGGCAAATCTCGTAACAATGAGTGAGTGAATGAGAGAGTAAGAGAGAGTGACAGAGATAAACATAGAGATAGACAGAAAGAGAGAAATTAGAGAGAGAGACAGATCCAATTAAACGAAAAGAACAAAAAGGGGTATTGTATTGTAAATCTAAGTGCGCATCCATCCAGCCATCCATTCATGCATCCATCTTCTTAAAGTTACACACAAAAGTTCCTCAATCAAGACCTCTAATTGTTCTATCCATCCACCCATCCATCCATCCATTTATCCACCAAATAAAAAACCGTATCCTTCCCTTTCCATCCATTCCCTGAGTTCCTTCGCAGAAAATGCATACCGTGTATAATCCCATCTTATCCCATCAATCCCTGTTTGCCATCTGGCCCCAAAGAAGAAGATACGCAAAGTAAAGAAATAGTGTAATGTGTCCGCTATCGCTGATTCATGTATGTCATGCCATACTGTCATGTCATTTCATGAGCATGCTAACCAGCTAGACCCTCATCATCCTATTCCCACCCATTCCGTTCCATCCATCCTATCGCTCAATTGCCCCTGTATCCTTCACTCCATACAAATGAAATGAAAATAAAGCCTTTCCCTAAGAAGCAACGCTATGCAATAATGAAATAAAATATCTGAATGCAATGCAGAGAATAGTCAAACTTCCTTACTCAGAGCTCTAACCTTGAAGTTTGCCTAAATAATCTCTTAGTAGCTCCAACTTTATCCATCTCTCCTAAACTCTGTCTGTGACCTCCCTTGCGTTTCTCCTTCTCCTTCTCCGCACTTGCCATCATAACTTTCTCCTTCATACCTTCTACCCATTCTAAATCTTTTTGATCCAATTCTTTTTGTTTACCTCTTGGTCCAGCAAGACCTAATGAAGCATCTTCTTCATTCCAATCAAGTCTTGAGGAACTTCTTGATGCAGCTGATGGAGGTGTATTATTTCCTTCACGTCCACGTTGAACTTCAGCAAAAGGTGTAGCTGGAAGTGGAGGAACCCCATCAGAAGTAGAAAATGTGGATTTCCTCGTTTTTCGAATACCGAGAGATGATTTAGGTCGATCAACAGCAGTTGATGGACGCACACCCATTGCAGATGCGGAACGAGGCCCAGGTGTAGTACGACCAGATCCAGGTGTGGTCCGTCCATTATCACGAATAGTGGAGCCACCAGATGAGATACGTGATGGTAGATCTTGAACCTCGACTTTATCGGTATCAACTGGTGCTCGACGCCCATGATGACTTGCGTATTCTTTAAGATATTCCCCAAGATCTGCCCAACCACCTCCGACACGTACCATAACCCTTTCACCATTTTCACCTACCAGGCGAACAAATAACTTAATCGGTTTCTCACCACTAGAGCAAGATAAATGATAAACCTTGATTTCTGGATGACCGTTTTGAGCTCTTTGACGCGGAGTGCTAGTTTTCGCATACGCAGGGGCAAGAGTAAACGAAGGCGTAGGAGTACGTAAACTTCCAATTGACGATTGTGAACGGACGGCGGGCATCGAGGGAGTAACTGAACGGCGAGTTTTTGGAGGACGAATTCCTTTAGGATTTGGCTTTTCTTCTGGCTCAGAGCGAAGACGAATATGAGCTGGAATCGATTGAAGTAAGGAACTAATTTGTTGTTGCATCTGATCATCGCTACTGCTGTTGACAGGCGATGCAGGAATGCTTTGAAGAAAGGAGTCTTCAGGAGTGGATATCAAATGTGAGAAATCGGGACTTTCGAGGAGTTGAGGAGGGCGACGAACAGATCTTCTTGGAGCTCCTGGTGGTGAACCAGGTGGTGTTTTATCATATTGTTGTAAATCATGTGACCATTTCCCAGGTGGCAATGGTGAATCTTCAAATGTTACTGTAGATGCATCATCAGAGTCTGGGTCGACAAGACTGGAGGCGACTTCTGGTGTCATTTTAGATTTGCAACGGTCCGAGAGTGAATCATCCGAAACGTCACTTCGAGTTTCATTATTGTGAATACTATCAACGATTATGGAAGGCCTGCGTGCTTCATTTTGGGCATCTAAAAGATCAAATTCCATGCCTTCGGGATCAATACTCTGAATACTTTCAGAGGCTCCGTCACTGCTAGCTATTGTAGAGGAATTGGTAGAAAGGTGAAAATGTATGTTAGGTAAATGTGCTGGCGCCTTTAAATTACCGGAGTCGAGGCTGTCATGCGATGCGGAAGAAATACCGAGCTGTTGTGCTAACGCAATACTGGAAGGGGGTGCACCCAAGACAGATCCATCTTTCAAAGAATGGTCCACGGACAGTCGCTCTTGTCCAATAAGTGGCGAGCTCGAACTACGAAATCTTGCCAGTTCAGATCTTGCTGGTGACATTAGGGGTGGATTCGGGAACTTATTGAGAATCATTGATGATGGCCGTAACGAGGTTCTGGGATACGTAGCGAGAGAATCAAGGCTTTGCATTTTTGGTGATTCTTCATTCGAAATGGTACGTCTTAAGGCGTTTGCAAAAGTGTGGCCAAATTTGGGTATTCTGCTGACACTTCTGACGCTGGTCGAGCGAGTGAGAGGAGTATACGTAGGTTCACCAGAAATTGCTTGTACGATTGGCTGGGTGTTCAGTGATGGTGATATTATTTCAGTCGAAATGCCATTGGCTTCCTGCTCGTAAGGAGTTTTATCTGTTTCTGTTGCAACACGAGATCCTTCACGTGCTGTTTCGGCTTTAGGGGTTTGGACCTCTTCCATTTCGTTCGCATTTTTGCCATCAGCTCCAACAGGGGCCTCAGCATCTCCTCCTTGGGGCATGTCTTTTTTCGCCATTCGTGGAGGCGCAATGGCGGCCAACTCACCGTCTGTAATTTTTCGATCTGCTGAAACAACCCATTCACCATAGTCCCGTTCGAGGCTTTCCATCCGGTCCAACCAACTATCTGGCAGAGTATCCATCCTGCCCTCCAAGATATCGAGCATATAATCCAAATCTCTTCCAAGAATCGTAACTTTGGCTTGTAAAACATTTTTCATGACTTCGAAAGTTTGTCGTGATAGAACTGTGTTCCCTGTTTGACCAGCAGTAGTGGTCGCGCCTGGTATTTTTATAGCCTGCCATCCCGAATTTAATGCCATCTCTGCATCATCCAATCCGAGTAATAAAGATGGTACCCTACGGAGTACAGAAAGGCGAATACCCCATATATCCATTAGACGTGTTAATTTTGCCAAATTCGGTAGTGCCTGCAGTACCGTGGCCGTAACTATAGCTGTGAAATCATCCATAACCGTGTAAGAAGCAAGGAAGGATGGCATATCAATTGAAGGGGAAGATGAAAGTCGAGAATTTCCAGAAAAGTGTGTATCCAGGACCTGTCGTTTTATTTCCTCCACTTTCAAATCGTCCATTCCTTCCCCAATTTCTTCGAGCCGGTACTCATATCTTGCAACCTGCTCGAGCGAAAGGCTCCCACAATACTGCGGCTCTGGACCTTCTTCATGCTGTTGCTCGGTTTTATCGCTCGATTGAGGTGGTGTCAATTTTATTCTCTTCGATAAAGCTGGTGCTTCAAAGCCTGCTGATCCGCCAGTATTCGGCCATGGCCAGTTTGATAATTCTTCCAACCATTCTTGTACTTTCTTGGAGGCTAGAGTTGCGCGTATGGCAAATGCTCGATCTGCAGGGGAGGCAGCTTCAATACTGGCTTTCAATTTACCTGTCGGAGAAGTAAGAGCTTGCAGGGTTGTGGCAGGAGTGAGATCGGAAAGGAGGTCGTCTGAAAGCCGATGCGATCGACTTGAGGATCTGGTTGGTGATCTTGTTCTTGATGAAGATCTTGGGTGTAGCAATGGAGGGGCAAGCCTCGACGCGGAGGATGTCATAACTGGTGTACTCTCCATGATTTACGATGTTTGATAATTAGTAGTTTTGTTTAATGAGGAAATAGCTATCGCATTGCTCAAAAGACCTTAAGAGAGTGATGGTCTACAAGCATAAGAGGGATTGAAACATAAGAATGGAATAAGAAAGAGGAGGTGAAGAAGAAGGCGGAGATCAAGGTGGAGGTCAAGGTGGAGGTGATGCGAGCTGTTTCGAGTGATGCCGTCTTACAGGCTTCTCCGTTCGTCGTTCAAGGCGGTTGTTTGCATGATTCTTAGGGTGGGTCGGGGTACAGAGCTGTCTTGAACACCACACCATGCAGAAAAGAAAGAACTAGAGATTGTTCTGTCCTGTGTTCTCGTTCTTTCTCGGTGGAGATTTTGAGTTTTTTCCTCTTCCCCTTGTATGTATGCTTGCTTTAATTGAATGGGACCTTCCGGATGTTCAAGGAATACGATAGAGAGTGTAATGAGTGTAATAGAATGATGGCGATAGCATATGGAACGATTGATAGGACAGGTTTGAACTCAGATGCAACTACAAGGAATAAAGGACGAAAGAATCAAGATACCTAGCAATTGAGGAGAATTGAGTGGGAATCTGGGTTAGGAAAAAGGATAGTAAATAGGAAAGAAAAGAAGATGGTTGGATTGGATTGGATTGGATTGAATTACCTACCTGGCAGGACAAGTCAAAGAGACCCAAGAGACCAAAAAATGCAAAAAAAAGATGGACAAACCGATGTCCGGAAAATGTGTTAATGGGAGATTGGGTGAACTCGCTAATACATCAGTTATTGATAAATTGGTACATCCGATAGGTTTTTCCATGGGTTTTCATGGTTTTTATGCCTTTTTATGGATTATTCAATGCGCGTCTAATTTCCGCCCATAATTTTACAAGGGGAGGAGAATGAAAAATGGCTGGGGGATTGTGAAGAAGTGGATATCTCTCTCCGTATTCTCTCTTCTTTATATTATTTTTAGACATTCTGAAGATTTGACAGAAGTGATAGAGTTGATAGAGTTGATGGAATTATTAATACTTGAAACAATTGATTTCAAATATATGAAGTTTGCTGAAGATATATCTACTGTACCGGTACTCCGTAGGTGTATATACCTACCTAGGTAACTATAAATTTTATGAATTTGCTCATGTCATCTACACAATATGTCATCTACCATCTACGTAAAGTTCTAAGTCTGATTAATGGGTCAATCACCACAGTTCCAATGAACGCTTTCCATTCCTCAACTGTGCATGTACCCCCGTACTCCATAGATGGTCTTTGGACGAATACCGGTACATGTATGCATGTGCCTCTCCGCTCATAAGCGATCATCCATATCCCCTATCTCCATATCATATCCATAATCGACAGAACTTCCAGGAACGGTGGAACGTACAGTGGAACGTTCATCAATCGATTAACCTCAAATCAGTAGGATTCCCGGGAGATCTCTTCCTCTCCACAATCCACCACAGTTCGCTGTCCCACCTATAAGCCCACGAGGAATCCTTGACATATGCAGGTGACCTTGGAAGTTGTATCCTGTCAAAACCCTCATTCTATGAAAGATCGATTCATAAATCTGAGAGAATCAAGATTCACCGAAAGGATTATCAAATCTTGGCATCATTGCATAATTGCGGTGTCAAACGGTGAAAGCTAATGTTACCGACTATACCGACTATTCCGACTTATGACTGTCCAGACTGCGGAGTACGCACTTATCAACCGGAGTCCTCCCACAAAAAGGTTACCATTTCAGATACATCGCCGAATATGAATCAAGTCCTCTTCTGTTTCCCCAGCCACCGGCTATCATCGAACCATAAGTTTGCAAAAATTGGTATATCTGGATTCCGAGACTACGACCTGAGACTTGGTCATACTTTAATGAGTACAAAACGCACGTCAGGCGATAAGATCTGAATCTTTTGCGCAATTTGTTTTACCAGAACACGAAAGTTGGGGTTCGGAAAGTCGATCTTTTCCTTACGGAAAGCTTGACTGTTGACTATTGACTCTATAGAGCACTCATTGTGTCTAGATCAGTGTAGCTGGATCGAGCTGCAAATACATGAAAGGCCGCTCTGTACGTTGTATGACGAATATGTTACTGCAGAGTGATAGCCATTGCCGAGGTTACTTGATTCCAGATATTTGACGGTCAGTCCGCGGCTCAACAAGCATGTCAAATCTCTGATTTCTGGACACCGGTGACTCAGAATCATGTCAATCAGATAAATATCGGACTGTCTCAATACAAAAGCCGATGGTAACAATAGCCATCTTTGCAAAGTTCATGCTCTCACCCAAGTTGTCGTGGATTCGTAATGCTCTTCAAGACAGAACTCTGGTTAAAAGGGGCTGTTCATACTCCGCGTGATGATTCCAATTCACATCGTTCGAGAACAGTACTCACTTATTATTCAAATGATCACTGCTTCTAATCATCCAATTGTACGATTGGATATAAACTCTGAGGGGCAATATGGCATTTTACCGGAAGTCTTCAAACTTACCAAGACACACCGCTTACACAATTTCGCGATTTCGAGCATTCGAGGTAATCTTACGAAAGTATCTATGCCTGCAATGGAGTAAGCCAAGTAGACTAGTTAGTCCTTCAAATGTTCTTTTCTTCGAAAGCATGCTGTCTACCTTTCAGTTTCTTTACAATTTTCAATCCATCACTCTTACAAGAATCTACACCTTCCAGCGGACAAGTGAACCCACGAATAGTTAGAAAAAGGGGTTCAATTTATTTTTGGATGCCAAGGATTTACTTATCCGATGCATACTATCAACTGGACCCTCAGCCCTACACTCTCTTTACTGGATGAGATGAAACCTGGAAACGGTCGATCATCTATACTCTCTGAATGGGGGTTCAGATGGTGTGCACGGGCACGGCCCAGAATATTCCATCGATTAAGCAAATGTCCATTCAATTATGGGCTTTGACACGGGAACAACTTTGCTGCATATTTCAAATGTCAAAGCTCATGCTCATGACGAGTAGCTGTGGTAACTATCATCAAGGAGATCATTCTTTCCTCGACTGATGAACTGGCTATCGACTTCACGTCCAATGCTTTCATCTTCAACAAGTGTTGTTCTTCTGAAGACGGAATACTCTTCATGCCAACATGTTGCTATATCAAATATGCTATTTTTTCAAGTTATCCTGAACATGGGGATCAGTTCACTTATATGTATCCGGTGCATATATCAGCTCAGATAACGAGCCTGATTCTTCCACTCAAAAACTCAAATCAAGGCTCTTTTGTAACACATTTTCTCGTCTTTGATCAGGGCTACAATAAGTTTCTTCGCATTGAAGGCAATGTGTTGCATCTATTGACTGAGATTTCTTCAAAGCAAACTAGCACTCGATGCCCATATGCTGTTGCCAATTTATTATGTATCCTCATTCCGTCTTGTTCTTTCCTCAGTGGTTGACACTTCCTCAATCCAGCGACGTTCCTTCCCAATGTGCAATTGCAGCTCATTTCGGCAATTACACTCCTTCACCTACCTACCATGGTTACACCCATATCTATATAATCTTCTCTTCTTCCCATCTCATTCTTCTCATGGACATCAACAATCCATCATCAAATTCATTTGGCTTTATTGCATATTTGCCTTGCTGCTTCATCCATTCTAGTAATATTGGAACTTCGTTCTCCCTGCATTATCATTCGAAATTATCATTCAAAGCATTTCAATTTGAAGTAATTTCATTCCCCATGCATTTTAAATCTTTTGCCGTTGCGGCTCTTGGCCTTGTTGGTGCGGTTACTGCTCAACGTCCCACAGATACTAGTATTTGCGATTATTATACCACTGCTCTCTTCAAGAATAATACTGCCGACTCTCAACAACAGTTGATGACACGCATTGTCAACATTGCTCTTATTGGTAATGGTAAGTATTCCATTTAAAGTTCTGCGGTGGGTTTCACTCATCAATCCCTTGCAGGCCATTATAGTCGCCGTAGTGTCAATGTCACCGGTATCATCTCCACTGGTACCTACAATGGTATCAAAGTCAGTTTATTACCATATTTTGACGGTGGCTTGTTCTCTACAAACGGGGGAGGAAAGCCCATATCTGTCAACTTCCTCGATGGTGGTGGATCGGGCACTCTTATGTCTTACAAAGCTGCCGATTCCATGTCGAGTAATCAATAGTAAGCTCCCGGAATTACAAATATAGCAAGAGATTAACCACGATAGTTTCCTCATGACCCATCTCTACCAGTACTTTGGTGTACTACTTGGATGCTCCAAGCAAGGTGGCACTAACTTTCCGGCGTATTCTGGTTCTGATTCTCAGTATAAGGTTCACAAGTAAGTCAACCAAATGCCTCATGATACTTTTCGTGACTCGAATCTAGTTCAGGTGATAAACCAACGCAGCCTCTAACAACGATACAATAGGTTCATGAATCTCTCCGATGCTGAAGTTAATTACTTCATTGAACAAGTTGCACTATCCGCTTCATTTTTTGGCGTTTCTGCCTCAGATCTAATGATCATCGGCTATTCACTTCGGCAATCATTCGGTTATCGTTGCCTGCCGCCTGCAACTATTGTTCCCAGTCAAGGGGCCCAGTTGCAATCTATTTGCACCGACCCTACATGTCCTCTTGCATCAAACAATACTTGCGCCTCATACGACCAAACCATCACCAAGCCTAAGTTGGAGCCATGCTATGTTGCCGAGGCCGCTTGCAACAAAGTACCAGGAACCTACGGCTATCTATGCCATAACGATTACCTGCTTTGTAGAGCTTCAGGTGGAATCAAGACCAATGGCACAACTTCACCATCCAATACATGTTCATGTTCTGGTTCTGGTCCATGTTTGTGTTCAGCTTCGGGCTCGGGCTCATGTCCATGTTCGAATTCGGGCTCGTGTCCATGTTCGGCGCCTAAAACTGGGTCTGGCACAGGCTTTGGAACGTCATCTAACAAGACATCTGGTAGTGGCTCAAGCAAGACAAATAGCACAAGTTCGGGTTCCGGTTCTGGTTCTGGCAGCAAGACGAATGGCACCACTACTGCTGCTAAACCAACTCAACTCACAGCTGGTGCTGCTACTGTTGGAGTGAGCTTTGCAGCCATAGCTGGTGGTCTTATTGCCTTTTCCTTGTAGATCTGCAGGCGTAAAAACAGATAGTTGAAGTTTGGTAAATGTGTGATTATCATCGGCAAAGTGTTGGAGCACTGCTTGATGAGAAAGGCCATGAATTATTGCTGGTATCTCTTCTTCATGTGGTTCATACTGAGTGGGTATTGTTCTTTCATCGGTTAGATGTAACAGCTTGTCGATGTCTCTTCTTTTGAGTCGTATGAGCGCTTGTGGAGATGATGGAAGAAGAGAAAGGAGGAAGAAATGGAAAGACGTATATTGGTGCTGTGCTGGACGGGATCCAAACAAGGACAAGAAGCTTCTAAGGTAGCTTTTAAAGTAATTATGATATTCATACTGTACTGGATTTTCCAGAACTGGGGTTTTCATATTTGAATGCTAAGTGTATGAGTGTACAGTAGATAAAGTTGTTAACTGCAATTTGTGTCCTCTTTAAAAAGTTAACTTACATTTAACTAGATGGTGAGTGTTAAACTCTTTTCTGTCTCGTCTTGTCATGTTCTGTTGCACTTTCTTTTCATAAATAATTTATTCATTCATTTGCTAACTTACTCGACCGCTCGCCTGGAAAATCTCCTGCTCGTGTTGAAACCCATCTCTCCATCTCATCATATATACCTAGTACTTAGTAGTCATATTGTAAGATAGAATCACCAATTTCCATTCCGAACATCATAAATCCATCATCCATCATCCACTCTCCAAAATTCACTACCCCTTACTTTCCCTTAGCAAATTCATTAATATACTCCGCTAGTTTTTGGGCGCCCTCCAATGAAATCGAATTATAATTACTGGCACGGATACCTCCTACACTTCTATGACCTTTGAGACCCGTAAGACCTCTTTCAGTAGCTCCGGCTAAAAATGCTTTTTCTGCATCGGCGATGTTTTCGGAAGTAGTGACGCGGAAACAAATGTTCATTCTTGAGCGGGCGGATACGTCGGGGACGACTTTGTAGGAGGTAGGGTTGGCGTCGAGTGCGGAGTAAATGAGGGAGGATTTTTTGTTGGAGATGGATTCTTGACCTTCGATTCCGTTGGGGTAGGTGGCGAGGAGTTTTTGGAGCACTTGTCCGGCGATGTAGACGCTAGTGATGGTGGTTAGTATTAGTGGGTGTGTAGGCATCGGGGGGACTTACTCGAATATGCTTAGGGTGTTGTAGAGACTATTGTTCTTGGCGATTGTTTCGTATGAGAATATAATTGGACCAATTGGTAAACCAAGCTTTCTCAATAGAGTAGGCGCAGGAGTTGCGACGACTGGGGGAAGGAGGTTCTTCTTGATAATGACAACGGTGATTCCGGTACTACCCAGGTTCTTTTGAGCACCGAAAAATATGACGGAGAAGTTCTTAACAGGAATGCGTCTCGACAAAATATTCGAAGACATATCTGCCACTACAATTGGCTCATCATCTTCACTGGTTGGCTCTAAAGCTTTTGGGAAACCGGGGAACTCGACCCCATCGACGGTCTCATTGTCGCAATAGTAAACCATGGCTGGATTCTTGGAAAGTTTCCAATCCTTTTCCTCTGGTATTTTTCCGAATTTACCATCATTGATCTTTCTAGCATCTGCGACAATATTAACGTGCTCTGAGCCAACCAATCGAGCGGCTTCTTGGCTAGCTTTTAATGACCATGAACCGGTAACCAAATAATCAATCTTGAGTTCCTCATCCACAGCCTGTTGGAGCTCCTTCACAAGAGCATCTTCTGGAATATCCTTATCAGAAGAAATACCCAATGACTTCAGAATTTTCTGCTTCCTCTTCTCAATCCATATTCCAACCATGTTGTATATTGTTGCCGAGAACTCCCCAGTGCCACCACCCTGCATAAAAAGTACTTCGTAGTCATCTGGTATCTCCAGGTATTTTGCCAAATCGGCTTTCGCAGTATTCAGAACATTCGCAGCAATTTCGGAACGATGTGAGTGCTCTGCCAAACCGAGACCTGTGCCATTGTAATTGACAAGAGCTGCCGCAGAGGTTTCTAGAACATCGGTTGGGAGGAGGGCAGGTCCCGCACCAAAATATGTGATTTCCGAACGAGAAGGCATTCTTTCCAAGGTAGTAGGTAGGATCGTGTGTAAAGTTTGGGGTTTTGAGAAGTATTTCAGGTAAATGATTCTGGATAAAATGGTCAGACAATGTTAATGTTTAGTGGTAATGATGATGTTTCAATGCCAATTCATTCTATGCTTAGACTGTGCTGTCAATTGCGTGATAAAATCTCAACATAATTCCCTTCAATTGGAGACCTAGAACAACAGATGGTAGATAACTTACATATTATTTGCTACCTACTTCAAATCATTCGTGAAGTTTGAACGACTGTTGGAAAGTTGTGATGTTCGCGAAAGACTCATTTGAGTGAGTCAAGAAGAAAGAAATTATGTAACTTTACCCCGGATTTCCTGATTCGTCAAGTGGGATGTTTAGTGTAGAATTAATCTTTACCCTGTCATTACGTGATTATCATCATCCTGCTGCACCTTCTTCCATCACCCCAAACCTCAGTCTAGCAGCTCATCACTTTAAAACAGACTTCAATTTGTAATTAATAATTTTAATCCTCATATCTGCTACTTTACAAACGGTGGCATTTCATTTTACAATGGAACGAAAGAATTCAGAAGCTGGCCCTTCAAATAATCCTCTCAAAGTACCTGCTGCATCCTTTCGTACGTATTTAATCATTCATTACCATCAGAGCTCTCGACTAATATATGATAGCTACACATAATTCACCTCGGGTTTGGTTCATGACATCTGCATTATCCCCATTATGTGTCAGATTAATCAGACTTCTTCTCAAGCATGGTGATTATGTAGCCGCTGGTCTGCCGCCAAAAGAAATTGAAGATGATGAGCGATGTCTAGAGTTCAAGGAACTCATCAATGACTGTAATAGTAACAAAAGGCAGTGCGAGGGCTGGAAAGACAGAATTCGTGGAATCAAGGTTGATGGAAGGTTACTAAGTATTCTCTTGCCAAAGGATGGGATGGATCTGTACTGAACCTCCGACAGGGCCAAATCGCAATGCTTAGCAGCTATCGCAGAAGCTATTAATTTGTTTGGACGTATAGATATTCTGATGTGCTGCTCATCTGAAGGTATTTGATGATGAAATTTTGACGGAAACGCAATATTGATGTCAGTCTAGCTGTCGTCGGAACTGTGGAGGAGCTTTCAACAAATCCTGCGACTCGGAGCCTAGTCCGTGATCAATTTGATACCATTTACTTCAATCAGGTCAACTTTATTAAATCAGCTTTACCACATCTTCGAGAAAAACGTGATGGTCATATCCTCATTCTCACTGGCATTACAGGTCACATAGGAACACCTGGAATGTCAATGTACTGTGCTGCGACATGGGCTTTGGAAGGGTTTTGTGACGCCTTGACCTACGAGGTCGCTCCATTCAATATTAAAATAACGATTGTTCAACCCAATAAAGAAATTCAACTACTAACAAACAAAATTACATTCGCTCCACAGTTACCACAATATGAAACTCAAAACAATCCAGCTCCTCAGATAAGGGACATCTTGGCGCATGTGTTAAACTCACATCCAGATACTCGGATAGATCCACAAAATGATAAACCTTCAATTGAATCAGTGTTTCCTATTCTACCTAGCGAATCAAAGGATAAATTGGTTATGGAAACCGTTCATGCCTTAACAGCAATTGGAGGTCATGAAAACCCCCCAGCGAGGCATATCGTAGGTTATGAAGGAATCGCATCTGTTAAGGAAAAGTTGAAGATAGTCAGTGAAGAAATGGAAGACTTTGTGGAAGTTAGTTGTGCAGTGGATATCTACACTAAAAGCGCAGTTAGCCAGGCAGCATTGGCTGAACCAAGGTCACAACGTAAGCGTAGTGTCAGTATTGAAAGACGGGACTCCAACAATGAAGGTAAGATTTCCCAGCCTGAAAGTAGTATCACTATGCCCGAAGATGGAATGAATTCCCTGGGCAATATTCAAAGCAGAAATGATGGATTAAGGAAGTCAAGAGGAAAAGGGGGAGGGGGGAGCGGAAGAGGAAAGAAGAAGTCAAGGAGGAGTCAAGGAGGAAGTCATTGAGAGAACTGAGGAAGAAACGTACCTAAATTAAGTACTGACCGGTAATTCTTCAGATTAAATGCCGAACTTACAATTAACATTACAACATTTTATTGTGAATTGCATTGTAAGTCATCAGTCACGTTTATGCATGGGTCATAAATCACTAAATTGCATGGGTAGAATTTGGTCTAACATGTTTGTTATTTAGGAAAAAGGTTTCTCTATTTGTCGGAAAGCAAAAGAAATCTAAAAAGGAAAATCTCGGATCAACACACAATCAATCGCTCTTTACTTGCTCAATTTCTGATTCAGATCGTCTCGACTGTTTAGGAAAGACAAGCCGTGCTAGCGTCCATTGGAAAAAAGGGAAAAGCTGCAAAGGAAAGCCTGTATTGACCTATTCACTGATGCTAAATCTCCAATCTCTCTTAAACTTCTTTATTGGCCCGCTCATTTCTCCCGACTCTTTAATCTTCTTCATCACCTCCTCGAACTCTTCCTCCGCCTTCTTAATATCGTTCATCAGCTCCTCAAACTCCTTTCTCGTCTCCTTCAAAGATAGATCATTCCTCTCTTTAATCTGTTGAAGCAAGAGTGCTAATTCACAATGTCGAAATCTTGCATTTTGAAACGCATTAGCCGCATCCTCCATCACTTCCTCTTCCGGATCGATTTGATCTTCTTGTTCGGCAGCTTTGCGAACTCGGTCAAGGACAGTATCATCATGGGAACGTGAAAACCACTTTCGATTGGCCAACTCATCATCCATAAATACGGAAGATGCCGAGGGAGATGATGGTTGGGATGATTCCGCTGGTGTCTCCAAAGAGGCACTGTTTTGAGTGTTACCATCTTGGAAAGCGGTAGTCATGGTGAGAATCTCACTTAGATTAGCGCTAAGGATTTCGGGGGATAAGTTTGAGGGTTGGTTTGGGGTTGAGTTTGGGGGTGGGATATTTGGAGAATCCATTTTGAGAATGATTCGCTTGCTGGTGGTTAGATTTAAGATCTGAATATCTACTTACTGGTTTCTAGCTTTGGTTTCGGGTATCGAAGTCAAATTGAAGTTTTAAGAAGGATGTGATGTGAGATCCGATGATTGATGAGGAAAAAAAGGATCACTTGGATAATTATTGGGTTTGTATTTATACTGGCAACAATGCATTGTTCAACTGGTCTTTTCGGAGAACGACAACTTGTTCTTGTTCTTGTTCTTTTGTTTCTATTTGTTCTCGGATGAATGGCTTGGTCCAATGATTTGGGGTTGAGATATTGTGAAAGGGATTATTTAGGCAGACAAAGTGGGTTGAGGGGTTCTTGGATTCTTGTTCCAAGTTGGTGTTACAGTAGATTGGTTAGTTCTTGAAGTTCATTATAATAGAGAAATAAGGGAAACATAGAAGCGCATCTGTACCTACCTATCCCCTTGATGATAGATAGCTTTCTCTCGGCTTGGCTAGGTCAATTACAAATATTGAGTTTTGATCGTATTAAACAATGAATTTCTCGGTAATTGGACGTATATTTCAATACTATTTTACTGAATGACATATTTAGACTTCTCTACCTAAATACTTTCAAACATTAATATTCTATTCTGTTGTGTAAATTACTCCTGTACTTAGACATTCATCTCGAGTTAGAAACTATATAACCCCCTTGAGGATGACTCCACCGCCTCGGTAAAATCCATACATTTATTCTTCTTTATTATTGATATTATTCACAAGGCTAGCAATGTTTTCTGTCTATATAATCTCATATTAAACTTATTGAATTTATTAACTTCTTTAATCCCCTCTGCTCTCCATTTTTATTCTTTCTTTCCCCTCTACACCTTCACTAAAAGCCTAATTATACTAAATCTCCCATCCATCATACCCATACCCATATCATCACCCCCATATCATCGACAACACCCAATCCTCAATCCAATTATATCCACCCACCCCTTCATTATAATTCAGCCCAATCCAACACACTTACTTCTGCACCGAACATCAATCCCATAAACAAACATTGTACATATTTTTCTTTTTTTATGACATCCCCTTCTTCTTTTCCCATCTCCCGTTTCTTCTCATGTCCTCTTTTCTTTCTCAACGGCTTTAAATCTCTAAAGGGTGAAAGAGAAAAGGAGAAAGAAAGGAGAAAGAAGCAACAAAAACAACAAAACTCCACATCATCGGCGCCCAATTCTAGGAATTAACCTAGAATTCACAAGGAACTATGAACACATTACTATATCACTCGGTTTTATGAATTAATTCAGATCGATGAGATGCTTTTGAGATACGTATTATCTATATTTTGAATTATATACGGTACGGAAGGGAAGGCAATGTAAATGAAGAAAATGGAGATAGAATAGAAAAAACTTAATCATAAATGCGAGGTCTTATAAGCGTAGATAATGTACCCAAAAGCAAAACTTACAATGGAGAACAAAACAACGAAAGAAAGTCCCTCCACGTACCTAAATATACAGGAGTGAGAATTTTAGTACGCAAATCGATGATATGCGTAACTCACTCTTGCGATTTTCGTTTTATTTTGGGGGTCTCTTTTCTTGACTTTATTTTCCGGCTCGTGGGTTTATAAATGGATTTATAAAGTGTGATGTTTCTATTAATTAATAGGAATAAAGACGAATAATAAAAAAATATCAAGAGCAGACTACAAATTTAGCGAGGAGATTAGTTAAAAAGGTATAATTACTTGGGCGTGAAATCTAAAGTGCTGGAGATTTTAAGACTTACCGAGTATAGACGAAGAGATGCCGGTCATGGGATCATTGATTTGATATTGAGTCGTTGGGAGAAGAGGGAAGACTTAGAGGGAAGATTTAGATTTAGATTAGTTATGGTATGCAGCGAAGCTTCAGTTCAAATTCCATTCATAATCCTAGGGAGTAAACTATCCTAATAATAATATCAAAAAAAAGAAAGAAAAAAAGACGAAGGAGAAAAGGATCCCAAAACGATATCCAAAAATCATGATAACCCTTCCACCTGCATATTCTCTCACCATAGCCTTAATTCCCAGTAAAAAGTGCTTGTAAAGTTTCCAAAACCATGATGATTATGTTCAGTACAACATAATTTAATAAGGTTACTTCTGTCCCTAAGCCCGAGATGTACCTGAAGATATTCGATGGAATAAATCTTCGCTTGAAAATACCGTCCCACAAATTTCTTGATTCATTCTTCCTCTTGTACTCAAGAAGGAGATTACAGCATTCTGCTGAATCAGGCAGCGTCTTTTCAAGATACTCAGACACAGTACAATGGCCTACAGACTCAGTTGCATCCGGCGGCCCGTATACGACCGTAGCTGATGGATCGGCGCCATATTTAAGAAACAATTCAAGTACTTCTCTCCGGACCCGTAGCACTGTTGGTGTTGATTTACTTGTAAAGCGAGGAGTTTCATGGTCTGGACGGAAGAAATTACGTACAAAGGCTGTCCAGAGGGTGCTTCGATGACCGCCATAATTTCGTCCCAGCGGCTCCTGGTAATCAATCCAATTTGGGTCAGCTCTGGCTTCTAGAAGTATCCGGACAATCGAGACGTAATTATCTGCGACAACAGACGGTGAATCAAAAACCCGAACATGAATATTTAACTCAAAGCAAGCATAATGGAGTAGGGGACGGTACCAATAGAGGCAGTTAACCATAGCTGGAGTTTTCAGAAGTTTCTGCAGCACAAAACTATGAATCCCATATATAATGGCGTAGAGCATAACAAAGTCTTCTTCCAAATTATCATTTTTGGCATGGAGGCGCCCAAGATTTCTACACAGTTGATATCTGGAAGATGCTATTCGGTCGAGCTCTTCAACCAGTGCTGACACTAATACTGCATCACAGCTAATTTCTATTCGTCCAACTTGTTTTAAACAGAGACGTATCGGCGTGACGTAAGTTAAGAGGAAGCCTTTGACCGGTAAGACCTGCATTTTGCATCACGAATGAGCGGCACAGTGACAAACGAGGATTGTAAGGATAATTTATCCATTCAGGCAAAGGCGTTTGGTTTCTGGACTCTAGAAAGAAATCTTCAACCGTCCTGTGCAAAAAAGAGACACCGGGATTGCCGGCGTGCCATTGCCCTGTCTCAAAAATCTGCAGGGAATCACGGCAACGAGCCTTTACTCGTATCTTCAAAGTCTCAAGCTCCTTTGCCATATGATCAGTGGTCCATGGATTGATTCCTTCCGCAATTGCATAATTCGGATTTTTTTGTTCTTCCTCCAGAAAGGAAAAAGTAAGGAGAGGGAGTGGTTCGTCGGCTGCTAGGCACATCTGAAGGATCTGCGAGGCTTGAGGTCGGTAAAACTCGTCGATACTATCCAATATTCGTTCAAAGAACTCTTCCAGCCCGGGTGGTATACTTTCTAGTCTAGCTTCGAGTTCAGAAATTGTATCTTCATGTGTCAATCCTTTCAGTATCTCCCGGACAGCGAGGGCCACCCAGAGAAAAACACCTCCAGATTTGTCGCATATTTTGTCGATGAAGTTACCATAACGCTCGTCTATTTGTGTGTTCGAGAAACCAGGATCCTCAGTTATCAAGTCACGAATGTAGTGTTTAATATGTTCTTGGGTGAAGTCTTGCAAACTTAATGATTGGCCTGGGAGTGGGGTGGGAAAACGTTTGATCTCTGTCCAAGGTCGACTCGAGACGATAACTTTCACCTCTGCAGATGTTGCAAATGCTTTCAAGAGACGTGCAGTTTCTGATGGATCTCCCATGTATTCATTCACACCGTCAATGAAGAAAACAAACTTGCCCGGCCATACTTGGTTTTTTGTGAGCTGGTTGAACGCGTCTAGAAGCTCAGCTTTCGACCAAGAACCATCCATGTTGATGCCTGCGTGGTTTAGCGACACCCATCTATCTGGGAACAGTTTTGGCAAGACTGAAGGACAGTTTCCCAAAATATCGTATAAAAGAGATCGCAGAAGTCCTTGTTGAGACTTTTCCATTCCATTCCCAGCACCCCAAAAATAGTAATTGCCTGTGAAAAGAGGTTTAGTGTCGGCCCAATCTGTGAGAGCGTTTTTGACGACTTTGTGGCCAACTAGATACTTCATGAGCGTAAATTTTCCAGAGCCAGCACTCCCATTGATCCAGTATACGTCACCACCTTCACGGAGCCAATCAATGAATCCCGTTAGATGAGGGTTAATTATCCACTCGAAAGTGCCAATGTGTGCCTCAATGATGTTAGACTGTCTTCGACTCATCCCCTCATATCTCAATGTTTTAAGGATTGCACGTTCGGTAAAGAGTGTGCTTCCTTGTTCAATAGTTCTCGATAATTGATTCCATCCTCTATCATTGTTTTGTTGATGTTTGCAAATATCTTGAGATATAGCTAGCAAGTCGTCTTTCAAGCCCAATAAATTCTGTCCCGTGTTCGTTTCCACACGACCCTGACAGTGTTGCAATTCCATGAACGCGGCGCTCATCGCAGAATGTCGGTCACTGAGCGTGATACAAGTCAGCTTCCACCAGAATGACAGATGTATATCTAATTGTGAAGATTTAATCATACTTCAAAAGAGCTAAAAGTCTAAGCAGCAGTTGACTTCGAAAACTATCTAGCCGTTTCGACATATCAGAAATATAAGTTTCCTTCCATAAGCTACGTATTGATTGACGAGCGCTTGCCCACAACGTGTGTGATCCCTTGATTTTCAAGCCATCAAGGTCATGCAAGAGCTTGTCTGATAATTCTTCACATTCTGATGCAAGGCTTATGAGCGCTAGCTCATCCTTGCTATAGCCACGCGTTTCTTGATGAGGGTTTCGTGCCCTTAAATCAGTGCTGATAGCACTGAGATCCGAGAAAATGGTGGAGAGCTCAAGATTGTTGGCCAAGGCTCTGCTAGAGGAGTGATGTAGCTCTGCAGTACTAGTAATGACCTTTGAAGCAAAATCCACGAATTGAAGGATAGACGCCGCAAGCCTGAAAGTTGAAATAGGATCAAGCATTTTGCAAGAGAAACTGTTCTTTCATTGAGTTGGAGCAATGGAAAACATCAGGACGCAACTCGAGCCTGATTGATATTGTTTTATTATGCTATGGTGTGGTGATACAGCCAGTTGACCATAGCCTCGAAAGCACCTTCACACATGTAACTCACCATGGCTGTAAGACCTTGGATATATATTGGACCTATCATCGAGACCATCTTCGGAACTATTGTCCAAGCAAAACGCGAAAGATATTGAATGCCAAAGCCATGCATAAACTGGAAAACTGCAGAGAATGATGAGGTGTCACCAAAAAAGAGGAATGACATGATCGTATATCTTTCGATGGAGCATTTGACTTTTTGCCCGAAATCAAGTGACCTTCCAGTCTTTGTATTGATCTTTCGAGAATGTGAGATGTCTAAAAACCATCGTTGAACCTATTTATAGCTAAGGGCGCGTTCGGATCGATTTTTTTTTTTTGATATTTGACCACATTTAGACTAATATATTAGGTCTAATATACTCGAATCGAATATAATATTCTAGCCAGTATATATTAAACCAAATAATCCATTTTATCGAATACAATATTGAATTTAATAAAAAATATTGAGTTAAATATATATTTGATCAAATATTCGAACTTTTTTTTAAATAATGATCAATAGCAGCTTTTTAATACTGTTGAAAAGTGTTACGTAGTAACAGTCAACCTGTCCATATGAGCTCAGACCCCGTGGAAAAGCAAACCGATTCTCATACAAAATTGTATGGTAATCGGTTCGTAGAGTCTCCCCACCTTCAGCAAGCACAGACATATGTTCTGATTGAAATCACGTGATGGATCTAGGGGATCTAGATAATTAAACTCTAGATCCAGTAGATCCAAGGGATCCAAAAGAATACAGTAGAATATGAAGTTCTATATAAGGGATAGGTTTTCATTTGTAGAGCTTCGTGCTCAAGAACAATAATTTAGTATACTCTACTATTAGTTACGAATAGCATATCATTATTGTCATTACTTAAGTCCCTGCTTGACGCCTAGTTATAAACCACCTCGAGAGCCTAGAGCACTTCCACGTAATCTAGACGGCTACCCTCGTAACAAAAAGATATTTGAAAAAATTTGATATTTCAGACCCCGCCTACCACTTTTTCCAATATTCCTCAAATATATTAGCCTCACTCAAATATACCCAAATATATATTAGACCCAATATTTTATTGAGCCCAATATTTCTAACATTTTTGAAAATCGATCCGAACAGACCCTAAAGTATTTGTGATCGAAGGAGCCTTAGGGTTGGAAAGGTCCGTGCAAGGTAGCCTTAATCTCAGCCTTGCTGCAAGGCTGTCAGTACCTCCACGTGGAACGGGGAAATCATCGGCCTCCATATAATCTGTTAAAGTAGAAGCTCCATGAATCTTAACATCAACAATATGAAGTATGTCCACAACACGCTTGACCTTTCTCTATCCCACCCTTTTTCGTGCAATTAGAGCTAGCGAACCTATTGTTCCAAGAGTACGAATACAATCCAAACGAGCATCTCGCCCACAACGATCGAGACAATTTGGCACAACGCAGAGAAGGAGGGATGTGTTTGTGCAAAGACATGGAAAAGCTGTAGAGCCTTTCCTGAAAGAGGGAGAGGATGAAAGCAATGTGAAAGTTTTCCTACCGGAGAAAGAAGTCGAGGAAGAAGAAGAAGAGGAAAATACGAAGGGCACGAAAGTGGGGAGGGAGTCACAGAAAAGCAGCAAACCAAAAGACACTGATGGAATGGCAGAAAGGGGGCCCTCATCTGCATCGCCATTATCGGAAGAAACGCAAGCTGCTTCAACAATAGCTGGAGATCCCGGAGTTACGGCGAGATCTACTACCGCTCAAGGACCAGAACAATTGACACCCCGCCAACAAGCTGCTGCGAATACTGGGAAGATGGCACCGCTGGAGACAGTATTACATATGCCACCGCCTGAGTCAGCCGAAGCTCAAAATTCATTAAAACCACCACATCTACAGACGCCACCTTATGTTCATCATTTCGACACATATGCTTTAGTTCAGCAGGTTCAACAAGGGGGATTTACAAAAGATCAGAGCATTACTTCTATGAAGGCAGTGAGAGAATTGTTGGCGCTTAACTTGGATGTTGCGAAGGAGGGCTTAGTTAGCAAGAGTGACGTAGAAAACGTTAGTAATATATTTTCCTATCTTCTCAAATTTACTGACACTTAATCCGTAGGAAACTTACCTATTCCGCGCAGCGTGCTCAGAATTGAAAGCCGAGATACAAAATAATCGTAAAGCAAACGAGGAGAAGATGCGCCGGGAACGGACGTTATTGCAACACGAAGTTGACATATTGAATCAAAAGCTCACTCAAGAGCTGCTCACACTCAAAGATGATTTGAAAGGAATGTTCGATGATCGCAAAATGACTGTACGACAAGAACAACGTACAATGGAAACTGGAGTATGCACCCTCTATCTGCTTACCTTCACAATAACTAACAAAACCCAGATCCAAGAACTAAACTACAAAATCACCGTCATGCTAAACAGCGACGCCAAATCCGAAATAGAAGGACTCCGATGGGTTCTCACACGAAGATCAGTAATGGGAATATTATTCATGGCATTCATGGTCCTAACAAGCTTAAGATACGCAAGCTACAAAGCTCACGAGCACGAAGAGAAAAGAAGAAAAGAAGCAGAAATCCATGCGAAACACGATGAACATATTCAGGATTTACCATCCCAAGGAGCAGCGGAGATACTAGCTGCTAATTAGATGCACGTTATGTGATGTGATCTGATGGGTTGGATTGAATTGGGTGGATCGTTGATGTTTGAGATACCTTGCTTGTATATGTTGCTGCTGCGCTGCATTTTTGGATTTGTTCATGATTTTTATGAGTATACCCTATATGTATGTATATATATATATTTATACCTAGTATCTAGTGTCTATCTATATCCCATTTCCCTGCTTGAGTGCTAGTATCTACCATCTATTTGCAAATCTTTCCAATTCCCCGATGAATCTTCACATACATACCCACAAACCAACCTTCACCATCATACACAAACAAATTCCAAATCCCAGACTCCAAACACAACGCCGGCTATTCACCAGGTGAAGGTCATTCAGTGGAGAAGAATGTAAGATAGATAATAATCACAAAATCATAATCATAATTAGTCGGGTATTTTGTGTTTCTGACTGACTAACAACTTTTGGTGGTGAGTGAGTGGTATGATTAGAGAGTAGGGTTCATTTATACGGGAAGGAAGTTTTGAGCTTGAGTTCGAGCTTGAGCTTGATGAATATGATGATGATGATGATAATGGTTACGTTATAGAATAATATTGATTCAAGAGGATGATTCCGGGAAAATGTAATTTAATTAGTATACACGAGTTATCCATTCTGAATACGATGACCTCGGGATGAGAAGCTTATTTATAATAGGTGATTGTTATTTATTATTATTAGATATATACATGAAAATTCTGCAAAAATCAATCCAACACTTAGATTCATTTCCCCATCCCGAAGTACATCACTCTAGATTTCACCTCCTTCGTTCAACTCATTGACATTACTATCTAATTATGAATTTGTATTAAGTTTCTAGCTATAGCTTAGCTTACTCTGCAGTATAAATTCCTTCTCCCGAAAGAAAAAAGCTAGAACGCCGACTCATGAAAATGCAGTTCCGGTGCAAAGACCACTTGCAATGTTTTCCGAAATACCTCTCTAATTTCTTCGCGCGCTAGAGGATACGTTTTGATGAACGATCGAAGAGGTGTAGTGATAGGTATCGTTAACTGCATATTATGCTAGGGTGCGTAAAAAATTCTTAGTTTTGAAGAGTAAAATGGTTGAAGTGATTGTTGAATATTATGGCTCTGATATTTGGTTATGGAAAGTAGCGAGGGGAAAGAAGGATAATACTAACGAAATATTGCCATACGCAGCATCTCATCATGCGTTTCTCATCTATACCCCCTCCGCCTGTGGCCCATCCTTCAACCACAAGTGTCGTGCGACGGTATCTCTTTCGGTACTTTAGTCAGCATGAATAACGGTCTGTATTCATGCATTCCTTGGATCCGACTAATACAGTGAAGATGAATATTGGTATCATACACTTGAAAATGAAAGTATGTATTGAACGATTTCCTTCGAGTGACACAAAGCACTTGGAGTGTTAAGCCTCATCGAAATCATCGCCATTCTCCTCCCATTTTCGGATATGTCGTTCTGCGTTCAAATTCCGGCTTCCGAGGAGACAGAGCTGATGATTGACGACGATGCTCAAGTGTAGCAATGGCCGTATTTGATGTTTTCCAAGAACTAGATGTCGAGTCTGATCGTCTTGGATTCGGTAATGGATCCCGTTCATTATTAGGCGACTTCTGGACTGGATAGCGAGTGGACCGGGAAGAGCTAGATGGCACATAGGACCAACTCCTTTTTGGAGACTTAGATGGTACTATTGTGACTCCCTGATAAGGAGTTCTTGAACTCTGAGACATCGACCTCGATACAGGAGGGCGAGATGGACCAGTTGGATGATGGGCATCTGGTAATTGTTGGGGCTGTTGCGTTCCAGGCCTTCGATATTGGTCTGTATCACGATTACTTTGAATGGGAGGGGGACTTCTAGCTCTTGAGTAGCGGACGTTTGGGTGGTCTTGGCTGCTGTGAGAACGGGTAATTGGCTGCCGGTAATAGCTTGTGTTTCTTTTCAGGATGCCTTTTGGAGATGGGGGTGGTTGGGCTCGATTAGTATTGTAACTCTTGGAGACTTGCGGTGTTTGGCCAGACGTTGTAGAGCTGTGGTACTGCTGATTGTGGTATTTTGGAGACCTCGGTGCAGTCGTGGGTTTGTCATTGAATTTGTATTCATCAATGACATTTCCTTCTGCGGGGTTTTGTCGTGACCCACGTTTGTATTGTCCATCGTCATGGTACCGAATTCTCTGTTGCACTTCGGAAACTTGTGGTGCTTCTCGCCTTTGATTCCAAGGTTTGGGTTTCTCCCCAATATACATCTTTCCTAGCCTTGTTGCAGTGCTACCTGAGTCCGAGCTTGCCTCTAGACTATGTGAACGGCTCCTAATCACGCGATCCACAGGAGGAGGGACGAAATTCCCAGGAAATTGCTTTATCAGCTCACCCTCCAACCATTTGACCTCGGACATATTTGCCTTGTCGTAATTCTCCAAGATATCTTTGATCTTGGGGACAGAATCACACCAATGTGCTGCAGGTCCTTCCAACAAAACATCAATAGCCCATAAATACATGGAAATTGAGATAGTATCGGGGTTGTCGGCAGCAAGATCGAGTTTAATCCTCCGGAGCCATCTCGAAGCTGATTGGTTTTCGCCCGTGAACTTTCCTGCCTGTTCAAATTTGGGCATGCGACGTGATGCACTCATGTTTGAGGTCTGTACGTTGAGAAGGTATTGAAATAGATCAACAGCAGACTAAATAACAACAATAAATCCACAGTGGAGAGAAAGTTAAAATGTAAGTTGTGGTTTAAGCATATGATGTTGATGTGGTGAAGCTAGAGGTGTTGGTGGCTCGTCAATGAGATGGTGACACAAACAATTGTACAATACACAAAAATTAACTGAGCCTCATAGAATTCTTCACCGAGTACGGAGTAGAAATGATATCTTCGATTTGCTTAGGTCACCACTGAAATATGGTGTAATGAAGAATGAAAAATAGCCATAATCATTTTCATAAAGGAAGAAAAAGTGGTTGCTTCAACAACGCGATTAATTATTTTTAAATGCAAAAGAGGAGAAAAACAGAAACAACGCAACTTTTCCTTTTCTCTCACACATTTGTACTTGGCCACGTGCTTGCCTAAAAAAAACCATCTTTTCATGCACCACCAAGCTGATATGGAAAGGGTGCATGCTTTTCTGCTACAGATAAGCGCTGATGTTTGAGGATGGAAAATCAACCAATAAGAATCAAGTATTTCAGCCATTTTGAAACTTCAAGCACCAGTTCATCACGTAGCATATTATTGGTCGCAAAGTGCTATCGCCGTAATCATCCGGTGAGGTGCATAACAAGAATGGATTGATTTTACCCAATCAAGGCGATAAGTGATGAACCGAATGATCCGTAAATATCGAATGATGACTGTTTCCTTATTGCTGATTGTTTCAAAAGATTTGACATGGCCAGCCCAATTTAATGGATAAACATATTATATACATTGGGCAACCATTAGGCAAATGAGATGTAAACATCTGGTAAGTGAGACCTCAAAGAACACTCACCATGCAAGTCGAAAGAAGCCCACCAGCCGCAGGTGTTGTCAGGTTGACCGAGTGGGGCAGAAATGACTACATGAAGGTATTTGGTAGTTGGTGAAAAGGCGATAAGTTATGTGACAATAGATTTTGAAGAGAAACTAACAAATTATCACAAATCTAATATAAAATCAAAAGATGATATAGATTCTGAACAAATGACAGACAGAGAGCTCGAGTTTAATAGATAATTGAAGAAATATCACGTGATTGCACACAAGAACAAGCTGACGCACTAAGCTCGATCAGGTACTTTGTGTTCCTTAGAAGCAACGCAAGCCGCATCTGACATACATACGGTACATACATACACTTTTGTATTCAATAATTGGTAATCAAGATCCAAGATGATCATGTCAAAATTCATCAACAAAAGATACAATTTACCATTACTCTCTTCATGTTTTCTTTGGCAGCCCAGATCAATTGGAGCAAATATCAACTTCCCGCCCCTCCGCTGACATACTAAACCCGTTCAATAGCAACTGACCTGGCGAATTCAGCCTTGTATCACATTGGAGACTTGACACCGGAGATTGAATGAGACTCACGAAATCACGATAGATTTGGAATCAACTGTGGCGACTCTGACCTACAGACTATAATCATGACTGATGAATCTCAAGATGCAACCTTTGCATCATTCTGGCACCGTTCTATAGGTAGGATCTCATCCAAAAAGATTAAATTTATGCCAAATGTCACGAAACCAAAGACTAGTAAGTTAATTGATTCTTCTCTTAGTTCTGATATCTGATATCTTTCTTCTCCCGTGTATAAAGTTATATATCTCATACAAATCCTCCTTTCGTTTTTAACAAGTGCGCTTTCATACATCCATTCTCCTTCTAGGGGGGAACACAGAATTAACTGCTCTATATCTCCTCTCTACCCAACACTAATTCAGGATGATAGCCAAAGATGATTATGGCGAAAGAAAATCAGCGACAGCTCAAAAACAACACAGAAGATCTCAAGTTCGAAGAGCACAAATGTTGATTCTTCTCTTGGCATGATAATTAATACCAATGCTAATTCCTCTCCAGAGAACATCGACAACGGAAACAGGACTATGTCAAGCATCTAGAAGAAGATTTAATACGTCTTCGTGAAATGATTTCTGCAACAGAAAACGAAAGTTTGACCTTGGTGAAAGAAAATGGGGCTATAAAATCGACTTTATCAGCTTCAGGAGTGAAGCAACTTTCGAATGTACGGTCGAAAAATCAAAAATTACCTGGAAACAAACCTACCATTTTTCTACCCCCTCAGGAACATGATTCACTCAGTAATCTTATCATTACTGATTCAACACAAAAGAAGCACACTATAATACCTGTCAACTATAAGACAGAAAATGATAGACTTTCCAGCTATATCAATGATATGCTTATTCCTCAAAACAATATTTCCGTCACAAACTACTCTTCCAACAGCCAAAATGTCCCCTACTCCAGTCCACTTGGCCTACACTTCAGTGTTCAATTCGACGATTTTATAAACGCTTCTTGTCTTCAAGTCAGCGAGTCATCGAATAGTTCTTCCAGTAGACCTGGGGCAATTAATTTGTCCAAACCTCTACCGCCACTTCCTGGTCAGGTTCCTGCACCTCACAACACCACCCGGAAACCATCACTTGACCTGTCGATTGTAGCGATAAACTTCATTCTTGCGTAAGTCACTCTCCTTTAAAAACAGGGTATACGTTGATCCCAATTTACAGCCTCGAACACCCTTGCCGTACCCATTTTCACCATATTTCAAATCCCGCTCCCCTTTTTGACCCCACCGGTAACCCTTCCGGTCACGAACTCATGGCCTCAGCTCAAATCTTCTCTGAAGCACCATCTGAAGCATTTAATGATTCTAGTCCCGAATCATCATGGTTTTCGTCATCTATTTCTTTAGCTCAGTTATATGCCATGTCTCAATCCCTACCTACTTCTGACTTTGAGATTACTCCTGTTCAGGCATGGTTTATGATAGCAGAGAAATATCATAATGAAATTGAAAATGTTGTTGAAGCGAGGAAGATAAATGATATGAAGAAAGGATTGGGTAATCTATCACGATGTTATCAGTTTGGAGCCGTGATGGATGTTGATAGCTTTTGGGAGGTCGTAGATGATATTATGGGGCAGGATGGAAGTTAATGATTTGACTCGATGTAGTTTGGTGTAGCTGTCAAACTTGGATGATGAGTGAACATTTGACTCTTGGGTCCTTTTCAATTCCATATCAGTGGTCCTGTCAATACATCTGTGAGTATGAAGTTCTTGGCAGGAGGTATGTGTTGGTTTTATTGATTTGTCGGGACAGCTAATATGGTTTGAGTGAACCACATTAACTGAGCGAGTATTCAGCTCGTGATGCGACAATTATCGAATCGTTGAATAGATGACGAATGCGATATATTGAATTGAGAAAATCCATCAGTTTACTCATATGCAACACTGACATCTGGAACTCCACCGTCCTCCCATCAAAAAACGCAAACATGACACGTTGAATCCAGACTCAACCAATTTCATTCATGACAACATAAACATAAGTTGCAAGCAGATTTCAAAGGTAATGATGTATGAACTAACCCATTCTTTATTCCGCAAACATCGCCACTCGCCTATTCCTAGCGAAAACGTCCCTTTCATTCATTCTTCGTCCCCATATCATATGTCTCACTTGCACGCATCAATCAATCTACATTCTTCACATCCTCAAAAAGGTTCTAGTCCTCAACTCTTCATTTATCTTATCAGTTAATCTATCTTCTACCCATTCATCCCCAATCACCCATCATTCATCACCCATCACCAATTGAATCTCCTCTCTTCGCAAAAGTAAAACTTCGGTCGTCCTATATTAACAATGGCTACCACACACAACGGCACAGAAGATATCCACGCAAATCATGGCGTAAAACCAAGTATAGGAGCCACTTTACTCCGACTCCTTCAACTCATCATCGCATTAGCAATATTAGGAATGGCTGCTTTTGTCGTCGCAAATGCCGCATACTCAGGTGCTATATTGGCTACTTTCGTCGTATGTCTCTCTTTCCTACTTCTCCTTTCCATTTATTCCCTCCCTTCCCTTTCCCTCCCTTCCCTTTCCCTCCCTTCCCATATTCCCCCGCATCATCCAAACCCACTAACCAGCCCAAAATCAGGCAAGCCTAACAACCCTCGTCCTCCTCTACACACTCCTCTCCTCGCACCGCCTCACAAACATCTTCAATAACTGGGCCATCGCCCTCCTAGATCTCCTTCTTACTATTCTCTGGTTAGCTACTTGGATTACGGCCGCAGTGCAAATTCGTAGATATAGATTCCGTTTTGGGTATTATGGATGCGGATGGTTTTTGTGTAGGAGGGATTTGTTGGAGTGGGAGGTTAGTGACGATGAGGGGGTGGGTTTGGGTTTGAGTGGGAGGGGCTTGCAGAAGAGGGATACGTATTGGAGGACTTGGAGGACAGTTTTTATTGCTGTGGCTGTTTTGGCGGCGGTGGAATTGTGAGTTTTATTTTTTTAGGTTTCTTTTTCTGTTGCCTTTTCCTTCTCCTCTTTTTGAATTTCTCCCTTCCCCTTCCCCTCACTTCCTCACTTTTCCTTTTCTCCCCTTCCTCTCAGTTCTTCATTTTCCTTCCCCTCTTTCCTCTTTCAACCTCCTTCAATCTCCACTCTCCACCCACCCAAAAATTCACAAATCCCCCAATCAAACATCCACTAACACCATCCCCCCTCTCCAGCGTCCTCTTCGTAATAAGTTTCTTCTACACCCTCACCCACATCCTCCATCATCGTGATAGACATCATCACGGAGCTGGCGCTGCAGCTGCAGGTGCAGGTGCAGGTGCAGGTGCAGGGACACAGAAAAATGCTGCGGATATGGAGATGCAGAATCAGGGTCAGGGTCAGGCGGGGTATACTGGTCAAACGGTTGCTGGTCAAACAGGTGCTGGCTACGCGGGTCAAATGGGTGCTGATCAGACGGGGTATGGACAGTCGGGATATGGTACTGGTGCTAATCCAAACACTGCATCTCCGATTACGCATCCGACGACTGGTGCTACGGGTGATATGACGGGTGGTACGACAAATCCCGTCTAAATGTCTACGATCCTATCTACCTACCTAGCTATTTAGCTACTTAAATTCTTAAAAACTTTTCTGGGTAATTAATTACTGAGCTAAGTGGGTATTGTTGGATTTTGAGAATGAAGAGGGATGAAGGATAAAAGGATGTATGGGGATTTATTTTGGAGGATATGTTTGGATATATGGGGATAAATGAATGGGATGGATATACAGGGATATGTGGATACACGATTTTCCGAAATAGGGAGATATAATAGTCGTCGGTATAAGGAGTTGTTTTTTAGGGATGGGATTAATTACTAGTTTTGTGTTATTTTTCAAGTCACTAGGGAGTTTACGTTGTTCATTTTTGTTTTGGAGGGATAAGATATGTTATTTTCTATATGTTATCAGGAGCGTAAGGGATAATTATATTTATATTGTGCCGTAAAATCCAGATCTATATATCGTCATTACATTTTTTGACATAATTAAACGCCGAGTTTGATTTTTTTTATTTGATTTTAACATGCGATATTTTCGTAGGATTAGGATTAGGATATTAAAGGAGTAAGTACATTACTGTAACAGTATATCATACTTGTGATTTATTTTAAATTTTTAAATATTTAATAATACTTTATAATTATTCATTACTTTAAAATTCGAAACCTTGGTGTGAGAAGGAGAAAAAATAAAAGAACTAACAGTAACTTCTTTATAAATAACCATATTAAGATTAATATTATACATATAAATCCCAAGCGAAAAAACTTCATCCTCATTATGAAAATAAAAGTCAAAAATCATTATTCTTCCCCAGTATCCAGTCTCAAACCCTATTGTTCAAAAACCATAGACTCGTAAACTCGTACATCTTCCAACTGGAGTATAAATTATCCAGTTTTCTGTCTTCACATTCCATTCATTCTCCCATTCATTCATTCAAACCCCCCTCCTAATTAAATCAAAATCCCTTCTCACAGAATGAAGAAAAACTTACATAGTACTCGAGAAAAGTTCAAATAACCACACATTCATTGTATAGCGCAGGTAGGTGCGAGTAGCATATCCAGAAAATCACTTGTTCCCATCTCGGGATCTGCTCTGAATGCGTACTCTGGATCGATCCTTAGCGTGGCGGTATTTGAACGATTTAAAAAGAGTTTCCTTGGTTGATGTGGATTCTGAGTCCTGGGTACGAGATTTCTGTACTGATGCGCTGAAGTTAAACTCGGAGTGTGGCTGTAGATGTGTCTATCGACGTGATAATGTGAGGCCGTGGCATGCGCTGTGATGTTGATTCCGAGTCTGCAGTTTGATAGACTTTTGCCAGTGCGAGTGGTACAGTGATTATGATTTGAATCGGGTATGCACAAGGAGGTTTCTGAGGATGAATATGAAGCTGGGAATTGGATTTATGGTGTTCTCGACTTTTTTTTTTTAGTCACAACTCCTCCATGGCGTTAGAGGTAGCAAACCAAAACCGTGTGAGTGTGCTATTTAGAGGATTGGCTATGAGTCTGAATGACATTTTGGTGACTCTCTTGAGGATAATCCCAGTACCAAAGGACTCAGATTCCCGAGGAAGTGCTTAAGGTGAATATACCACATACTCGACCTTCACAGAATGACTAGTCGATGACTATACCAAGACTGAGTATTGACATATATGACCGAAATTAAAAATGAAATGACTCGAAAGGATGGAAGCTCCACGATATCTTTGTTCGCAAAACCATAGAGACAAAACAACACATTTCAAAAACTTCAAATCACAGTACAGAAAGAACTTCTACCTTCGAGATTCCATCCACAAGCCTTACATAAATCATACCACCGAGACAGAAAACTTTCTTAGTCCACGGTATGTCATAACAGCGTTCCTCACCACGCACAAAATCAGCTATACTAACAGCTTCCGAAGCAAAAGAAAAAAAGTTGTACCAACTGCAAAAACTAGAGTCGTCAAAATGAGCACCGTTAATCAACAACCATCCCAAAATGAATCTATGACTACCGCGGCTCAGGAAACAATCACTCAAGAGCCCGTGAATATCAATCCTATGAAGCCTTCTCATAATATCAACACACCACTAAATAGCATGCCTAGGTCCCTACACCAAACATGAGTACAGAGATCAGAGGGCGGGGGAGCAAAGGAGAGGGTACTTTGGAAGCATGTACAGATGTTTGTTGCTGTGTCGCATGTTGCCCTTGCCATGGTCAGCTTGGTGCTGGTAGTGGAAATGATTGTGGTGCTAATTGTGGCGGTTGTGATTGTTAGTTGTCGTTGATGGAAGAAGTTTGTGATGGCTGTAATTATAGCGGTTGCCAGTCATCCATCGTTGATGAAAGGAGTTTGGGATTAGATCTTAACATCTTAGCAGGCTCTTTGATGTATTTTACCAACATAAACTTAATATCATACTCGTTGCTTTTAAATATCAGCCCAATTTGGCCGCTTGCTTATTCTCTGAATTGACAGCAGAACTGTTGTAGTGGCCATAATATGTCTCGGGAAAAAATCATAAAATATGAAGTCCGTTCCCGTCCCCGATCCTATTCCAAACTTTATTCTATTCAAACCATCCATCCATCGCAAGGAAGAGAATTACGAGATTACCTTCTCCGGAATTTCCCCATATTCGGAGATCCCGAATGCATACAAACCCCAGAAGGGCTGAGTTTGAGAAATATCAAGATGACTGACTGCTCGATGCTCATTATTAGGATTTGCGCGATTTAATAAAGGATGGAAATGTCACGTTGTGTAACATCACCACTCCATGATCGAGATGGCAGGAATATATTCTGTAACCTTACAAAAAGGATGAACACAACCTCAAGACTCAAGTGGTAAGATTCGCCAAAATATGAGGTTCCACCATTGGTCCCTGCTAATAACTTGTGGCGTAGTAGATAATGCATGCATGAAGCTTATGAAAGGCACAAAAAAAACAATCTGGATCTTCCAGCCAGCCAGCCATTCAACCAACCAGCCAAACAAATGAAAAACCTGGTAAACACTACTCGGTATCGCCAGCCTCGTTTGCAGGGAATAGAAGATTTTCTTAATATTTTTTTGGTGAAACATGCAAGCAAAAGTTGGCTGATCCGTAGGTTGTGAGACTTACATGTGTGTGATGAACTGTACTTCGTACAGACGAAGCGCGCGGAACATACCACGCAGGTACCAAACAAGTAGGTACATGAGAGTCGAATGGTACTCTAGAGTCTGGATGGGTTGATTTGCGACGAATTGGGATGATTTTGTTGCAGATATACGTGGCTGAATCGGTTATTAGTATTCACCGGTTCTTCATCGACTGATGGTTGGTTAATATTCTTTTCATACGAGCCCACCCGGTTTGGAACCTTGTTCTGCTTTGCCAACAAAATATCTTGAAGCCGTCTCCACAATGCACTTTCACGTCATAGAAACCAATGGATTTTGGCACGGTCCATGAATAGCAACTCTTTGCTTCATCTGAGAGGATTCAAAAAGGCGAGGAAATCCCCCCTCTGATCTTCTTGTTATCCATATTCAAGAACTTGACATACTTTACACTTTCAACCAAAAGACCTCTTACCTTTACCAAAAACCACTTCAAAAAGTCAGTATACTTATATCCAAACTGACTTGATCTCGTTATTAACATACCATCTCTCAATTAGACATCCATCAAAATGCCTTTCGAACAACCAGTCGTCGAGCAACAAATCCAATCCGAAGCTCCAATGAGCTCCGAGAACGTCGGTATCGAGATGCAACAACCTGTAAGCACCCTTTCGAACACCATCTCACCACACAACAGTATACTAATCCCCGCTTCTACAGAAACCAGTTGCAGCCATGGGAACCGAGACCAACCTCCGTGGAGGAGAATCCGCCGGTTGTGAATGCTGTGGTTGCGGATGCGGAGAATCATGCTGTTAAAAACAGTAGCTACCTATCTAGCATGATGAACACGGCGTGAATGGGAAACTTAAATGATGGACGGAAGGATGGACGGCTAGCGATGGATGGGATTTGATTCGAACTCTGCAATATCGAGATTCGAATGAATATTTGGATGGATGGGTTTATGATTATATTATGACAATTGCGATACATACTGGGGAGAATAATTAATTTCTCAATTCAATACCAAAAAATACAACCAAAAAATACAATACAACACAATGCAATGCAATTCTTTTCTTTGAATATTTGAATGAATGAACTCATGGCTTCATGGTTCCATATTCTAATCGATATCATCGCACTGTGGACTAACAACCGCCAAGTCAAGTTTCATCTCCACGTTTCCTTATCTTGGCTCTGAGATAGATAGATGGATGGCTTGAGTTCCTTGAATTCAAGCTTTTCCATTATTCAAGCTTTTTCGCTTTCCGGGGTTGCCGTGGTGATGCTGTGATAAGACATGGGTATGGGTATAGTAATATATTTACTAGTCTTTTAATTGGTCCGCATGAGTACTTGTGAATGGTATGGATTAGATTGGATTGCAAGCTTTACGAGCTGAGATAATTATCAGGTAGGTAGTACGTAGGTAATTAGCGCAAATTTTTAAAGATGGATGGAAGATGGTCTGATCCTGGAGTACTCAGTTCAGTGAGTAAGGTTAGAGAACAGGAAAATAGAATGGTAAACAGGCTATTTATTATTTATCTTTCATCTTTCATCTTTCATCATTATACATCATCATTATACATTACACAGCTCGATTTCCTTAAAGACTTTTGCATCATCGTCCTGTACGGAGTATTTACTGGAAACACGGCATTTATGACTTCATCATCAATCCTTCTAATTTCAGAATCATATGTCTAGTATGAGTAGATGAATATCAATCAATACTCAGCACTAAATATCCATACTGATTTATCACCATGATTAAGACTCGGTAACCTTCATTCAGGATCCTCCCACCCGCTAAAGACGTCAAGTCAAGCTTTCGACAAGCCTCTAATGTGTATCGCCAATTCCTTGGCAGATAGACACTATCAATAGTGTCAATTATCTACTCGAGTATTATACTATTGACAATAATGTTTCTTAGAATCTTATCGTCACATTTGCTCATACTCATTGTTAGATTGATACTTGCTGCGCTGTTGCATTCTTGTTGTATTGCACTTGAGTTTTGTTAGATACCTAGGTATCTAAGCATAGGCGGACAGGGAGGAAGGTATCTTCGGGAGCCGAGTAATAGTAGGGATTGTAGATGCTGAATTAGGTATTCGACATGGTAATATGATTGATTTCGCATATTCCAAACAACAGTAAGTAAGTACCTAGGTACTGTAAGACTTTCGGAGAAAGATCTCTTTTCTTCTCTTCTCTTTTCCTTCTCTCTATACTATGTGAATCAGGTGAATCAGTACTTTAATTTTCCAATCGTAAAATCAACTCAAGCACTTGAAATAACTTATTTTGCACAAGCGAACTCTGTACTCCGTACCCCGTATAATCTCAATCTCAAAAGACTCCTACTCTTATTATGAACTTTATCATTAGCATGCCAAATACCCAAGCGGACGAATATCATCCCGATTCTGCCTGATGTTTTGGTACGGTACCGTCCGCAACTTTGTTTATTATACTCCGGACGGAGTAAGGTTATATAACTCTTTAAGTAGGGTCCATCAATCTTTACTAGGTAGGTAGATAGTAATACTAATACGGCAGTCAATAAATCTTCAGGAAAGGTCTAATATCCATCCACTTGAATTGCACCAGTTACTTGGAGTACGAATCTCGCGAGATGATACGATAACCTTATTCATATCTTCGACTTCCTAACATGATTTGCAAATGTACTTATTCTTCGACTTCACAACCCGATAGAATATAATCTTTTATATTCCTAAACCACTTTTAGATTATATATAGCCCTACTTACGGGTATTCAAAACTTTACCAGCGAGACAAATATAAATCTTAACATCAATCAATCTCCAGACTCGAATCTAGATCTAGGTCTCTTTCGACTTCAGGATCTGGAATCAGCTCAAAGGTTGAATTGGATAACATTAACGTTCCGGGCCTGGTATACTAAAGGGTTGCGTACTGGAGGACTCTGTGTATTTATACTACAGAGAACCAGCTCTCTCAGTAGGTACTGAAAGGAAATGGCGTTCTACCTTTCATTAGTACTTGGGTTTTTTCCGTCTTGATGCTTTTGATTACCCAGCTTATACAGAGATATAAGCTTTGACGTCCAAGGTGCTTATATGTATATGGAAGAGTACATAGATATAATCCTTTAGACGGTGCAGCGGAACGATGTCGATGAGACGAAAGTGAGAACTAAGAATATCTATTATTCGGAAGTTGGAAAGTGGTTCTTTCCATTCTATCCAGATTATCTATCCTTCTTCAGTACTACCCTCTTGCAACTAAATGGTGCGGGATCTTACCAGAAAATCCGTGAAGCTTATAAGTAGTCCTACGGATAGCAGACGGAATAAATGATAGTTTATTAGTCGGATCAGAATATTCTGGCTTCTCTATTTTTCCTCGTGTTTTTATACTTATTTTTTGTTGTAATTGGTATTTATGTTTGATATTTAAGATGCAGAAGGTGCATCGACGCTAGGAGATATTGATGACAGCAAAGTACTAGCTATAGGCACTACTGGACTATCTAACTTTGTTTCATTGTCTCCAGCGAGCTTATAATGATATTTGAAGTTAAAGTCTTGACTCCTCCCCTTGCTGGCCTTAAGGCAGGCAGTACTCTCTCTTGATAGAAAAAATGGACTGCACGACAGAGAGAATTCCGAAGGGTGGATTGTCTATGAATGCTAACGTTAATAACCAACCATGTGTATCTCAAGATATAATTATAACTGATAGCGGTAATCGCATCGCGGCAGCGAATTTCGTCACGTCGTCACAAATCTCTCAAAATCATACTATTATCCATCGAACTATAGATTTTGATGTTGTTGAACACTGCGAGGAAGGTATGCAGCAGAGCACTCCAAATTTCAAGGAAATCCTATTGATCAATAGATGCAAACTCATAGATTCGTAGTTGAGTATATATATATATATATGCCGATATGTGGCTGGAGCAAGGTACTATCATATCAATTGCAATAATTATTTCGAGCTTAGGAAATGAAATGAAATTACATAAAATGCGACATTCTTCGTCGTTTAGAGCAAGCGAAGGATGGTGATTTTATAAAAATTCGAGTTCAACCGTTGAAATTTCTAGTAGATGAACCATCGCTTTCTAATTGACGCTAAAGGACATCTTGAGCCGCTCTTACCATGAGACTACGAACTGAATATGTTAAAGGTCACGATGAGTTGGGAAGGTGAACGAGAAAATCAGCAAAGTCCTATGTATTAAGATGATGTGATACAAAGCACGCAAGTCGAATATAACCACAAATTTTCTCGATGGCTAGCTACCTCAAAAGCTCCAAATATATTGGTGCGCATTAGCTCTTGATAATTGATCAGGGCATCCAAGAATCTAATCTCACTGACCCGTCAGTATTTCAAGCTAGTTGGTATAAGTGGAACGATCTATATTGAATCTCCGATCGTGAGATCAGCGTATATGGGATTCAGAAACATATCTTGTGCCTACTTGTTTGCCTTTGAGGTGAACAAAGCGTGCATAAACCATTTCCGAGAATGTTTCCGGAGTGGTAAATATTTAAAGCGTCTGTTTGCTGACTACCTAGTCTCTGGAAAATGGTGACGAATCAACATATATAATCAGAATACTGGACGTTTCCAACTTTCGAATTGTATTTATCATATACAATAGCGGCCTAGAAACCTAGCAGTGTCAAATCAAGACTAAGACCATATTTAAGATGAACTCTTTTGGAAGAAAAATACAAGAGAATATCAAAGAAAAAAGACAAACCCAACAAAATCTCCCCCCCAACACAGCAATTTCCATTCCATTCCATTCCATTCCATTCCATTCCAGTATCTAGAATACTTCAATAAACTCATTCTACCCACAGAAAATGTGCCAGTTGCAATATATAATTGCACCATTCAATTCAGCGACTCCCAGATGGCACGCAATGGACTCTAAAAACTAGTTCAGATAAACCGTTGGAGATTCTCAGACGAACTTGGTGATTGTAGTAAGATTACCTCTACAAATGCCCAGGAGAATTGGTCTGGCGCTCTTCAGAGCCCGAGTTCCTGATTATTGATTTGTGAAGATTATTGAAATCTACGGGTGATATGACGGGATGGATATATTCGTATAATTCATGATAAGGTAAGTCTTGCTTTGGAAGGACTAGTGAACATCAAGATGAAGACCAAGATCACCTCTTGAGGCATGTATGATTGATTACTACATCAATCTTCCTGCAACTCAAAAACTAAGCCCGCACCAATCCTATTCCATAGATGAATATCACCACGTAAAAGCACAACGAAACATTACAGTAGAGTAATTTATTTAAATTTGTTTCATTTTATATTTCATATTATATCGCATAGCATAGCAGCAGCCTGAACCATCAAAGCCAGCCGCATACCAAAGTCCCTTTCCATTCCCATCCATCCCATTAATACTACTACTACAGCCAATCTCACACCTATGCCTTATTGGCACCAGCAGTACCACTAGACTTCGCTCTCTCACCATAAGCCTTAGTAGCATAGTCACCACCGATAACAATCAAATCCTCAGGTCGGTAATCATGTTTACCGGACAAGTAGCTCTGGAGAATAGCCTTGGTACCATCGGCATATCTCTTTTGAGCATCCAAGGAAGTACCCGACATGTGGGGAACCATGGCGTTTCCACCACCGAATGGGTTCTTTGCGTAGCGGAGTGGGTGGTCTTTTGGTGCTGGTTGTGGGAACCAGACGTCTCCTCCATAACCGCGGAGGTGGCCAGATTTGAGGGCATCAGCAACATCTTCCTTGACGACGATAGCTCCACGGGCGGTGTTGACCAACCAGGATCCTAAGGGAAATGTTAATTATTTGTTCATATAAGTAGAATGAGAAGTAGGACAACATACCCTTCTTCATCTTGGAGATCAACTCCTTGTTGAAAAGACCTCTGGTCTTCTCGTGGAGAGGGCAGTTTATAGTAACAACATCACACTGAGCCAACATCTCCTCCAAATCAGTAACACGTCTACATCCAATCTCCTTCTCAATCTCTGGCTTAAGAGGTTGGTAGTCGAAGTACAACAACTCCTTGCAGTCGAAAGGCTTCAATCTTCTCAAGACACGCTCACCGATTCTTCCAACAGCAACGGTACCAACGACCTTACCCTCAAGGTCGAACTCGTTCTTGGCAGCGGCGGCAACATCCCATTCTCCAGCTTGGATTTGTTCGTGTGCGGGGACAAAGTTGCGGACGAGAACCAAGATGGTCATGACGACGTGCTCGGCAACCGATACGACGTTGGATCCTGTTACTTCAGCAACGGTGATACCACCGTTGGTCTTGTTGGCAGCATTGAGATCGACGTGATCCGATCCAATACCGGCTGTGATGGCAATCTTGAGGTTCTTGGCCTTGGCAAGACGTTCAGCAGTGAGGTAACCCGGGTGGAAACTGAGGAATCATTGTCAGCTTCTGCGAATCTGTATAGGGAATTATGAGTAGCATACGGAGTAGTAATGATAATCTCTGCATCTACCAAGTGCTTGTCGAACTCGGAATTTTCTCCCTCCTTGTCGGAGGTGGTGATGAGCTCATGTCCTTGATCCTCGAGCCATTTGCGGATACCGAGCTCGTTTTCAGTTGTGCCAAGAAGCTCTGGGACCTGATTGTAACTTTGTTAGTCAATTGTTCTTGATACAGATGCTCAATGCAGTGTAGTTGATAAAACTACCCCGCCATTGAGCTGAGGGGTAAATTAAATAAAACATACCTCTTCTGCGTGCTTCTTTCCGTCGTACAAGACAAGGAGTACCTTAACCTTTTCACGTTTATCACCCGTTAGCATTCTGATTATTTTAAAAGTATGATTGAGCTTCTGCGAGCGAAAAGCAGATCGCGTCGTCAAAGTGGGTGTTGGTCTCGCAAAAGCAGAAGCTGTGAAGATTGAACGGGCACAAGGAGACGGTCTTGATGCCAAACGAATGAGGGAACGAGTGAGCAGTACCATTTTGAATTATTGTTTAACTGGTCTGTAGTTTGAAATGTGTTTTTATTGATTGTAGAGTGAAGAGACAAAGAGTATTTATCTGTTTCGTAGATGTTGTGTTAGATGCTGTATTTGGAAGGTGCGGGGTTCGGAATTGATTAACCTATGTTGGCGAGTGTCATCAGCAACATGTACATCAAGCATGTAACATAATGAAACAGGGGGCAGTAAGTACTAGAATAGTTCCATGGATTCAATACCTATCGATCTTTCGATCATATGAGGTTGTCCAAGTACCTAACATTGTGCTTTGGAGAGTCAGAAGCTTACCTTTACTGTGGATGTCTGATGGAAGAAGATGAGGATGATGAGTATGTATGCAGACAAAAAGCTTGGGAACAGCTCTTCAATATATAATATTCACTACGCCTCATGCTCAAGGATTTTAGTATTTCCACCATTTCCCCTCTTTTTCCCAACAATATTAGGTCAAACTGTCCACAAATGAAAAGTGGTCGACTCGGAGGGCTTCATCACATCTCCACTTAGACACAACAACAACCAACGAGGTAACTGGTAGGAAGCCCATGAGATTCGGAAAAGACGAAGGAATCGGATCTGCCTTGTTTGGCTATGATGATTCTGGTCCACGTCTCCGAGCTGTGATGCTTTGATATGGAATCGGTATTCGGGTTGTTAACACAAGGTGTTTTCTCGTGGAGTGATAATTGACGGTGTTAGAATATAATATTGCAGGTGCAATTTTAGTGGAGATACATATAGCTTCACTAGGACGATAGTGATAAATCGACCACTCTCGTCAATAGGTACAGTCTGATGGGAGCTATGATGTAGAGCTCCTCGTAAGCCCAGTGACAAAAAGATCCACCTAGAACTCATCCCACTGGCAACTCTGTACGGAGTTTTCAGATGAACCTCAAAAGACTGGTATCCCAACCAATTCTCACCCACCTCTACAACCTCTTGTAACACATATGCAAAGCTTCCTGTGATACTCCTGATGACCGTATCGTGACCAATGTAAGCTGTCCCATACACTCAAGCAGCAAGCTATCATTTCCCACCAAATATCCCTTGCTGCAGGATTGCGGGGTAACATTTTGTGTTACACCATCTTTCATCCAATAGCGCGCCGGACATCTCTCGGTATCCCGCTAGCAAGCACTCGGTATCTAACCGAGTGCATCGCTTCTACTCTCCGAGCTTCCCCTTCGTTCTAAACACGTAGCGAAATTCGGCATCTCAACATGAGTGCATCATACCAACATCGAAAAATCTCCGTGCAACATGCAGCATCCTCCAAATATGGCTTTACCGTCCTTCAAACCCGCTTTCAATCAATACACCTTAAGCTTTCCGCGGGGTACAGGTCCTGAATAGATGTGCATCCGTACCTAGTCCTAGTTCGGTAGAATAACACCAGTAAACGTGCGATGGCTAAGTCGTGCGGCCATAAAGTATAAAACCCCGAACGCTAAAGCAGTGTTAAGAAAGAAAGGGAGACTTTGAAAATGGGATAGCTTGACCAATGAGAACAATTATCCCCTAGCGTCAGAGTTTTATACTTTCTGGCCGCACGAGAGATCCAGTATGCTTTCTGGAAATGGTCGAGATCGATGGTATGCGTGAGGCCAGAGTATGGCGCGGCTTGAGCAATGGATCCGCGGCCGTTCGTCCCACTATCGTTGACGTGTTATCTCAAGGGGTCAATGAAATATGATCCTAACTGTCAATCTTTCATTCAATACATCTACTTTACGGATATTCCGATGGATTGGCATCAATTCCTGACTTTCCCGCCTTTCATACTCCCTACAGGATAACTATCTGGTCTCACATCTTAATCTGGAGGCAAATGCTTTTCATACTTCATAGAATCAAGTGGATTTAAAAGCAAAATCAGGAGAACGTATGTGCAAAGGCAACGTGGTTAAGTATTATCTATCTGTCTCTAGGGAGTCTACCTATGTCTTTAGGCAGTGCGACCAGCGCATCTATGACTACCTATGCTTTACCTAAAAAGCATCCTCGGCCGTGCGTCCAGCGCATCAAACCTCTCGATATCTAATTACATCCCATTGAGACGTCCAGCGCGTCTAATATCTAACACCTGTCACTTCCTACTCTACACTCGATTTCGAATCGTCGGGTTTAGTGTTCCTCAGTTTAACGCTTTTTGCGTGGTGGCTTACCAGATTGGTGACTTGAGGAACCAAGGGTGCGACGAGAGTGGTCCGAGCGGTGCGTACTCGAATCTGTATCACGTTTACTACCACTCGATTCTGAAGCCTTGTCCTTTTTGTCCTTCGACGGCCCCTCGATGTACCAGTGTGTGTTTTCTGGGTTCCGATCTTCTTTATATAAAAAACTCTCAATGAGCCATTCCCAGCGGAATCGCTTATCGGCCAAAGCGTCACGGTTTCGGAATCCATAATGATTCACAATGTACTCTGGTACATTGCGAAGAACTTTCTTTGGAGAAAGATCATCGGAATATGCCCAGTCCAGTACCCAGTCAAATGCTTTTACATGATTGGGATTCCCTCTGTCGGCGAGGATAGAGAGCAAGTCTGACACTTGCTGATAAGTGAAGCCGTTCTCTGGCCTTCTTTGGCTTTTTCCTTCGAATCCTGGTGGTCTCCCGGCCATGTTGAGTATTCCACTATGTCATTCAGACTGTTGGCAGTCTTGCGATGTTTTGTTTCTCTGCTGGACTCCGTGGATCCTAGTCTCTTAACCGTTTCCCGATGAACCGTAGTGATGTATGCTAGTCGATAGAAATCCACATGATCAAACAGGAGACAGACTTGTTCCTCCTTTTCATTCCTCCAGACACCTTCCCACAAGTCAGCCACACAACCTTCATTGTAATTCTTCCTCGTGAAGGTGGGGGAGTAACCCGAGTGCCAAGGTGAATTGGGCCAGATTCCGTAAGGTCCTTCTCCATCCTTATATGGAATTGCGTTTGTCCCTGGTATTTCAGTCTGTAGCTCTTCCATTCCGACCGGTGTCCCTACGGTTACCGGGCCAATAGAATCCTGACGATCAAGTTGGTAATAGCCTTGGTGTTGCCCATGAGCCTGATCGTCTACAAAACTACGAGCTGCAGATTGAGCTGCAGCATAATTAATAGCATCGACACCGTAAGCATGAGCTTGAACTTCGCGAGAATCTATGATTGATGTTGCACGAAGATCGCTTGAATCCAGGGTATGTATACCCGAAGAATACTCCGGCAAATCTGTGTTCCCCGCGGCATAAACCGGTTGAGTTTGGAGAATATTTGCGGCATAGGAAGGATGTTCTCCGGGTTTTTCCGTATTTATTACTGATGGACGATTGCTTTGTGGCCCAACAGACTGAGACTGCACTGATGTGCTATATGAACAATAACTTCCTGAAACAACAGACGGCACAGGATTGTTTGGGCTCGAGGATCTTGGATAATGGCGCCTTGCCTGATCTATCTGTTCTGTTGTCTATCCGCTCTGTATAAGTTGGTCGCGCGTATAATGTGCTGAAGTCTCATTCATAGTTCTTAAAAGCAAGCCTAGGCACGGAAAATAGTCTTCTGTGCTGAATCTGACCGACGATGATGTCAGTCGTCGAGGTTGATAGATGAGCACTATCTTTGATAACCGATCCAGCGGCCCGATAGCAGAAACTTATTCGATACTTTAGCGCTGAGGTACTCCTAGATACGTTTTTGGACAGCAGGGTAGTGTGGCGCCGATGAGTGGACTTAGGAAATCCTGATATGGAAGGATAATGATGGTATTTTTTCAAGTTGCAGGCTCTTACTGTGCTCTGATGTATCGTGAGGGTATGTATGTTTTGTTGTTTCCAAAGTCGAACCAAGAGGGGTAAAGTGGCTCTACTTATCCCCTCCTGGGAGTCCCAAGAATGACTGTAAATAAGCTCCAAGCAAGGGTATTTTGACTCCAAAAATACATTTTAGAGTATGAATATGTTTAACATGCGGTACTTGAGTCAGGAGAATAAGGAGATGACTAGAAGATAAAGACATACGTGCTCGAGACGATTGTATTCTGACTTCAAAACATTCATTTAGGTCTATTAATAGGCTCTGAATATGACTCTGAATACGTAAATATAACTGAATCGACAGATCTGAGAGTAGTGAAAAAGTTACACTAATTCGAGACGAATGTAGTCTGATTTTAAATATTCATTTAAATCTATTAATATGCTCCTCCGAGTGGCCAGTTTCTATTAATATTATACAGAAATGACGGGAAGAATACCAAAAATATGGTCATATGAATATGACTCTAGATGAAATAAACTGTAAATCGACAGATCTGGGAGTAGTGGATGGATATAAATCCGGATGAGTGTGACTATTAACAGATATGGCTATGAATTAATATGAATGTATATAATGAAGATGACTGAGAATATGAGTCTAAATGTACATAGACATGAGTGATCACCATTCCGCGATGACCAAAAATCATCATTACTGCTTAGTTTCCAAGGAAGAAATGACTCCATATAGATAGATACACAATACATGAATAGGGATATCCTCAAAATAATAACTGAAGAGACTAATCAGTTAATTACTCATTTCTAAGATATTTTAACTTCATTTAAACAAACCTGACTGGTAAGGTAACATCATCTAAATTGCCGAAAAAAAGTCATTATTAATAAGGATGAGACTCGTTGAAAATATATCTCAGTGGAAAAAGTGCCAGAAATTATCTACTGAACGGAGGCATTTTTGGCCCGATCAAGTCAGATTATACTATAGAAAACATCATCAAAATAATCGAAAGGGGTTAATCGCTTACCGAGTCATAAGGTAATTTGACTCAATGAGGATGGATATGTGTGGAAATATCTGCAAGATGGCTGGATTCAGCCAAACTGTGAGTCTGTGACTTATTCACCCTTCATGGAGAACATACATTGGAAAAATATATTGAGATGAATGGATTTTTTGTTCGGTATATGTGATGTTGTTATTTCATGTGAAGAAACGTAAGTCCTAGGATCACGTGGTCGATGCATGGCTTTGAAAGTTAGTTTCGACAATTGAAATTGCTAAAGGCGGGAAGGGGAAAGGGGGAGAGTGTTATGTATTTCACACATTTCATATTTTATGTACAGCCACGATGTCTAATAAACTATTTACCATCAAGTGCTTAGAATGAGGAAATAAATAGTTAGATTGATAGATAGATGTTTCAGATACATTGAATCCTAAAGTGCTCATACATGCATGATTGACTGGATGGATGAATGAATGAGAAAGAAAAATAATTCTTGTTTTGCTATCAGACAGATAGACAGGTAAATATTAAACTCTAGTGTCTAATATCTAGATAATCTAGGTAATCACACATTGAAGTTAGGTTACGCTTCAGTTTAAGCTTACTAGGTAACCTTTAGCTAATTCGCATTTAAGCAGCCCTCCTCTCCTCCCAAACATCTTCCCTCCCAAGTTCCCCCACTGCCATACCTAAGCACCACCCTTTCTATTTCTCCTCATCATCCTCTTTTTCTGGATAATTTGTGCTTTTCTCCTCTTTTTTCCATCATCGTCATTTCCTTCAGTTGCATTTGCACCATTTGTCGATGAATTTCTTGGTCTCTTACTATCTTTTTGTGAGGGTAGGTCGTCATCGGCTTTGCGCTTATTGGTGCTCCTGTGTTATGTATTAGTATGAGGTATGATGTGGAATTGTGGTTTGGAGGTGCGTATTAAGGGTAAAGTGGAAGATGAAAAGGGGTAAATGGATGAATATACTTAAGAGCGACTCTATCGAAACTTTTCTCTTTTCCAAACCTCTTCCCATTTTTCCCAGCACCTTTAATACCTTTTCCACCTTTCCTCATTGATTTCATATCTTGATCTCTACCAGCCAATTTTTTTGAACTAACGATTTCACCCTTGGCAATTTTATCTGAAACTTCTTTGGAACGATTACGAGCTTTTTCTTCCTGTTCTTTTCGTCTCGAGACGACTTGTGCATTTTCGATAGCGAACTCAACGATCATTCTTTGTGTTTTTCCTTGAGAGTTTTTGAGTGCGTGGCCGTTTAACCACCGAAGACCCATGAGTGCCCATCTGTGACTTGAGTATTCGACGAAACCGTATCCTCTTGATTTTCCCGCTCCGCTCTCCTCACTAACTTTCTTGCCTTCTCTACCTTCGAATACAACTTTAGCTTGTCGGACGATACCCTTTCCTTTGGCTTTTCTTTGCTTTTCGGCTTCGCGCATCTCCTCGCCTCCTCGTGCTAATTCCTCTTTTGAAAGTTGTTGGCGTTTTCCTTCTTTCACATCTGTGGCAAATCCAACGGCAGCTTCACGGGCTAAAGCTTTGAGTGCTTTTGAATCGATGTTGCGGGGTATATTACGAATGGCCAGACGGGTGAGACTTAGATGCAGAGTGGGATTGCCTTGGATAAGTTTCTTTCTTTGCATGGCGCTATCTTCGCGCATTTTAACCTCAGAAGGCGGAAGTAAATCGTAGAGAGGTGTGCCCTTAGCCACGGTACCCTCTTGAAGAAGGTACAGCTTTCGTTTATCTTTGTCGCGGTTATCACGGAAATGTGATCCTTCCTCGGTAAGCTTCACTGCTTGGTCCTTCTCAACGGCCTTGGATATCTGAAGAAGTCGTCCATCGATGGTGTAAGCACCTGTTGAATCTGCGTTTTCCGGTTCCAAGAGGGAGTGCTTGATTTGTGGAGTATCGCCCTTCTTGATTGCGTTGGCGCCTGTGGGTTGATACTTGGGGCAGTTTCGGAAACAAGAATCGGCATCTTCGACATTGTAAAAACAAACAAAGCCAGTACCCTTAGGACGATCAGTTGCCTTATCCATGACCACTCGAGCATATCTAACAGGGCCAAATTGTTCAAAATGTTCCTTCAAGGTTGCATCAAGAGTTGTAAAGGGGAGGTTGCGAATAAAGAGTGTCGAGGAATTATCGGTGATGAAATTCTTCTTGGGCTTCTCCTCCTCCTCTTCATCGTCATCCATATCTTCGAAATCATCCACGTCCTCATTATCATCGTCTTCATCGTCTTCATCTTCAATGTCGTCCTCATTATCTTCAACTGCCTCAGGATCACTCTCATCCTCCGATTCTAATTGATCTCCAAAGTTCTTCATAAAATTGGCAACATCATCGTCCACATCTTCATCGTCATCGTCCGCCTTGTTGTTTGGTTCTTCGGGCTCGTCCTCGCGACTTTCCGCATCACTCATATCCGCATCCTCAGTCTTTTTCTTTTCCCAGACATCCTTCTCAACAGCCCAATCTACAGCTAATTGTCTGCCATCAATCTCACGTCCGTTGACTGCAGCCAATGCCTTTTCCGCATTTTTCTTGCCTCGCATAACAATAAATCCAAACCCGGCCTCCTTCCCCTTGACTTTAGGCAATGTAGCATATTTAACTTTTCCAAAACCCATGAACAGTTTAGCCAATTCATCAGGAGTTTTGACACTCCATGGCAGATTTCGAATGATAAGTTTAGGAGGTGCTTTTGATTCGGCCAATTTCTCCTGTCGAGCTTTTTTAACGACAGCAGCTTCAGTAGCAATTGCACTCTTCCTTTTCACTGGCAATCCCTCCTCTCCACTTTTCGCGATCGTTTCTCTGGAACGTGGCTGAGCTATCTCAATTTTCATTTTGCGACCTTGAAATGATTGACCATTGAATTCGTCCAGAGCCCTCTGAGCATCTTCCGCATCTGCAAAGGTAACGAATCCATATCCTTTTGATTGCTTCGTGACCGGATCGAGTACAACTGTAGCGTGCTTTAAGGGATAATTGTCGGAAAACAATTCAGTCAATGCTGATGTTGTAGCTGTCGCAGGTAAAGAACGAACAAACAATGAACGGCGGGCAGATGCATTTGTTTCTTTTCTGAGTTTTTTCGAGGTATGCCCTTGAGTTTCTTCAGATACTGCCTCGATGACAGAATCTTCATTGAATGGTCTTTTTCTTCCTTCAGACATGATTGTATTGTTCAATATTCCAATGTTTGTTGTTTCTGTTTCTTTCTTAACTCAAATATCAAGAATTAATACATCCACAGGGAATTTTCTCCATATCAAAAAAATATTTCCTATCAGTATCAGACCCAGCGATCTCCGTATACGCTAGTCTATATATAGACTAGTGCACATGTGCTTGGTCAATTGAACTAATAAAGTTGCGGCTTACTGGAACAACACAAAATTAATCTTGGCTACGAAGTAAAAGAATCTGGAATCATACGGAAGTGTTTGTTAGTGTTAATACTGACTCCAACGAAAGTTAAATTCTGCTGTGCGATATTTATATTATGATTCTGGAGATATTATTAAATAATGTTATATTATGTGATGTCCATTCAACCTTCAGAGCTGCCCAAATAAACATAAAACCAGAAGAGCAGAAAAGAAAATGATTCAAATGAAAAGGATGACCTCGGCCTAGTTTACACGTGACTGGGCGCTAAATCTTCACATCGGCCAATTCCATTTGACAAAGCGGCGCCTCCCAATCTCATTGACCTCACATTAACATTCTGCTCGACTAAGCAGAAACACAACACCATCAACGACATAACGAATAGAGCGTTGATACACACAAAACGATATCGCATTAACAATAATATTCAAACGACCTACATGAAATAAGAGCACAGGTCGATTTAGCGCTGCCGTCGGCGGTGTAGGTGCATTTCTGCGACAATCGTTTCTCGATCCACCTTCTCCTTCGTTCCCTCCTACCTTCCTACCTTTCTCCGAACCTCGAGAATACGATTGAAAATAACCTCTTTCATCCTCGACACTCGCTCAATACACTGTACAATACACCTCGCCTTTTTCATTTTTTAATAAACTCGAAGCGCATTTTGATACCTGTACACATACCCGTCTGTACACAATCCTTTCAATAACATTTTCAGCACGGCCGAAACCACAACAATCAAGTTTTCTACAAACCGTAATCACCCTCCGTCTCCCTCACAACGTTGAGTACTTCAAAACTCGCCTTCATGATCGAGATGCCTTCTGATCTTCCACAAACACCACAAAGTCCTTCCAATACTCCAGGCTCCACCGATATATCCTCGAAAAATACAGTTTCTCCACGGATAAATACGTCGCTTCCAACACCCGCTCACAGCATTAACGGCAGCATGTCAACTATTCATTCTGCCATTGAGGCATCCCAATCAGAAGATCTCACGAACAAGCGCAAGAGAGATGTTGAAGATCTTGGCGATCGAGACCAGAAGAAAGTTCATGTCGAGGACAGCAGACCTAGTATTGACGATCTCCATCAGGATGTCGGTAAAAAATACCTTCTCTGCAGAACTCGTAAGGATTCCTTCTTTCTAGTTGATCTAACCTTTTGGTGGCTACAATCTTAAGCACATAACTTGAATCATGCCTTGTCCACCATGTATATGAAACATTTTGTTAACATGAAATGATGTACAGTTCATAAGCCTCAGCACTTGAATATCAAACAAGATTTATACGGTCGGTTTGGTCTGCAGGAAATTGCTGCCAGTCTTGCTCGAGTCACTCCAGATGGGAAGAAGAACACGGTTCGAAAAACTTACAAAGGATACATAAAATCCTTGGGTATCGCTGGACAGTTTGATGCAGTGAAGGGCCCAGAGCCAGATCAACCCGGATCACTCTATTCTTTGATCAATCCCGCGGGGCCCACCTCGATCAGGGAAGCATGGGATCAAATTGAAGTACAAGGAAGAGAAATTGATAAAGGCATCCCGGACGAGTTACGATCGAATCTCAGCAAAGCTGTAATCATGACTAGAGGTACCATTCCAAAAGACCGATGGAATCATTCTGTTATTGGAGAAATGGGTAATCAAATTGTCAACGATCCTTTGAAAGCTGTTCCCGCGAAGGCAAAGGCTCCGATTTCGCAGGGCACTATGAGTGTTCCAAAGCAGAACAGAGGAACGGCAGATATCGCACGTCCAAAGAGAGCTGTTAAGAAGCGATCGTATGGTGATGCCAGTTACGAAGGTTATGGCGAAGGTTACATCGATGACGAAGCTGGATATTCCACTGGCGATGGTGATGACAGAGCCGGTGGTCGAAAGCGACCTAAGAAGGTGGGTAGTGTGCTATATCCATCAAACGTGCAAGCTAACAAGGGAAAGACTCCAACATCTCACGGTTTTCAAGGACCGATGCGTCAAAGTTACGGACCTGGAATGGTTGGTGCTTGAACTTGAGAGAAAAACGTCTTCGCCCCTTCAAATTTGTTGGCCCAACAAAGAAAAAGCCCCGCGTGTTTTTTGGCTAGTTGATTCGTTGCTTATGGATTTACACGCTGTTTATACCAGCATTACATGTCATTCCCGATAAGAGGTTGAATGATCTAGCTGCTCTTGAGAATGAGCACCCAGAGCACGATGTTGTTTTAAAAATATGGCATACAGAACAAGCCAGAACTTTCCCGTGTATGTATGATAGATAAAGGCGGTGCTTCCCCTATGAAAAGGCTGCATTTAATGATAGCACGCTTTCTGGGACATTTTGCCTCGAAAGGTTTCTGATGACTCCTGGGAAAAACTGATAATAGCAATGCATGGTATGGATAGTATTGGGCATCACGTCTTTACGGACCCAGGGATCAAAATAATGAAAAAATGATCAAATTTCATGTTCTGTTTGAGTGAGTGATTGATTGGTGGTGGTATTTCTAGTATAAAACCGGATGTTTTTAAATGAGGTTTGCTTGCTTGCTTGCTTGTTTTATCTACTTTGCCTACTGGGGGCTTTTGTTTGAGCAACTGTGATAATAGAAAGGAATTTATCCTATTAAAATTTCACGATCTGTCAATGAATACTATGCGGTTAGATTTTGGACGAATAAATACAAAATTCTGTATTCCATTAGGTATTCCCTATCTATTTTCCCAATAGAATAATTTATGACTTCATCCATGTTGATCTGTTGCTGCGCTTGCTAGGGTCCTTGAATACCTAGCGGTGATAATTATACGCTAGTTACCGAGAACACATTTCTGAAGCTGTGACATAAATTCGTCATAACACGATCCGACCACCTTTACTTCGTACATATTACATTTAATTCTTCACATTCTCTCAATTCTTTCAATTCTTTCAATTGATTGACCATCATGGGATTCTACAAGTACTCTGCTCTTGCTCTTCTTGCTCTTCGTGCTGTCAGTGTTTTCGCTGCGCCAGAAAGTGTAAGTTTGAAAGTTTCTCATAGTTGTTGACAGCTGTCAAAAGCTACCTAAGCTATTCGAAGCTCAAGAGTACTAATTTAAATCCTTCAACAGACTGAAGATCAACGTCAAGAAGCTGCTGCAGAAGGCTTCGAAACTCCTCCAACCAATCTTGCCGTCTCCGTTACTGCTTCATTCCCTCAATCCGAAATCTTCGGTGTTAAACTCGTCAATGGCCATGCTTCGCAAGCTATCATTTCCATCAAGAACGATGAACCTGAATCTGTGCAACTAGCTGTTATCGGAGGCGCATTGTCTACCCTCCAAACACTGCCGGAAGGAACTCATCCAAGTGCTGCTATTGTGCGCAACTTGACCTCGACAAGATATGATGTTGAGGTTGAGGCAGGTGAACAGCAAATTCTGCCTTATGCATTTACTACCGACTTGAACCCCCAGGATTTGCGATTGAACATCATTGCGGTCGTGGCTAGTCAAAAAGGTGGTGTTTACCAAATTCAGGCTTATAATGAGACTGTTACTGTTGTTGAAGCTGCTACTAGCATCTTTGATCCTCAAATGTAGGTTTTCATTTCGCAACACCATTTTCAACAATTAATCTAAACTGACATGTTTTTAGCATCTTCTTGTATCTTGTCCTCCTCGCAGCAACTGTCGCTACCCTGTTTTTCGTCTACAAGACATGGATTGAATCTCTATTCCCACAAACTCGCAAAGGTGGTAAAGGTGGTGAACGTGCCAAGCGTTCATCTGGAGGAAGCAAGAAGGCTGTCGACGTTAAGGATCAGGTTTCTGTTATTGGTGCTGATGGACCAGCTGTTACAACTCAATCTTTGGCACAACAAGCTTACGATGAGAGCTGGATCCCTGACCACCACATCAACCGTCCATCCGCAAGACGTGTTAAGAGCGGCGGCTCCAAGATCAAGACTAAGATTGTATCTGAATAAATCTTCAAGCGATATCAACGGCGCATATGATTGGATGATGAAACGTAGGAAAGGAATAACAAGTTATGATCTGTTCTCTTCAAGCTCAATTTTGAGATTCAATCAATGTCTTTTTAGCTTGAAAAGGGGGACAAAGCATTTGTATAATACAACAAAAGTGGATGGCTATTTCTGAGTCGGAACATAGTGCTGTATCAAAATCAAATTAGGATGTACAAATTACATAAGGAACAAATTGCCGTTTTAGTGAGATATTTCCTTGAGAGATATATTTACTGTCCTAATACTATTCCGGATCGAGAAAAGAATCACGAGAGATTGATCTAGGTGTGGTACGCGCCCATCATTTCTGGGATAAGTATCTCATTCCTCATTATCCAATCAGTGATTTTGTTTTGAATTAGGGATGTGGATGAGAATACTCCATACTTGTGTGAATATCTACAAAATATATAGGTAATGATACCTAGCCATGTACGCCTTTGAATTACTTTCCTCTTCAATTTCTTCATTCAACAGATTAAATTCCCCTCTTTAAAAAATGTCCTCCGCCTTTCTCTGCAGACAACTGCAACGTCATCTAAGTGGCTGTTGGGGGTGTCACAAGTGCCACATCCGAGTGCGGGGAAAGATAGGAAGAGAGGGGAAGATAAGGGATTAACTTCCTGGGATTCTGGGGTTATAAATGGAGGGATAGGGAAGAAGTGATATATATGTTTATTTTGGTATTTTTGTTTGGTGAAAGAAAGAAAGAAAGAAATTCTTGGGGTGTGGGAAGGAGATTGAAAGGATGAGTAAAATGGATGAAATAGGTAAAATGGGCAAACCTAGGAAAACGAAATATGCAGATAGATCTATACCGAAGATCTCGCTGCATGATTTTGAGGAGAGGATGGGGGTTATTACTGAGGAGTTAGTGGGGTTTTCTTTTTGGG